AAAGAACGGCTCAAGCTCAAATGATGCGAGCTACGCATCTGTTGCTTTTAACATTGGAGTGTTTTTGTTGTGGCAGTTAGTTGTGAGGCCGGCCCATACAGTATATTACTAATACTTATAATACAATCAAAATCTCAGAGTGCTTCACATACAGGACAAAACAATCCTAGTATAATATTGAATCTAATGCATGTTGTCTGTGCTGGAATAGATTCTTCAGGTATTTGTTTTGTCTCATATCTCATGTTGTTAAACCCGGCCTCACTCTTTTGCCTCATCTAGTGCTTCCTAATCAGCAGTCCAAAAAAAACGACGCCAAACTGTCCCAGTCACAGACTTCTGCCCGCAAGGCCGCAGAGGAGAACAATGAAGCTGAGAGAATGCCTCCTCCATCTACAGCTAAAGGTCAGTGACACGTTTAATGTCATAACGTGCTGAGGTACACGCCCGATCGACCACATCTAGAGAAGTTTCCCATACAGAAAGAGCAAAATCTCTCCCTCATCTACTGCAAAGGACTGTTTTTGTTTTATTTCAGCCAAAACGGAAATAAAATGGTTTAACTTCATGTTCTATGAGGTGATGCACGCTGAGGCACGTGCTCATTCGGTGATTCCGGTTGCGTGGGGACATGAAATGTGAGGTCATCAGTTGTATCGTCTCTGTGCACTTCAGGCAGGAGAAAATCTGTGGCTCCCCAGGAGCTAAACAAAGGCAGCAAAAGGTTGTCTTGTTTTGTAAAGGCCCCCGACCTGCAGGCCAAGAGGGGAAAGGTGAGATGTGATATTTTCTACTCATTCTGCTATTAATATGCTCCCGTTTAATTTTTTTTTTTTCCAATGGCAAAAGTCTGACCTGATGATAAAGTTTATTTTATTTTTTTAATTGTTTTTACACCAGAAGGACCGTCTCTCGTGTTATTTACAATCGGGCTTTGTTTTCCTTTTTAGTTTGGCGAGGCCCTTCAACCGAACTTGAAGTTCCACGACATGATCCGAGACTTCAGAGAAACCTTGGAAATAACCCCCATAACGACATCCAGCGACGTAAGTGTGGACTCCACAACACGGTGCCGTGTGAGGCTGTATGCTGGCGTGACCTTGTGGCGATACTTACAGCGCGTGTTGCGTTTCCACAGATTGAACCTCACAGGATCACTGTGTGCGTTCGCAAGCGGCCCCTTAACAAACAAGGTGTGTTGTGCGGATCTTGTAACCACCTTTTACATTGGCATCTGAATATGAAGAGAAATTAATGCTGACTTTGACTGTCTCGTGTGTTGCAGAGGTCATAAAAAAGGAGATCGATGTCGTGTCTGTACCTGGGAGAGGTGCTGTGCTGGTCCATGAGCCCAAACAGAAGGTGGACCTCACCAAGTACTTGGACAACCAAGTCTTCCACTTTGACTACTCCTTCAATGAGGCCACCACCAACGACCTGGTCTACAAGTAATGGCCTCATGTCACCTTTTCTCATGTAGCAATAAGGTGGATCCTATTGATGGTTTCCCAAGTTAGATGGAGCGTTGTTAACATTCTGTCACTGGCTCGTTTTTCAAACCGAATCATCCAGTAACTCAACGTGTAGATGGTGTGCACCAATACGGTATAACATCCGTAATGTTGACGGAAACTCTTGGTGTGCTTTTCGAAACAGGCCGTTATCGTCTTTCAAAGACCACATTTGATGCGGTTTTATTTTATGTCGACAGGTTCACGGCCAAACCTTTGGTGCGCTCCATTTTTGAAGGTGGCATGGCCACATGTTTCGCCTACGGCCAGACTGGAAGTGGAAAGACTCATGTAAGCCTCGTCTTTCTGTATGATGTTTGCCTGTCTTGAAGCAGTATGTTCCATTTGTAATAAATGTCTTTGGGCTCATCTAGACGATGGGAGGGGATTTCACAGGGAAGCAGCAGAACAGCGCTAAAGGAATCTACGCCTTGGCAGGTAGGACCACGCCCATGGTTCATCTTAATGTTTTACTCTGAGTCACTTCATTTAAACTACAGTACATCCACTATTGTTCCAATTGGCCACTTCCATTGGTGTTTCCCCTTTTTTTTTATAAGCATTTTGTAATCTTCCTCCCAGCCCAGGATGTTTTCACCCTTCTTGACCAGGGGAGGTATGCCAACCTAGATCTCTCTGCTCATGTCAGCTTCTTCGAGATTTACAATGGAAAAGTAAGAAAAACTAAACCTATATCTGACCAAAAAAAAAACGACATAATTAAATTACCAAACGTTGAAATGTACTTTTTTAAAAACACGCATCTAGGTGTATGACCTACTGAATAAGAAGGCCAAGCTCCGCGTTCTGGAGGATGACCGACAGCAGGTTCAGATTGGGGCCCGGAAGAAGGTTTAGGTGCCAAAAGCAGAGGAGGTCATCAAGTTTACCCAGCGGGGCAGGGCAGGCAGGTATTAAAGTAATGGCTTATCAAAAATAACTTTTGTGCCATTCTTAAGTTAACCCCGGACCCCCCCCCCCCCCCCCGCAAGATATAGGGTTAACTTGACGGCGTTCCCTTTCCTTCTGTCCGACTGTCTCTCCAGAACATCGGGCCAGACCTCTGCCAACGCCAACTCCTCGCGCTCTCATGCTATTCTTCAGATTGTGCTGCGGCGCAACGACCGCGCGGCCACGCTGCACGGCAAGTTCTCCCTGGTCGATTTGGCCGGCAACGAGCGCGGCACCGACGTCAGCAGCAACGACCGCAGCACTTTGGTGGAGACGGCCGAGATCAACCGCAGCCTGCTGGCTCTCAAGGTACAACGAATGAAGCCAAATGGATGGATACCAAATATTTTGCACCTCCGCTGTGTTGCATGAGAAGTAACCTGCCGTTTGCAACACAAGCCTGTAAAGGAAAAAATGTATAAAATTGTGTGTTTGATATTTTTTAAACTAAAAAGGTGTTGAAAATCTCCACTGTTGTCTCGTAGGAGTGCATCCGCTCACTGGGAATGAACAGCGATCACATTCCTTTCCGGCAGTGCACTTTGACCAAAGTCCTCAGGGACTCCTTCATTGGAGAGAAGTCCAGAACCTGCATGGTGCGTTCAGAACCCCCAACCTGTATTGTGGTCTTATTTCCATTACTGTGAACGTTGCAGATGCACATCAAACACACATGGCTTAAATTGATATGTGTGTCTAAAGTTCAAAATGTATTTACATGTTTTCCCTGCTGTGATTCCATAGATTGCAATGGTGTCTCCAGGCATGGCTTCATGTGAATACACGATGAACACGCTACGTTATGCGGACAGGTAATCATTTGCCTTGTGCAGTTAGCTGCAATTCCAAGTACCCCTCCCCTTTGTTTTAGTGGACATGCTAATTTGTGTCGTTATATTTTGTCAGAGCAAAGGAGCTGAAGGCCAGTAGCAAAGCTAATGAAGCAGCTAAGGCACAAGAGCCTCTCAATAGCTCCACAGAGGAGGTCAGCTGGCAAGACATCAGTCCAAAATCTTAGTGAACGTTGATAAAATCATATGTATGATCTTAAATGTTTCTTGTAAATCTGTTGTAGGAATCTGTTGAGGATCCCACTGAACCCATATCCCTAGTAGGAGAGCTCCAGGAGAAGGTTTACTCACAGTTCCAGGTATAGTTTGATTAGTCTATTACAGAATACAAGACGCGTGGTGATGCTGGGGTTTGGCTCTGTAGATCCTTATGCTTGTGTGGCCTTTTGTTTTTGCAGAGAGCCAGTGAACTCTTCAATGCGATGGGACAAACCTCTTACAGCATTGAGGCTGCACTTCCTGACCTTGTGGACCATGCAAATCATTTATTGGGTTTGTACAAACCACAATATTTTGATCGTGTTCTTTTTTTCTTATTTTTTTGTCCGTGAATCATTTTTCAGGCATCCTGGAAAATCCTGACATCACGTGCAACGCTAACCGACGCCCTTGTTATTGGCGTAGCAGAAGGTTATTTAGTAGTGGGGCACAAATAGTTCATTCCGCTAACGTGTGATCACTGCATGCTGACCAGGGGGAAGCACAGGAGAAACGTTTTCCTCACCAGATGCACCATGTGCCAGGATGAATCTGTTCAAAATAAAGTACCATCTTGGTGGATAAATGCACTTTATTAAATGTATTTTCTTCTCCGTCACCCATAGATGTGGTACAGGCTTTGCAGACGGCGGTGGAACAGGAGAAAATGTCCAGGCAACGCTACTGAGAACTCACTCCGTAGGGGTGTTTATTAAAAGTTCCTTGATTTGAATGTGTTAATGATTGATTGATTGTTTTAAATAAATAAAATGTATACTGACACTATCATTGAAAATGTTTAAAGTCTTGTGAGACTACACTTATATTTTTTATGCTAATGTGGAAGCATAATACATTTGCAATTAAATGAGTTCAACCCTAATCCCCTCAGCCCCCCCTGGGTGATTAACTTTTGTTTGAGCTTAAAATAAAATGGTATTTGTCATAAGGAAAATGTATATTTTTAGCAAATGATACACTCAGAAAAGAATTACGGACACACATATCACTGGTAAACTGTATAATTGTTTACTACCCAACTGTGAACACTGACTGAACACTTGGGTTTTGAGGATGATCCTGAATTTGTCTACATATTGGATTTGGATTTACAACTAACCTTTTGGGAAAAGGTTTTGTTTACTTAACTGACTTTGATACTTGGTTCTGGAGTGGGGAAATGTACAGAAATACAAAGGTTGGAGAGCCCAGACATTTAAAAAAAAAAATCCAAACTTATGAATACCAGAATCTGAAAACGCAAGAATCCACAAAAAATGGAAATATTTTCTATACAGATATTTCAATAACACAGATAAATGTACAGGGGGGGCTGAAGCAGCTGGTACCTGAAGGAGCAGCCTGCACGCACTTTAGGGCAGTAGAGCTGCCGCAGCAGCAGGTGGCGCTAGAGGGAGCTCCACGTGCCATCACAGCCAGAGGAAGAGGAGGGACCAACCAGCAACTAAACAGATTAAGTCGCTCCTCCGTCTGACAGGCGAGGAAACGGATCCAGCAGCGGAAGGCGATGGCGTGTCTACGGTTCTCGCTCCTGGTTTTGGGGATCTTCTCGCTGTGCTGCGCCGCGTCTGGCGACAGCGGTGGCGTGAAGAAGATGAAGCTGCAGTTCGCCACCGGTCCCCTTCTCAAGTTTCAGATTTGGTAACCAGATAAGCGAAATTCTGGCGAGTCATTGCGTGCTAACTAACGTTAGCTAAACTCTGCTAGCAACAGCATAGGCCGACAGCTAGCGAGCCGCCGGTGGTTTATTCAGGCTCGTTATAAGAGAAGAAACGTAAGTGTCGCTAGTTGTTGAGGAATTACGCGACCACCGCTTGAGCACACGGGGAGATTAACGTTAAATGGAAGTTCCCGATTTCTGCCGCTCGTCGTGAACATTCGGTCCAAAGCGCCGCTGCCGCCGTCAAACCCGCCCGTCAGTTTCACGTGTATTTGCAACAACAACAAAAAATCCGATAAAATGCTCAGTTTGTTTTGCAACTGTCTTTGATCGCGGGGAAAAGTGACCTAGGAGCCATCGTAACGTTCGCTAACTCATCAAACGTGACCGATGTTAATAATCCTCTGACGTTATGCAAGTAGCGATGTCACGTGACTTTTGAAAAGACGGAGGGAGCGTAAAACTTACTTTTCTCAAACAATCGTATGCCACAAACGAGCCCCTGTTGCATTTAATTAAAGCTCTACGTGTTGAATTGCCTCTCATTGTGATGTCACACTATCTTTAACAATCTAACATACCTGAGGTTCACGTGTGCTTGTCCTTCAAGGTTTAATCCCTATAATTTACCCATGAATCACCGCCTTTCCGTTACATTGTTTTTGCTGTTGTGATGTACACTGTGTGTGTGTGTGTGTGTGTGTGTGTGTGTGTGTTTTTCTCATTTTGTTGGTCTTCCCGCAGCATTTCCTGAGGGTACAAGCGGGTGTTTGAGGAGTACACGCAGGCCTTGTACCAGCGGTACCCGGACATCCGCATTGAGGGGGAGAACTATCTTCCCGTGCCCCTCTATCGGTAAGAGGGCTTGTGCACCTGTTGCAAGTCGATCCACAACATTAAACCATTAAAGCAGCCTGGAAGCTGGTTGGGATTAGCTGGGATTCAGTGGTGCTTTGTAGTTCTACAAACATGGACAAAGATGTTGGCCCTTAAAATGGAAAACATAAGTCAGATGTGCATAATGTGTAGATGATCATTATGATAATTAGTCTCTTAATCCATGGTATTTCTTTAGGACCAATTTAGAATGTGTGATATCAATTTTAGTGACTTATTACAATTTATCGGTCTGATAAATTTGTGGTGTTCGTACAACTAAAAATGCATTAGGTTTTATTAGTACACTTAAATCTAAATCAACATTCCTGACTTAATCATTACCGTCAATAACGACGATTCTATTCAGTGTTATTGAAACAGTTTTATTTTCCCTGTTTGCCCCAATTTGATCAATGACGCAAGGCAAAAATATGGCATGACTGTTTAAATAGACTGCGTTTGCTTTAGCTGGGCGTACCTCCCTAAACTAGGACTGGGCTGAATATTAACATAACGTTGTGTTTTGGATGCAGAATACAATTTTAAGCAGAGCAGAGCGCAGCATTGATGTCTGTATTTGGATCAGACCTCAAGTCCCTACGTGAGACTTCTTTGTGCACCTTTCCCAGGAGTCACTGAAGCCCTCAGAGGTCTCATCAGCTGAACTCTTAATGAACACACCTGAGATTATCTCCATCGACGAAAGCAGACTATCACACCCTGAATAAATTCAACCGTTCATACATGTTTGAAGGCAGGCTGCAGGCTTTGTGTTGTAGGTGAAGTGTGATGGTGTTAAATCTGCATCCTATTTCAGTTAAGGTTTAATATACATTCCGCAGAATCTTGATCCCTGTTGAAACGGTTCTTAATTATTTTGTATTCCAGTTAGATTTACCTGCTTCATGGATATGTCCCATTTACCTGAATAGATGTGAGGTTTAATAATTGTACTAAAAGATGGTTTCTTTATTTCCTCAGACACGTTGCCTCCTTCCTGTCTGTCTTCAAACTGCTGTTGATCGGGCTGATTATTATCGGCAGGGACCCATTCGCCCTCGTTGGTATGCAAGCCCCAGGCGTTTGGGAGTGGGGGCAGGGAAATAAGGTAAGGCTCACTGGAACTATAAAGAGCCATGAAGGGTCCGCTCCTCTGACCGAGTTGCCTCTGTATTTTGCATACGCTGCAGTGAGCTGAAGCGTGAGGCGGTATGATGCTTTTGAGCACATGTTTCATCAGTCACAGATATAAACCACGGGCATGGTGGGGGAGAAAATGGTTTAGGTATACTGTGCTAATGTAGATGTACACACTTGCGAGATCTACAGCCCCCCCCCTCCCCCATGGAGCTTAGTTAGATCCAATCAGAAACGTGAGATAAAGAGGGACTGCAAAGCTAATTTTTAAATGAAACGTTTCTTGTCTTTCAGATATATGCTTGCATGATGGTGTTCTTCCTCAGCAACATGATAGAAAACCAGTTAATGTCCACAGGAGCTTTTGAGATCACATTAAATGGTGAGTTCATGATTCACAGCACGTGCTTTTTGACTTCTGTTGGCTTAAGTCGATTATTTAACATTATGATATGGATGGTTGTGAAATCCAGTGAATTATGTATTGTCTTTTTTATTTCATAGACGTGCCAGTGTGGTCAAAACTAGAGTCGGGTCACCTTCCCTCCATGCAGCAGCTTGTGCAAATCCTGGACAACGAGATGAAGATGAACGTTCACATGAACACAGGATCCCACCACATCTCCTAACCCTACTCGTCACGTCCTGGCTAGAGCCAAAAGCCCCTCCATGTGAGTCTAGCGTTGTTCAAAGCATGGCTCTGTTCTCCATCAGCCCTCTGCTAATCCTTTCCAGACATCTTTTTATTTTCTATTATTCGATCCCTGTCCTCCTCTCTAGGTTGGAGGTGGGAATCTCACTGGGCTGTGAAGTGATGTTTATGAAGGTCTGCGCTGAAGGCAGGAAGACTGCCAGCTCAGACTGGATGCCCCCCATCAATCTTCACTACGCTCCTTGGAGACGTCCCGCCCCTGACGCCAGAGTGGGATCCATGGCAACCGTGCCGGCCATTCTTTTGTCCTTTTCTTGTACTATTCATACTACTGCAGATTTCATCCAGCCGTCGATGGTCCACTTAAATTGATACTTATAGTCTTTAACTTTAATTGGTCTATGTGAATCTAAAAATTGTAACTTATACCACTGAGCCATATGTAGAATTTTAACTAAATTGTTCTAAACATAGGTCAGTAATGTAGAAAAATTCAATACTTCCAATCTGTCATCACGTGAAAGTAATATTGGTGATTGTGTTTTTGATTTCTGAAAGACTTTTTATATTTGCATAACCTGAAGGAAGCTGAGAAGATTAATAAAACCTTAATGTAACTATTTAACAGTGGGACTGTGGTGTCGAGGTTTACTTATTAATGCAAGAGCACAGTCTGACCGTCTAGAGATGGCGGATAATGAGACTGCAATCTGGGGTTTGATTTGACCGCAGTATGTATGTTACAGATGGCCTGGTTGGGTTGATGCACACATTTTAGCCATCTGCTCATCTTCGTGTTACCAGGATGACTGGAAGAGCTACTTTGATTTAATTAGACTAAACGGATTAGGCGCAAGTGCAATGTAGCATTTTAAAGCAGCCACATCCAATTTTGGATGTTCCTGACCAGGTCAAATATCTCGATCAGGTGTAAATGAACCTGTTGGAGACTAACTACAGCTTCAGGAACTGTTTTAAAATAAATCTTTCAGATTATTTTGGAAACAGGCCCAGATTCTTTAGATATTCTGTCACAAAAAAACTTTAATTTGTACTTTATTGCTGGTAAATCAACGAACTGAAGGCACAAGTTTCTTCCATTATCACATGAGCAGCGACTTCCAGAAGCCTCTGAGCTACATGGAGGAACGCTCGTGGTGATGTCATCGGGTACTGGAGGAGGATCTGAACGACCACGTGGATCTTAATCCGGGTCCTTATACTGTCGCTGCTGAGGCGGCACCAAGCAGTTTAACGTTCATCCTGGAGGGGGCGGGGGACGCCACGCCGGAAATGCCGTTGATATAAACGCGTTGACCAAAATATCAATCACCTAAAACTAAAAGCTTTCATTGCCATGGCACGATGCCCTCATAACTCCACCGGGAGCAGGGTGCTCGTCACGTGACCGCAGTCTTTGAAAGGGGGGTGTGATCTTTGGGGAATTCAGTTTCAACCTGCAACCACATGCCCAGGTGCTACTGAATCCTACACACACTGGCCATTACAGCAACGGTATTCTTTAATAGAGTAAGTCATGACAGGCGTTTGTGGGTACCTGATGACGACGCATGCCGAACGGAAGCGGATTGTGGTCACGAAAAGGGGCCGACCACTTCTCCTCTTTCATATTTGAGTCCTCAGTTTCCGAGCCTCCACCTGCTTGCCTTGCAAGGTCAGCGGTGCGTCATGTGTATTTGGGTAACTTGTTTTAGCGTAATAAAGAATTTCTTGCTCACCTCAGGCTCTCGTGCCCACGTTAGATCCAGGGAAGGTTGGGCCGTTTCTCCACAGTACTCACATTTCACTGGGTAATCCGTCTGGGCCTGGGACCGCACCATATAGCACATGAAGTGTCACTAATCAGTAACAGAAAGGCCTGTCTGTGGGAATTTAAAATAGTTTTGGTCTTTACCGCTGAATGAGTGTTTGCAAAGTTTATCCTGTGGCGTTCAGGCTCCTGATTGTACCTCAGAACTCCTGCTGGTCTCATACAATAGGTGGGAGGGTCATTGATCCTCTTACCAAACCCGGAGATAAATAAAATGAATGAATTGATCAAAGACTATAGTACGTGGGATACATATTGACACTGAATGACCTGAGCTGAAAATTGTTCACTACTTGATCAGTCTTCTGTGGTCCAGGACGGAGGGTGGCTCAGTGTTTTAATGTAGCAGCAGCATCTAATGGTAAAACAAAAGTCATTCTTGTATCCACAGATCGTCCCACTGAGAGAAAAAAAATGGCTGAATGGGATAGAATTTCTTTTGCAGTCATTCTCCAATAATTCCCTTTTAAATGTGGTTGAAGAAGAATAACACAAAGAGCTCGATCTCATCTTTTTGTCCCTCCTTCCAACCGGGGCGCTGCGGTCAGCATTCCCTGCTTGTGTCAAGGTTTCTCCTGCAGAGGTATAAGATGAATACACATAGGGGATGAGGAAGCAATCACATCTTAAATATCTCAAATATTTACATACCTCCTGATGCAAATACTAAATGTGTAACAATATACCTACTAAATCAACTTTGGAGTTCCAAAATATTGAATATAGATCTCAGTTTGGGTGTCGTATATCATAATAAAAATCATACGATAAGCACGGACGAGGTTGTGCAGCGACCTCGGTGTATAACAGTTACTGGTGTTGTCAGTAACCTTGGAGACGAAATAGCAAAGTGTAAACATACCAGCGTTAACAGAGGTTGCAGACTGTTCACAGTCACCTGACTTCATGGTTTATGCTGAATCAATGTGTTTACACCACGCTGATTGTTGTTTAAACACAATAATTCTTTCTTTAACGTTAATGTGAGGATATTGGGGCGGCACGGTGGTGTGGTGGTTAGCACCGTCACCTCACAGCAAGAAAGTTCTGAGTTCGACTCCACCCAGTGGTCCATCTGTGTGGAGTCTGCATGTTCTCCCCGTGTCTGCGTGGGTTCTCTACGGGTTCTCCCGCTTCCTCCCACAGTCCAAAGACGTGCTCTGGGGATCAGGTTGATTGGTAACTCTAAATTGCCCGTAGGTGTGTGAATGTGAATGGTTGTGTGTCTCTGTGTGGCCCTGCGATTGGATGGCGACCAATCCAGGGTGAACACTGTTTATCACCCCAAGTTGGCTGAGATAGACTCCAGAACCCCCGCGACCCTGTGTGCAGGATAAGTGGTTTGCAGGTGGATGGATGGAAGAATGGTGAAGATGTTGCCCAGTTTATCTGCTCGGATCATTATTTTGGCGCTGCTAAATTTCTGATGATACACATTTTAAATAATTTCCCTACAGGGATGTATTTCTGTTCTTGTTGTGTATTTGTTGTGTTACAAACGGGCTTTAACTGCATGTTGTTGTACGTCACTGTGTTGCATAATAACAATAAATGATCACTGAATCCTTGGCTGACATATCAAACATATCATAAAACACAATACAATTTACTACACAATATTGTCAAATCCATGGATGGATGGAATACTTATTAATATAGTAAATAAAGTAATAAAGTTTTGAGTGTACTCCGTCAGTGTATTCGTAGAAAAGACAGAGAGAAGAAAGAAACATTTTAGATGTCGGACTGACTAGTGTGGTAATGATGCTCTTTTCATTTGTGAATTTATTTGAAATCTATTTCTAAATTGAGCTAAATACCTAAATAAATAAAAACAAAAAGGTACTCCTGTCAAAATGAGGATGGGGTTTGGTTAACAAAACAGGTTGTGTCATATTTGTATACGTTAGGAACTGCCTTTGAAGCTTCACCAAATAACAATTTGTCTAAAAAGATTTTGTACAGTAATTGGGTTGTCCACTCACTGCTTCAAATCAATCTTTTACAGAGTCTGTCCATCTGCATCTTTGTGCATTAACAAAACCCATCCAAGAGATGGCAGAGCAGTTGTGCCTCTTTTATCCCTCAGTTACGTGGGTTAATATAATTAAATATTATGATGACCAGGTCACCTCTCCTACCACCCTCTATCGTGACCTGCCACAGGGACCTTTCCCAGGTGCGACCAATTGGAGGTGATTGGAGAGAATCCATTTTGAAGAGTTTGATTTGTCGTTGCAGAGAACATCACCGAACAAATAGCTGCAGCAGGGAAGCAATTCTTCACTCAGAGCATTTCCAGCAGTCATGCATGACAGAATGATGCGTACAGGAAAAAGGTTTGCTGTTTACCTGGCTGCAGCTGTTATTATGACGTGTTGTTTGGCACAAACGATCGACTGTTATCGACTGAGGAAAAAGGAAAGACAAGAAGGGCGAAAAGGATCCGACTCGACCAAAGTGACTGATGTCGAAGAGGGAAGAATTGTTTTTGGGAGAGTCTTTAAGAAAGCTACTGGCCTTGATGCACCAGTAATTGATGATACCAAGAAGCCCTCCAACGCTTCTTCAGAAGATGAAGCTTCTTATCAAGCGGACTTTCCAGGTAAACTTGACTGTGCTACAAAACAAATTTTAAAGGTACTGACTTTACTTTTCCTTGACCTTAAAAAAAAAAAAACACCATTTCATTCAGGCTGGCCTGGAGATCAACTGCAGCATCTGAATTCCAGAGAAGCAGCATGGAAGCGCATGTCTCCCTCTCTGATGTGTGGGGGGGACCAGTTGAAATTCAGCGCAGAGGGACGAGGAGCTTCGCAGTTTGCAGTGGACAAAGGTAAAGTGGTGATACCAATTTGCTATCTATATACGTGTTTTCCTTTAATGCAGAGTCACATGGAGACCTTGTTCCCACAGGAAATGAACCCCCAATCCCTCTGTCCCAAGTCCCTCCATCGTGTGGCTACGGCATGCAGAAGAACTCCCTCGGGCTCGTCCTGTTGGTTCCCTATGATGGCTGCAACATTATTGTTGAGGTGTTTAATGTTCAGTGGCTGGGGGGTTCAAATTGAAATGTACTTGGTGTGTGTAGCTGGAGATGATTGCCTATAGAACAATCCACAAGAAAATTGTTTAATGTAAATGAGTTTTACTGGTGTGATGTCGTTTTTTTTTTTTTCTTTCTAAAGGATGGCTGTTACGTGCTCCCGTTGCGTTGGCATGGAATTCCCGTCTCTCTCTTGTGTCATAAACCTGCTGCCCCCCAAAAACCACAACCTCATACACCCTGGTACTCTCCATCAAATCCTGTAGTGTCTCCCCATGTGGTGCCACAGCCCAATGTGCAGAAGCCACCGCCCCATGTGATGTACCCCCAGTTATACCCCCAGATGCCAGCGCCCCACGTGATTCCCCCCGGGATGCCAGCGCCCCACGTGATTCCCCCCGGGATGCCAGCGCCCCATGTGATGCACCCCCAAATGGTCCCGCCCCATTTAATATACCCCCAGCCTGAGGGGATGCCACCTCTGAAGAAAGAAGTTGTGCCCTTGACTTTGGGCCTGGACACGCCCCTGACGCAGAAGGATGTACCTCAGGTGCCCTTGGAGATGCCCCTGATTCCCCGGATGCGTAGCGACCAAAATGAATCTCCTCCCAAAATCCCTCAGTCCTACTACTTTCTACCAGATCCTAATTACCCATCAGTACCAGAACCTGCAAAGGCACCCATTGCAACAACTGCTGAGAAACCAGAAAGGCCTAAACGTCCTCTATACCCCCCTTTCTACCATCCATATTCTCATTTCCCTCACCCTGTTCCAGTCACAACATCTGCACCAACTGCCAAGCCAGCAGCCACAGCTCCTCCGATGTTTCCTTTTCCCATCTACCCTCCCTTTCCTCGGTCCGGTTTAGGGCCCCCGCAAGCAACTGCAAAACCCACTCTTCCTGCAACTAGACCTCAGCCACAGTATTTTCCTTTTCCTCCTCAAAATCCTTTTCTGCATCCCTATCAATATTCAGCCCCGAAACCAGAAACTACCATGACCAGACCGCAGTTTGCATACATGCCTTTTCCATCCCCATACCAAATGGTGGCCCCCTATCCCGCAACAAAGAACTGATTCCGCACCGCCAAAACCTTCCCATCTACAGCCTCCGTATCCTTTTATGCCTTATCCCTCCAGTTGATGACCAGCCTGCTCAAACTGTTCTTATAAAATGCTTTAAATAAAATTACCCTGTCAATGTTGGCCATTTTATCTGCTTGAAGAATTTTTGTGCTGCAGTTTACATTTACAGTGATGCACATTTTAAATAGTTGGACTACAGCGACGTACTCTGTTCTTGTGTTACAATTAAATGTTCTTCACTGTTGCATAATGACAAAAAATGATCCCTGACTATTGCTTAATTAACTTTTTTTACCCAACCCGGGGGTATTAGAAACATTACATAATACTGTCAAAATTCTCACTGCACCCCATCAATGTGTTTGTAGAGAAGATGTCAGGCTCCAGTTGAAAAATATTTTTAGATCTTTGACTAAATTTGGATCTGGAGTATATCTAAATCTTCTAGTTTGTGAATTTAGTTATCCAGTGGGATTCCTTTTGCATCCCAAATTTCTTCATTCGGAAAAATCGAACGAGTAACGTTTCAATGCATTTGTAGAAGATGAAATCTCAGCTCAAAGTCTATTTCACAGATGTCCAAGATCTCCGTCTGAGGATTGGGTTTTCCTTGTCATGGAGTTGTGCATGTTCGAATCCCTTTTTTCTCAACTTTCCATTCCTTGTTTACAAAACAAGTTTCATATTTGTATACGTTAAGGACTGCCTTTGAAGCTTCACCCGAGTGCTTGTAGGCTCCATGTTCCATTTTTCGCTAAACAATTCATTTTGAAGTCTTGCATGTCAAATGTCCATCTGCATCTTTGTGCATTAACAAAACCCATCCAAGAGATGGCAGAGCAGTTGTGCCTCTTTTATCCCTCAGTTACGTGGGTTAATATAATTAAATATTATGATGACCAGGTCACCTCTCCTACCACCCTCTATCGTGACCTGCCACAGGGACCTTTCCCAGGTGCGACCAATTGGAGGTGATTGGAGAGAATCCATTTTGAAGAGTTTGATTTGTTGTTGCAGAGAACATCACCGAACAAATAGCTGCAGCAGGGAAGCAATTCTTCACTCAGAGCATTTCCAGCAGTCATGCATGACAGAATGATGCGTACAGGAAAAAGGTTTGCTGTTTACCTGGCTGCAGCTGTTATTATAACGTGTTGTTTGGCACAAACGATCGACTGTTATCGACTGAGGAAAAAGGAAAGACAAGAAGGGCGAAAAGGATCCGACTCGACCAAAGTGACTGATGTCGAAGAGGGAAGAATTGTTTTTGGGAGAGTCTTTAAGAAAGCTACTGGCCTTGATGCACCAGTAATTGATGATACCAAGAAGCCCTCCAACGCTTCTTCAGAAGATGAAGCTTCTTATCAAGCGGACTTTCCAGGTAAACTTGACTGTGCTACAAAACAAATTTTAAAGGTACTGACTTTACTTTTCCTTGACCTTAAAAAAACACTTTCATTCAGGCTGGTCTGGAGATCAACTGCAGCATCTGAGTTCCAGAGAAGCAGCATGGAAGCGCATGTCTCCCTCTCTGATGTGTGGGGGGGACCAGTTAAAATTCAGCGCAGACGGACGAGGAGCTTCGCAGTTTGCAGTGGAAAAAGGTAAAGTGGTGATACCAATTTGCTATCTATATACGTGTTTTCCTTAATGCAGAGTCTCATGGAGACCTTGTTCCCACAGGAAATGAACCCCCAATCCCTCTGTCCCAAGTCCCTCCATCGTGTGGCTACGGCATGCAGAAGAACTCCCTCGGGCTCGTCCTGTTGGTTCCCTATGATGGCTGCAACGTGGTTGTTGAGGTATTTAGAGCTCAGTGGCTGGAAGGGTCAAATTGAAATGTACTTGGTGTGTGTAGCTGGAGATAGTTGCCTGTCGAACGATCCACAAGAAAATTGTGTATTGTAAATGAGTACATTTTACCGGTGTGATTCCTTGTTTGTTTTTTTTGTTTTTTTTAAAAGGATGGTGGTTACGTGCTCCCTATGCGTTGGCATGGAATTCCCGTCTCTCTCTTGTGTCATAAACCTGCTGCCCCCCAAAACCCACAACCTCATACACCCTGGTACTCTCCATCAAATCCTGCAGTGTCGCCCCATGTGGTGCCACAGCCCAATGTGCAGAAGCCACCGCCCCATGTGATGTACCCCCAGTTATACCCCCAGATGCCAGCGCCCCACGTGAGTCCCCCCGGGATGCCAGCGCCCCACGTGAGTCCCCCCGGGATGCCAGCGCCCCACGTGAGTCCCCCCGGGATGCCAGCGCCCCACGTGAGTCCCCCCGGGATGCCAGCGCCCCACGTGAGTCCCCCCGGGATGCCAGCGCCCCACGTGAGTTACCCCCAGTTCTACCCCCACATGCCAGCTCCCCATGTGATTCCCCCCGGGTTGCCAGCTCCCCATGTGATTCCCCCCGGGTTGCCAGCGCCTCATGTGATGTACCCAGAGTTCTACCCCCACATGCCAGCGCCCCATGTCATTCCCCCCGGGATGCCCCATGTAATGTACCCCCCGATGCTGTCTGAGGGGCAGCCGCCCCTGACACGGGAAGATGTGACCCAGGTGCCCCTGAAGTTCGGCCTGGACACGCCCTTGATTCAGGAAGATGTGCCTCTGACGTTAGGCCTGGACACGCCCCTGAAGCAGAAGGATGTACCTCAAGTGCCCTTGGAGATGCCCCTGATTCCCCGGATGCGTAGCGACCAAAATGAATCTCCTCCCAAAATCCCTCAGTCCTACTACTTTCTACCATATCCTAATTACCCATCAGTACCGGAACCTGCAAAGGCACCCATTGCAACAACTGCTGAGAAACCAGAAAGGCCTAAACGTCCTCTATACCCCCCTTTCTACCATCCATATTCTCATTTCCCTCACCCTGTTCCAGTCACAACATCTGCACCAACTGCCAAGCCAGCAGCCACAGCTCCTCCGATGTTTCCTTTTCCCATCTACCCTCCCTTTCCTTGGTCCGGTTTAGGGCCCCCGCAAGCAACTGCAAAACCCACTCTTCCTGCAACTAGACCTCAGCCACAGTATTTTCCTTTTCCTCCTCAAAATCCTTTTCTGCATCCCTATCAATATTCAGCCCCGAAACCAGAAACTACCATGACCAGACCGCAGTTTGCATATATGCCGTTTCCATCCCCATACCAAATGGTGGCCCCCTATCCCGCAACATTGACAAAGACAACTGATTCCCCACCGCCAAAACCGTCCCATCCTCCGTATCCTTTCATGCCTTATCCCCCCGTTCATGGCTAGCCTGCTCAAGCTGTTCCAAATAAATGCCTTAAATAACAAACGTGACTGTGTAAAGTTTATTTCTACAGTTAACCCTGCTACTACACAAAGTAGGAGTAAGTTGTAATACTTTATTTGAGGAGCTGCAAAGAGATAAAGTTGAAGGCCATGGAGCCCAAAGCTGCTGCTCTAAAGCAGGACATTGGTACTATAATGCAATCAAACCTGTATATCAGTTCCTACTGAACCCCTAAGCACATGGTGCAGAATAATGTATTGCCTTTAAATGTGTCTGAAACTTGTAGTTAATCAATGCAGCAAACTTCCCTTGGTGTTTTCAGTATTGGAATTCTGTGTTGTCTGAGTGCATTAGTATTACATGCATAGGATGACTGGCTCTAGCTCCTGACACGACCGTAACTATCAAGAAACCATCTCCTGCATATCCGTGCTACTACACATCCAATCTCTATTGAAAACCTCTACACTCACAAAACCTAAGGGAACCAATAAACTGTTGCAGGAGTCGGATGCGCATTTTAAGACTCCTACTGTTTTGATGTTAAAAAAGCATATTGTTTTTCCTCGTATTTGTGTGAGTATTCACCTTCTGCTGAAACGTTGCCTTTTAGTGCCTGTTTCTTTAAGCCCCCCTTGCCTTCCTAAACCAATCTCTTTAGTCCAGTGTTATATTGCCGGTTAGGTTGCCAAAACAGCCTGTTTCAAAATGTGTGCAAACCCACAGCTTTTTGGTCTCCATATATCAAATGAGTTGATCGTATGATGTATCCATATGGTCCTTAGTACCAGCTCCCATTGGCTTCATACTTTTTATACAGGCTGGTAAAAAAAGTCACCAGAACAAGAATAACTTCCAAACCATAACTCACTATACTGAGATGTTTGAAATCAATTTCTTTTGTTCTCAATGCCGTCTGTCCTACTTTCTTTCTTTCAGAGCTGGTGCCATGTGATACTGGGCATTCAATAAATACATTTCTCTTTTTCATTCATGATTCATCTGTAGTGCAAATAGTATTCCCATTTTGTGGCATTGTTCTTGAGCCTCTTGACATGGCCTGTCTCTGTACCTAAGTGTACGACAAAATAATTCCATAGGCATCTTATAAAGTATAAACTTGGAAAAAATAATTCCTCTCCAGTCATAGAGCGAGCACACTCAAACCCCATTCTGTCTGTTCGTATATATTTCCACATGGTGCTTTCTCCTCTTGGCACTATGTGACGATGGACACACACACGCACACACACACACACACACACACACATCTACATGCACCACACCAACAACAGAACACTGACTGGACTTTGAGAGCAAGGATGCGTATCTGTATTTTTGTCCTTTTCTACAGTTCTGGGACCTACCATGGAGCACTGAGAGCAGGAATAACCATGTACTGTGATCCTGCCATGCATCCTTTGGTGGCCATCAAACTGCCTTTGTCCAGCTTGGGAGAGGCAGTTGAGCTTTTATGAATAATTGTGCCGTTATCCATTTTCTTATATCTGTTTTTGAATTTTTATTTCCGGTATCTTAAGAATTGGATTGCACTCTATAATGCAGGTGAGTCCACTATGTACGGCATGTGTGACGCACAATCTGGCATATATTTTACCAGTGTTTGGACGTTCTACTGTGGAAGACCATGCAATGCTTTAGTGATTCAAGTTTGATCTTTTTTTTGGACTAATGTTTGTACAGACTAAATAAAAATGTATGATCAGAGTAGGAATATCGTCTACATAATAAATATCCTGCATATTGCCATCATTTCATGTTCCAATGCTACAATTATTTTGATCTCTTGTGTTTATTTCATTACAGTAAACGAAAAGGTACCATGGAGACCAAAGAGAAAAAATGTAGTCATCACTCCTTTGTTTGATATCAGTCTGAGATCTCTGTCCCGCCTCTAAGTACCTTCAGCTTCTTATTCCTGGGCCAGGGCATTTAGACCCTCCCCCAACCCTGGCATTTGGTCCAACCTCTCTATACAGTCTTTATGGAGGATCATGATGTGGACATGGATGAAGAAGAGGCGTTCTTGAGAAAGACTTCAATAGGCCATTGGTGGGAGGACTGTGGAGATGATGGCAACTGTGACCCACAGCATCAGAGAGGACGGAGAGGCTGTATGGTGAACAGCCTCAGTTGGGCCGAGGAGCTCCAGGATATCTTCGAACCACAGGCAGGAGACTGTTACAGTGGAGGGCAAACCAGACAATCCAGCATCTATGTGAGTGATTGTAATTCCCCTTTTCTGTCTGAGACACACAAGTACTGAATTACTCCATTTGTTCTGACAAATTCAACTATAACCCCAAGCGAACGGTCCTGGTTTCTTTTGAAAGCAAAGTACTTTTACATATACTTCTATGTAGAATTTGAAACAATTTCACGTAAATGTTCATCAAAATAATTATAACCTCAGTCTATGAATATCTTGTTTCCATACATACATTAAATGATTATAATCTGTATGCAGTAGAAAAATAAGAAGAGCAGTAATATTTGACATCTGATCCTTATGAAGGATGAAAGATGCTTTAAAATCTTGCATTGTTGCTGCATTGTGACACTGTAGGAACAAACTCTGCATGTGTTTTAGTGTCTCTTTTTGCACGTGTGGGCATCTGCTCCCTTGTCTCTCTTACGGCTCAGCACACTTGAATCCGTGATGTGGATTAGGCCTGGAGGAGACTCCTTCAGGAGACAAAACCAACGGATAATGTGCATTTTGAAATTTGTTTGCTCTGCTTTGGGTCAACGAACAGATGCAGCTGCAATGTGATTAAAGGAGCTGCTACAGTATTAATCAGCATCTGTAATGGTTTTGTTTTCCCATCTTGCAGTCTCATCCATCGTGCTATGTTTAGCCCACACTTTAAGCTCACGGTAGCGCAACAAATTGTGTGCCCTCATTTCTCTAGTATTTTTAGGCCTGTCACCTCCTATCGGGACACAGATTTCTAGCAGCTTCGATTACTAGAAAGATGAAGAGGAGACGCACGGAGAAGGAGAGCAAGGGAGGAAGATGGAGGAACCGAGACCAGGAGAGCATGGCGGCGCCGAGCAGCTCTCTCTCTCTCCCCTCCCTCTGCCTTCCATTTCTGTCTCCTCTTCTGCTTCCGCCTCATCCCACTCTTTCCCCTCTCTCCTGCTCCCCTCTCTCCCTCCCTCCTCTCTCTGCCTCCCCACCTTCCTCTCACTGCGCTCTCCACCCCCCCCTCCCACACTCTCCTGCACGGAGCTGCAGTATATGAGAGGGTCTCCCGGGTCTAGCTTCACTGCAGTGTAGAGGAGGGCAGGGCGTCAGTTTCAGTACGATGCTCTGAAGGATGGTGCACCAGGAGAAACGCGTTTACCAGGTGTGTGGACTTGTGTTTGTATGTGTTAGTCATTCTGAGGGCGAAGCACGCCATTTACAGGTGGACATGGTAGGTATCCATCACGGCAGAGCTGCTGTGGATGAGTCAGACGTGATGGATGAGTGTGATGGGGGAGGCGTCGTGGGGAGGTTCATTTGTGATCATTGTGTATTTACGTGTCCTCAGTCATCTCATTCGGCGGATGGGCGTGTGACCAGATGACACGGTTCGTTCCCTGCCACAAATTAAATCGTTGAACGTCATTTACAGTGACCATGAGGTGTTTTTCCTCTGCCACGTTCTCTTTTCTAGGAGGTTAAAAAAATGTGTTTGTGTTTGTGTGTGTGCGTGTGTGTAGACAGTCTGCTGTTAAGGAGGAGATTTGAACACTTGAACAGACTGTGTGAAGTAGACGAGCAGGAGGCACAGCGTTGTTTGGGTGAGAGGGGGCGGTCAACTGTGATGTAGCCTCTTATAGATTTCAGCATCATCTAATGCGTCAGAAAAACTGAATGTGTTGGTCTGGTTCATAGGTTGTTAATAGAGAGTGAGACACACACACACACACTACATGCAGTATTGGCACATGTGAGCACTAACCCAAAATATAAAACCGCTGTCCTCATGTGGCTAAAAAGAAAGAAAATCATGACATGCTGCTCCATTTTGTTCGGTATTTAAACAGAAAAACCGAGACTTCACGACTTTGTATTGGTGGAAAACAACAGAGTTCAAATGAACACATATTTGTGCAGATGACAAAAACAAATGAGGGGCAGCTCCATACTGGTAGCTTACAGTATATACATTCAAAGTGATGCGCGATTCGCGGTACGTTAGGAAGAAGAAGGGGAAAAAATTTAAATCAGGACAATGAAACTTCTAAATGCAGAGAAGAAAAACAACATTTCTGGTCAAAAAGAACCAAACAGAAAGAGGAAAGAAAATGGCTAAAGAGAAATTGGGTCGGTACAGAAACAGATTGCACGACGTGAATGGCACAGCCGTCTTATCCAAAAGATATGGTTAAACCAAATGGTTTTGGTTATACCAAAGACAGTAACGATTTGGTAAGAATTTGTTTGATGACATGTGACAACATCAGGAACGTACACATTACGAATAATCTTTTCTAATTTAAGTCTGGTGTCCTAGAAATAAAATAAGATAAAAAAAAATGTTAACTGGGCGCTGTTAATGACCATAGAAGCTGCCAGATGAAGGCATTGGTTCATTCCCATGAGGGCTGCATCTTACCCGAGGATGAAAAGGATGTCGGTCTATAACAGAGTTAATGCAGAGGGAGACAGACGCAATCATAGACACAGCTTGAGTTTCCATTTTACACAATCTCAACGTCTCTGAATTGTGGGATGAAAATATGACCGTCTGAATCTGCCAGATGCGCCTTTTTAATCTCAATTACAGTCCAACATTTGCTGTAGTGCCTGCGTGTGACAGAGGAAAGGCATATTCTGTTTTCTGCGTATGCAGGGTTGACACGGTTTTGTGTTGATGATTCAGACCTGATATTTATAAGTGGAGCTGATTATTTAGAGACAGAACAGAGTGTTATATAAGGGGGCATGTCTTTGTAAAGCCTATGGTAGAGTAGAAGAGAAGAAACTAATTATAATAATTGTGTTTGCTAAGCTTCGTCAGTGAGATATTCATACTGTGAGCAATCCTAATGTGTGAGAGGCATGAAATTGGATTACATGATTTTTCTACCTTTGCCATCTACCTTTCACTGCTTAATCCCTTTTGGTCCTTCCTCCTCCTCTCAAACAGAAAGTGCATTACCATTTGGTACAACACAGTATTTAAGTCTTAATTTAAATTGCATACTATACACAGCTTAATATCCCTTCTTCCGAGTGTGTCCCACGCTGATCCTTAGCAGCACTGTTATTAATGTTCTTTACGTTTATACATTTTCCTCCTTTCTCTCTTTCTCGCAGGCCCAGAGGAATGAGAGAGAGTCCATCAGGCAGAAACTTGCCCTTGGCAGTTTCTATGACGACGAGCCCGTCATCTACACCAGCTGCAGCAAGAACGGCCTCTCCTCCCGGTGGGTTCCGATCCAGCGTTTGTGCGTGTTTGTGTGTCTGAGTCTATCAGGGTTTTATCAATGAAGGCGTTTGAAGGCAGGCACCAATGTTGTTTGTGTCTTAACTTCAGGTCCTTAGATGATCTTCCAGAATTCATTTTGTGATGGTTGGCTGGGAAACAGTGAGATTCGCCTCTACATTGAATTCATTACCGATACAGAGACAGCATGATTATTATTATCTATTTGGAAGACACTGAATACGAAACTTAGTATCGAGTTTGGTCGACTTAATGTGTCTAGATAATAAACTTATTTTTATCATTTTAGATTTTTATTTTTTAGATTTTTTTACAGACATTATGACAAGGCAATATCCAAACAGAATCAGTCTGACCCTCTTTTGAGTGCATGTTAGTGCATGAAACACAAGAACACACACGTTGTCTTTGTGGAAACCTGTCCAATGAATATCAATTTTCACAACATTTGGTGAATCTGATTGAGCTCCTTTAGGCGTTGAGGATGTTATCTTACTTCTTAATCTGGAAAAATATTGGTTATCAAAGAAACAGAAAGTATATCACAAAGGAGACCTGAGATGTTTTTAACTGCGCTTGAAAGTTGATGTGTATTTTTGAGACGACGGCTTTGTGGTATCTCACAGCTGGATGCCTGTCTCCTGGGCAGATGTGATTGCTTATTAAACATCCAGAAGAGAAAACTATTCAGTTCTTCAGCTTCATCTATCAAAACAAACAAATCAGAGAGATACAACTGATTTGATCGGCTTTTTGGTTGACGTGGTCTCAAGTATAAATGGCACTACATGACAGCAGGTCATTGAAGTAGACAATGCATCAATACCAGAAGTTTCAGTAATAAATTGATTCACTTCTTCACTTCATTTCAGGCACTTTTCTTACCGGGTTTAACTCCCCCCTTTTTAGACTTATATACACACATATATCTATTTATATATAGATAGACATGGAGATATACATATCTATATAGATATAGATATATACATTTATATGTGCAAGTGAAAGGTTTTTCTTTTACATTTAATGGTTTTTGTATCAAATTAGTGTGCATTATTCCATTTATTTACCGTTTACATTTTATTTTTTAGAGTCAGCAGGCTCGAGTATTAAAATGATAAAGAATTTAATAACTAACAGAAGTAATAAGCAATACAGCTACAAATTTAAATAAAGTATGAATAGTGTAATCTTATTTCGCGAAATAGAGAAGTTCCCTTGTCCAAGTCTCATATGACCATCAATATTGTCTTTTTAAGAGGCTTCTTCCTGCTCCTCCTCCAGCTGTGCTGCAGGCGTATGTGATTGGCTGCACATTCCTCCCCCGTGAATTCTTTTCTGTTCCCAGGCATCACATGACTCTCTTCTGGCTCCATCTGATGGTCGAATCTGAAATGCCTCCCTGACCTGACCGATCCCTGTTCACTTAATACTGCGGTGCATTCAATGATCACACCTTTGGCTTAAAGCTCCATCATGTAAACATAACATAGCATGTACAATAACATCACATTTCATCCCATCTTAACCATTGCGTTTGACTCAGTTCTATATGGTCCAAAATCAGAATGTTTGCCTCGCAGGACTGTCGTACATCCTGAGAAAAAACTCCCTAAAAAAACCCTTCGGGGAGAAAATTGGGAGAAATTCATAAAGGACGGCAATTAGCATCCGTCCCCAGGTCTTAATGTTACATTGTCGCAGGAATTAATTGTGTTTGATTCATTTTGCAATTATTTTATCTAACATGCTAATGTAATGCTAACCAATAGCTAACATCACACAAACTACAATTCTATGACTGAACATTACTACATGTATTATCATTTTTACCACAAGGCGTGCTCTACTGCTTAAACAGCATTGTGACATTTTTAACTGTTGTCCGTGGGCCTGCTGTTTAAATGTATCATTAAAAGAAATTTAAAAAAACAATATGTATTATAACTAAATTAAAACAAGATATACTGTCAAGGATGATAGGGATAAAAAGCTTAAAGAGGTATTGTCATTTATTTATTGACAACCTCAAATCACAAGAGAAGACATCAGCAAACAGAAAGCACAGGGCCGCAATCCAGAGCAGACAGTGCGAGCATGCAGTGACCATGTATGACAGAACATTGATTGAATTGAATGCGCGTTAGGTTTAGGACGAAAGAATACAAACGAGACCAAATGATCCTTCCATGGAATTGATATTTCACATTTGTAATTGAGGTTTTGTGCATGTGACATGCGCACACACGCAGTGGAATGAGTTGTGTATTGCATCAGAAACCAGGCGGTTAACAACAGAAAAACAGCTCTTCTTTCTCTTCATGACTGCATTGACCTCTAGTGACGTTTACGTAAAGTGACGCCCCCCCCCCCCCTCAATTCTGGCTGCTTTTAAGGAAGGGAAGTTCCGTCTGCGGCCCACTTGCCCCTGAAAGAAGAAGTGATGCCTGAGGCCGCCGCTGTGATAGGTGGAATTGGAGTCATGTGATCTCTAGTGGAGCGAGGGTGTACCCTCTGGAGTTTGGTTCGGAATGGAAATTCCAGCACCACCAGGTCCGGTTTGTGAAGCTGTGTAGGTTATTGTTCTCGTCCCTGGGCCGGGTTACTCGGGTTCTTTTAGTCAGAGTATCATAATCTAGAATTGAGCTCTTGGAAAGGCTGTGGTTGAGATGCAAACTGCTGCGGTGAGCCGGATGTTATGTTTGTGTCTTACTTTTGGTCCAACATGATATTACTGACGTAACTGCACTTCATGGCCGAAACTAATTGGACACCACAAACAAAGAACATGTGCACTTGTTTAACAGATTGTTTCCAAATCTTTGGCATTGATATTCTGCTGTAACACGCTGGGAAGGCTTTTAGCAAGATTTTGGAACAATGCTTCAGGGGTTAGTGACGTCAGCGATAAGGCAATAAGGCCTCCAGTTCATCCTCAAGTTGTTGAGATGCTGGAAGGCTGTGAGCTTCTCCTCATCAAACTCTGAAAAATGCATTTCGAAAATGACCTCATCTTTGATGTAACAGGAGACTGTCCTCTCTGACGTGTTGGGCGACAAAGCTGAGAGCACACTGTGTTCAGATTCTGCCATGATTAGAACAAACCATGAAAGACACCCTCAGACCAAAAGTAGATGCACGGGAATTTCCATTTTACAATCTTCAGCTACACACCACATTTCTAGATAAATTTGTTTTGGGGTGAATTGTATTTGCTGTTGATCCTCTAAATCATTATTCCCACTTGTTGAGCATCTTGCAAAGCGATGGCCTTTTAAAAATGATGTGTGCTAAAAGGCTTTGATTGTTAACATCACCAGATGTCATCATGGTCTTTATTAAGCTTGTACAAAATAATCCAGTTTATTCTCCGTTGTACGTGATGTCTACTATGTACAGATGAGTATAGAGCTGCGATTGTTGCAACGGCAAGTTTTTTCAGTGTCATTTCTTGTGTTTTTCACTCTTTTTGTTGTATTTTTCTCTCAGGCTGCAGAGCGGGGTGAACCTCCAGGTGTGTTTTGTCAATGACAGCAGCAGCGACAAAGACAGCGATGCAGAGGACAGCAGGACAGAGACCAGCCTGGACACACCGCTGTCCCCCGTGGTATGCAGAGCTTTCAGCAGCCTGTGTTGCTTTCGTGCACGCGCTGCATGTTTGTTACCCTCATGATGTCACTTACTTACACCCTCTTTGTCGCCAGAGCAAGCAGAGCTCGTCTCTGTCGGACCGGGACACGGCGGAGGAGGACTCGGACCCGTTGGATGACTGCGGGGGGTTCTGGCGGGTGCAGCGGAGGCTGCAGGAGGAGGCCCGAGTGGCGTTGGCTCTGGCTCGACCCATGGCCCGCATGCAGGTGGAAGTGGAGAGGCAAATCCAACTGCACAGACGTTCACCTGTGGCCGACTTGGTTAGTCATTGAGACAAAGAGAACATGAAACAGAGACTTAAATACAAACATTTTTTTATATTGACTGGTCTTTGAAAGTGTTTTTTTTTTTAGAGAGAGAGATAATCCGGGACAATGAAATTTGTGGAGGTGGGGGGGAATAAAAAAAAAGTGGAAACGCAATACCGTACGGTAACTTGTAAGTAAACACAGTTGAAATGACATGAGGGACTTCCTTTTGCTAAATAGAAGGTCAGTCCTTTTTTTACAACTGGACTGTGTGTGCGCCCAGTTTAAAAAAACCCTGATACAATAAAACAAAAGAGCAGCGAGTGACGTTTGCAAAGTCAATTAGCTCCAGTTGACATTTACTCATATCCAATAAAACCGTTGTGGTCAATATTCAAATTCTGGCCTGTTTGACACATTTTGACCGACGGCAATTGTGCGCGTTTACACCTGCAGCTTCCCCATATGCCCCACATCAGCGAGTGCTTGATGAAAAGGAATCTGAGGCGAGGGGACATGAGGGACATGAGTCTAGGACAGCTGCAAGTCATCACAAATGACCTTCACTCGCAGATTCAGAGTGAGTGAATCGCGCACACAAAGTAGTGCAAACCCGTAGTTAAAACATCACTGTCTTTTTCTTTTATATTTTTTCACAAGCTAATCACTAATCACCAACTGACACAGGTCTAAATGAGGAGCTGGTGCAGTTGCTGCTGATCCGGGACGAGCTGCATGTGGAGCAGGACGCCATGCTGGTGGACATAGAGGACCTCACCAGGTGAGGCTGGCTTTCTGTCTGATTCTCCACGGAGAAACGTGGTCCCGTACCCGCTCTAACGCTCTCCCTGTCTCCACTGCGACAGGCACGCTCACATACCGTCAGCGGCACCAGGCAGAGAAGGCCATCTCCAAATAAACCCCCCCCCTGTCTGCCACGCCGTCTACCTCTCCGCTCTAGTGAGACTGCGCCCCCCCCCTCGCCCCCACCCGGCGTCGCCAATGACACTCCATCCCAACTCACAGACCTATCACATAAATGTAACGCACCACAGAATGTTGTCAAGGGTCAGAGGACATCCTAAAGACGCGCAGCGGGCGGCGCTTTTCGGTGTGGGCAGGTTTTTCACTTCCACTGAGCACGATTACTCATGCCATGTTTTATAGAACTAAGGGAATCCTCTCCACTTAATTGCTCCCCCCCCCCTCCCCCCCGCCCCACCCTCCCACAACCCCCCGATTTACCTCTTGATGATTTTTACTGGTACACCCATGTTAATTCTGGGATACAGAGAGCACCTGCACGCCTTGTTTCTTCGTTGTCTGACGACTTCTACGGGCCACACCTGACCGCACTTTGTATTTTGTTTTTCTCTATATTCAATGTCAAAAAATGTACGAGCTGATCTGTGGAGACTCTCTTCACCCACGTATTATTCTTTCCACTATGAGCACTGTGTCATGGCTGTTTGTGTACGACTCTCTGAGCCGTTGCGTTAGAAAACGATGAGGAGAGGGCAGATTTGTGGCTTAGCTTCACGGCGGTGTTCAATTGCTCCAGCAGCTTCACAAAGGTCGGTTTCTTCGATTGCTGCTACAGTTTCCACCTGCTTTAAAGATGCATTACAGAGTTGTACAATTTGAACTTTATTGACTTAGTCGGTGAAATACACCAAATTACATGAAATTGTTTAAAAGGATTTTCTTAAGCAGTGGAGACATGACAAAATAAAAATAAGAAATATGCAAAATCAGAAGAAGAAATATATATAAATATATAGATATGAATAAATCACAGCCCAAACATATATAATTCATTTGTTTCGAGGATTAATGGACATAGTGTATGTGAATGTTAAAAGATACTTTATTATTTATTAAGATGAAGAACATGCCTTTTTGTCTGGCTTTGTTTAAATGTTCCACGCTTTTTAAGAATGTTGTTCAACAAAGTCAAATATTCTTTTCTAATATGTTTTAGTGATAAATGTAATGTATAATGATTGTAAAATCTAAACTACAGTAATAAATGTTTCAAGTGTGGTGAGCTTTGTTTATATCTGGCTGGTTTTCATGACAGTTCATTTGCATTTGGTGTTTTTCACTGTGAAACTAAATAGAAATCGTTTCATCAAGTGATGCTTGGAAAAGCGTGTTGAGTCTACTCTCATTCACACGTGTGTTGACACTTATGTAAAAGTTTTTATGGAGGATTACCACAACCAAAAGGGGAACTACCCTCGACTGCATTGACAAAAATAAAACTGTTTCAATTTTCAGTTAATCCAAATGGACTGCTAGTAGATTATTACTATTATCTTTTTTTATTACCGTTTCACCCATACTTAAATTTACTTGAACTACTGTACAATAATCAATAAATAATTTCCACCTCAGATGGCTGCCCAGAATTTCTTAATCGTTTGGAAATTTGATTTTTCAAATAAAAATAGATACTTCTATTTCATTTCACAAAGATCAAAAACATTTTAAATATACATGGTAAACTTAACATGACATTCTGGATGGTTTATTAAACAAATTGTGTTTTACATTCTCTTTCATATAATAAAAAAAAAACATCCTTTCTACAATAGTATTTTTAACTCCTGTCATGTTATAGAGAATGAAGTTTATAAGTCTTTTTCTGTCTGCCTCTTAAATAAGAATATCTGTGTTTTTATTGATACTGTTGCCATGACAGATATTGGATAAATATTAGGCATAACTGAGCAGGATTGCAGTTTCCAATCATACATACTAATGCTTTCACTATTTAAATGTCAACAGTGAGAAGCTCAATTACTCATCAGTGTCTGTGTTAATTCCAGTTTCACCAAGGCATTTGGTGCAAATAGGGGGAAACATTGGCAGCACACCTCCAATCTATGCTGTTGCATGTTGAGGAAACCCCCTCCATCAGCCGGGTATAAAACACGCAAGGATGCCTGAGTAGTCACCTACACCAAAGAATCCACAGTCCAAGATGCCACTCGTCAAGCTCTGTGAGTATTACACCTGAACCGAACTTTTGTTCTTCTTTTTTTGCAGTTATTGAAACTGTAGTGTTTAACTCTATTTGAACTCTCATTTCTTTTTAAATCTATATCAGACTTCACTCCTGCTCTGCTGCTGCTCGTGCTCACCTGTCCTCAGGTCAGCCGGTCCCTGCCAGTGACGAGTAGAGGACCACTGAAAGAATCTTGTGTTTCATACGCAAACACACTTCTACGGAACATCACTGACACACTCACACAGGTACGTCAACCAAACTAAATATACTTATTCGCCGTGATCCTTGATATGTCTTTTATTTAAGGTTTAATATATAATCCTCCCATGTGCTAGATGGAAGAGCATGTATTCAACTGCTTGCAGCTGAATGTGGAGCTGAACATGACGACTAGCACGCCATCTGCGTGTGCACCAAAGGTATGATGCCGACAATATCTTTTAAATGAGCACATTTAATGTGTTTATTTGAGGCATGGCCAAATATTAAAATGTATTTAGCTGCACCTGTATAGTAAACTAATAGTATGCTCTGTTTGTCCCACAGGAATCAAAATGCTCAGGAACAGTCAAAGCAGAGTTTGATCAGGTAGGATGTGCTTTTACTCATATTTATTTCATGTTTTATTTGTCTAATTTTATATATCTTTAAAAACGCGATGAAGACTTGTCAGACTTTAAAATGATGACATGGAAGAAACAACCATTTGTGGAAATACAACTGTATTTTGATGAGTTTAAATTTTTACACACAATTTTTCCACTTTATTAGGTACGTCTAGATAATTAAATGCAATTTGACAAATACTTATTATAATAAATAATATTTTGTGTACTTTAAACTGCCTATAATGTTCAATTTCTAATGGTCATTAAGGTGTTTCATCAAATATTTGAAATGTTTGCTATCCAAATAGTTGAATCAAAACTTTTAACACCTCTCAATATGATGTAGTCAGGTACAACACTAATATATATATATATAATAATAATATAATATAATTTAATTTAACATTTAATTCAATAGTGTCTGACACTATAATTTAAAACTGAACAGTATGCGCTTCTAGATTCAATAGTGCACTGTAAGTGTGTATACAGCATCTACACATATACTGTATGTTGTTTAACAATAGTCTTTGCTTTTCCTCCATCCAGGAGTCTTGTGTGACAAATATCGGGGAGGATCTGCATCACTACTATGAATTCCTCTCTGCTCAGACGGACTACAGTTCACTGGTTTCAACTGTTCTGTTGAGACTCAGGGAGCTCATGGAGGTACGTTCTTACATAACACTCACAGATATTATCAGATGGCAATCACCTGCCAAGTTGTAGACAGATCTTAGCCATTTCTTGTGAGATCTGCTCATGAAAGACGTTTGTCCTCAACAGAACTGCTTCCCGTGGTCTCTGCAGATAGACGTCTCAAAGGGGGTAAGCTCTCTCCTATTTCAATGTCTTTATTTATCATTTATCTAAGATTGAAAACTTAGCTTTCAGTCATAGTCTAGTTATAGAAGATTATTTTCTAATTTCTCTGTGTTTCTTTAAGGCTGCTTCAAGGGATGAAAACTCATTTGACAGAAGACTGAGGCTCTGCAAAGTGCTAAGAGGCTTCCAGGTCCGCTGCATCACAATGAACAGAGCCATTGGATATATGAACTCTGGAGAACACACTAAATGAGAGTACTTTTAGAAAGCATATTATGTTATGTATAGATCCCACCAAACTACAGTAACAATTTGTTACTTTCAAATAATCTATAAAACACTCCAGACCACTTTATCATTATTATTATTATTATTATTTTTAGGATCACATATTTATTATTTTGTTGTCATGTAACTTATATTTGACATTAAGATGATGTGTTTTTATAGACTAATGTTATTTATTTATCAGTGATGATATTATTTTCAACAATGTGTTGTTGTGTTATTCAGTTGATTCTAAGAATCACCAAATTAATATTATTATTTATCCTGCATAAATCCTGCCTAATTATCATTAATTTATTCACTTCAATGACTTGAAAAAATGTGTTATAATATACTGTTTGATAAAGACCCTTCATGCTCAAGGCTAATAAAAAATGTTTTAAAGTCATTCATTGGTCTTTGTGTGTTAATACTGCTACAGTTGCTTAATCTAACATGGGGTATGATTTACAGGCATATGCTCTAATTGATACAAGTTGTTAATGTTGATGGAAACATTTTTAAAAGCCCTTTAATCCTCAGAAGGATGTGAAAGTCTGTGGTTTTTAGGGGTTTATTAATAGCATTCATATTTTAATTCAGGAGAAACTTAAGATGTATCTTTACAATAAGGTCAAGTTTAGAGTTGTAGTTTGAAAGACCTATGACGTTCAAAAAGTGTGAGAAAATGTGGGTCAGTATAAAAACCACCGAGACAGAACATCTGAATGCATGTGATGCTATACAATCTGTTGCATTGTACTATTTGCCTTTCTTTGGGAAAAACTGAGAACACGTTTTACAGCTAAAATGATCTACTCCATTTAATGTAGTGACACCCATTCACACCCTGTCGAAAGAATGACAAATTATTGTCGTTTTAGTGCCACCTGGTGAAATAAATATCTCATGGCATCACTTAAAGGATCATGCAACTAAAATGCGTACAAATTCACTTGTTACCTAGAATGACTTACGTGAACCAAAAATGCTTAACGCTTCGATTGTGACACACGTGCGTTGATTACTTAAAGACATGCGCAGTGAGACCGGACGGTGATCAGAATAGGCGCCGTCGACAGGTGTGCTGGAGGTTAATTAACCACTTTAAAGCTGCGGGGAAATTCTCACAGCTTCGCAGGACGACGACGGCTTCCAGACGTGTCCGAGGGCAACAATGGACTGCAACTTCCCCCATTGGTGGCTCACCGTCCTTCTCTCGCTTTCTACGCTGACAGACGGCCGGTCCAGCCAAGGCCCGCGCGCCCAAACCAACTCACCGGCCGCCCTGAGAGGGAGTCGGTACATGCAGCCTCCGCTGCCCGCCGCGAGCCCACCGCAGCAGAGCGCGCGGCCTCGACCCGTCGTGGTCAACTGCCACCCCAACTCCATGCGGGTCGTGGTGCAAGCCGACATGTTCGACATGGGCATCCGGGTGGACGGCAGGCACCTGCGCCTTGGGTCGGACTCGATGGGTGAGGGCAGCGCATGCGGAGCGGTCCCATCGGGCGAGGCGGAGTTCACCATCCAGGCCTCCCTGAGAAATTGTGGCGCCAGACTCTCTGTAAGTGTTTCTTTATGATAATGCAGGTGCAACTGAGCTTGTCGAGAGTCAAGTTTTCTGCGGTGTTGAGAATAAAATTCTGTATTCTGTGGGTTGATGCATTCTGAAAGCGTAACGTGGTTCCTTTTTCAGTCGACAAAAGAGAAGATCATCTATTCGAATGTTCTGGTCTACTCGCCTGAACCTTCAGCTGCTGGTCTGCTTAGACTGGCTGCAGCAACTATTCCTGTTCAATGCCATTATGAAAAGTAAGTCCTGCATATCTTGATTGTGGTCTGTTGAGTACTGTTGGAACCAGCTGCTCCAACAGGCTGTCTCTCCTCAGGAGGTATGCGGTTGCTGCCCTTTCCCTGCATCCCACCTGGATTCCATCTGTCTCAAGTGTCTCTGCAGAGGACCATATAGCCTTCAATCTGCTGGTCATGAGTGGTATTGAAAGGATTTTATTTTTTGATTGTGCTTACTTTCTATGCTGAATAGTTTTGAGTTTATTTTCATGCTTTGATGGAAGTTGCATGTTTTAAACAGTTTTCAAAAATGTTACTGATTTTGGATTTTTGTTTTAATTTTTACAGATGATTGGCAGTTTCAGAGGGGATCTTTTTCTTTCTTCCTGGGGGACCCTATTCATTTTGAAATTTCTGTCTTCATTGGTAATCACGTTTCCCTGCGAGTCTATGTTGACAACTGTGTCGCCACAGCAACTCCAGATTCCCAGGCTGCATTAAGATATGACTTTATTGAGAATTATGGGTGAGCTCCACAACCAAGTCCTAAACTCCGCCACCGACAATTGTTTGTCAATCATCCTCATTTTCAACGTTCACTGCCTTTTTTGCTAATCAACAGATGTCTTGCTGATACACTCCTGACAAACTCCAGCTCTCATTTCCTACCAAGGGTTGACGATCACAAGCTGAGGTTCCAGCTTGAGGCTTTCAGATTCTACCACGAGTCAAACAATCAAGTTGGTTTTTTAATTTTGAAGGCTTCCAGACAAATATAGCTTTTTATCAAGCGTAATAAAAGCATTGGTTTATTCTTAATGGCGCGTGTGCTCATGTTTCCTATTAAACCTTCCCACAGATCTACATAACCTGCTACCTGAAGGCTGTTCCTGTTGAGTCATCTGTCGACTCTCAAAACCGGGCTTGCTCGATAATTGAGAACAGGTATTATACCAAGGAGTCGTGTCATATTGTCCCAAAATGGGGATTAAGCGTGTGCCTCTTTTGAATGCCATGGTATCTGAAACAGTTTCTACGGTGGCCATTAAGTGCAAAAAACAACCCCAAATAGGAACGCACAACAAAATTAACTTAAAGAGTAGGGCCTTCTAGCAGAGGACGGACCCTTCTGATTGGACAGACTGTGTCTTTTGATGCTACGGCCGACACTGTTCGGGGACCGGAGTCCGATTCCTTGCCGTGAGGAATTGATGTGTGGCGGGAGTGCGTGACAAGAGACCGAAATGCGTGACTCTCGCTCAATGCGTAACACTTGAGAGCCCTGTATCATTTCCTGTTAAAAGACAGTCAGTCTGTCCAATCAGACGGGTCCGTCCTCTGCTATCTGCTATAAGGCCCTACCCTTGCCGTAAGAAGTTAATTTGGTTCTGTTTTCCTATTTGCCGTTGTGTTTTGCACTTCGGGGCCACTGTACGTTTTCTTGTTTATATAAAACCTGCTACGAATGACCTCGCTGAATTCGCAGAATTTATTTCTCTTAATTGTGAACCCCACCCTCTTATTCAGATGGAGATCAGTTGATGGCAACGACCAGGCATGTAGAAGCTGCGCTTCGCATTGGCTGGAAGATCCTCTGCCCACGGAAAATCTCAAAAACACAATCGGCACCCAAGCACTGCCCACAAACGCTTCCCCAGAGGAAAGATCTGAACAACGCTCTGCCAATTATTTCCGTTTTCGGCCAGGAATGCTGCAGAGCCAACAACTTGAACCCCAGCCATCCCCTTCTGGGCTGAAGAGAAGGGGTGAGTGCAGCAGATGGAACTTTCACTGGATTAATAGTTTTTATTAACATGTCTTATTAAATTTAAGGCCCAAACCGTTTTAACTTTTTTTTTATACAGCATTAAATTTGCTCTAAACTATAGCTGCGTTTAATGTAGAGTCTGACTATTTGGGTATTCCCATTTGTTGATGTCAAATTAATTTAACTTTTTTAATGCTGAATGAGATCTTTTAACATTCTCCTTTGTGTTACAGAGCGAAGTGTCCAGTTTGGACCCATTACTGTAGTGCCTGACAAGACCACCAGATTGTAAAACGGTACTTCCACAAAGAACTGGGACTCGAGATACACGGAGACTGACGTTTGTCATCGCTGCCGTGTATGGGGAAAAAAATTATCAGAGCCCAGGTGAATGTGGAGATTAATATCTGAAAAGCTGCCTTCCCTGAAATTTAAGGCAGATATTCCCCAATAAATGTTTTACATTAACTTGTGTTTTTGTTTTTCACCTGCTCTACAACACGCACTCATTATAATTATTGCAATTGGTAATCTGATATTTACTAAATCCAGCAGACTTCAGTTATTTCCAAGAACTTGATATCCCTTCAGCAAACTATTAAATTAGCATTGGTTTGTATGCACTCAAAGTCATTAGGCCCAAACCACGGACGTTGTCAAAAGCATTGCATTGTGTAGTTTTGTATTTTAACACAAATGCACACATCATGCAATATAATGCAGAAATCCATGTAACCGAACTTCTATTCTGATTCTAGCAGACCTGCTAATATGGAGCACTTTCCTCCATTATTACCCGCAGCCCAGTCGTGTAGTCACATTATTGATTGCTCATTGTGAGGGTTCCTGCAATGTATAACGCTTTGTGTTTGCCACATCTAGGATTTTTTTGTTTCCACCCAACACTTATTTTCTGAGAAGGGGGGGGTGCTATTTTCACTAGTGTCCCTTCTGCAGTTTTACAGAAGCAGTGTTTTGCACTTGGAATAGAAGCCGCTTTTGCCTTAAGGAAAGACCTGGCTTGACCCCTTAATGTACACTAGTATGAATATTTAATGTGGTACTTATTGGCGCTGTGGACATCCAAAGCCTTTAAATTGGGGTTGGCTGCGCCTCGGGCATCGCCCCTCCATTGTTCCAGTCAATGGGCGTGTCGAGCGTTGTCCCTGGTGCTGAAATATGAACCGGGTCATCTGTATACCCTATATTAATCTTCGGGTTATTGTTTAGTGCTTCTGACTGGTCGATGGCCTGGGCGCCTGTTTACTTGTATCCAGTGATTAAGCCATTCGGAGAGTCTGTTTTACGATTTGCCGGACGGCATCGATAACCGCTAAGTGCATGATAAATAAAAGGCTCCTTGAACACTTAGGACTTGATGTCCAACGTATATATTCATGTTGCAGAAAGGGCTTAGACCAAAATACAGTACGAGTGTTCAATATTCAATGGGTGAATAGTTTAGCTTTATTTTTCCTCCAGTGTTTTTCGGACCTCGGTGGCAATATGCGTTGTGTCGATGACGGCTCTGCGTCAGCGTTTCAGCCGACGCATCCTTCAGTGCTTTAAGTGAATCATCTCGGCAGCACTTTCCCTCCCAAAGCTCTGCCGTCGAGGTTCAATCAAATTCCTCCCATTTGAGCAGGATGCTTTTCTACAAATACCAAGCACTGTCCGTTTTGGCACTTTGCTTTCTTGTTCGGAAGGTTGTTTGCGCCATCCGAAGATGCGGACAGGACCTTTGTCATGATTACCAGGTCTGCTGCGCGCAGGGGAACAACACCCATGCCGTCACCTGTTGCAAGCAGTTCATGGACACCACTTACTACAACATCGCCATGGTCACCCGGAAACTTTCTGGGGTGCTGCTTATGCTGCTTCTCTTCGCCGCGGGATACTTTGTGCAGCGGATGTTGTGTTCCAGGTCCCGGCAGCTCACCCCTCCCCACGGCGGACACCCCGCTGTCACCACATCACAGGAGCCGCTCATGGAGAGCGGCGCGCCGAGTTGCTCGCTGGATCCGGCGCCCGCGTCTCAGCTGCCCTCGTACGAGGAATGCAAACGCCTGCCGACATATGAAGAAACCGTGTGCAATGGGAGCGGCGGGCCGGGGTCCAACGCGGGACAGGCGATATGCATGACAAGGACGTCCGTTTGATACACAACGATTTCCACTTTTATTCGATATTTGAGAATATATTGCAACGGGAATTTCCGAAGCATCCCACCCAAAACGCCCTGGACGTTGTCGACTATTTCCCCTGCAGCAGCTTCGACCCTGTGGACATGTCCATGCGCCCTGTACCAGCTAAAGATTGTGCCGACGAATGCTCAAGAGTGGTTCTTTTTCTAAAAGGGCACACTTTATTGGTGGCTTTGCTAAAAGTAAAGGTATTGTAATGTTTTAGCAATCAGTAATAAAACAATCAAGAATAACCTTGGGGTTGCCATGTCCTAAAAAAAAAATGTTTTATCTTTTTAATTTCATCATGGATTTTCTTGGGAGAAAAACTTGAACAGTTTATAAACATCTATTAATAAACGAATGGATAAGTACACACTTCTATATTATATACACCACCAGGTGTGTTTTTCTCGTCTAACTGCTGCCGTTAATAGAATATACACGTATTTGTTTGGTGGATCTTTATGTATCAATGACTCCTGAACCAGGAGTTTAATATAAATCCCCAGTGACAAAATATAATTCTGCTTAGTAATTGAAGATAGGCTGCATAATTGTAAAAAAGCTCATGATGTGTTAGTGGGACTGGTTCTAATGCACGTTAATAGACTGCGCGTTGTCTTGTGTTTCCTGTGGTATCGATTACATGTCACAGGAAGTATCAGTGTTTTCACCCAAGCAGCTTGTAAGATTCTGTTGTTCCGACAGGATTCTGTGTGTGACTGCATTAAATAAGTTATTTGACGAAAATATATGAGCATTATGTTTTACTGTTGGTAAGAGGGTTAAGGTAATTGGTAAAGCGATTTGAAAATTCAGAATTATTTCAAAATGACTCGTTTCGGAAATATATTTCTTTCTTTTTTATTTTTATTTGACCATTTGTACCACTCGTCTGAAGGCTTCTTCGACCCCAAATCCCGTCGATGCGGAACAAGGCTGAATGAACCAATCCCGATCCGAGCAGATCTTCTTCAGGTCGAACATATCCTTGATCTCGGTGACGGACCGAGCGCCGTTCACGTCCTGTTTGTTGGCGAGGACAACCAGCGGTCGCCCCCGCAGGTGCTCGCTCCTCAGGGTGTTCTCCAGCTCTCTGCGCGCCTCCTCCAAACGCTCCGTGCCCGCGCTGTCCACAACGAACACGACGGCCGCCACGTCCTGGTAGAAACTGGGCCAGTGCCGGCGCATTTTCCTCTGGCCGCCGACGTCCCACAGGGTCAAGTTCTTTCTGGTCCTCCTCGCCTCGAGCATTTCCACGTTGAAGCCAATGGTTGGAACGGTGCTGACGCACGCGTTGTGCTTCAATTTGTACAGGAGAGTCGATTTCCCGGCGTCGTCCAGGCCCAGGAGCAGGACATGGGCTTCTGGTTGTTTGGACCCTTGAAGTCCCATGGCCAAGTGGAGTTATAAACAGTCAACTCGAGTGGGACAGGCCTGTCATCCACTTTTGACGCAGTGTTTGCTCTGTGCGTTTCCCGGAGTTTAATGGATGAGCCATTAACTCCACGCTGGCTAACAGTCCGATAAGGTGCCGCATCAGGGTGCAAAGTGTGTACCGACCAGAGGATGTCCCTTGTTTACACACCGTCAATGGGTGGAGTTGTGCAAACTATAGTCGCATCCGTTAAATCAATATTTTCCATTTGCGTTTTATTCAATGACAACGTGCGAATGGTGTCATTAATAAAGGTTAAGAGGTTATATTTACTAACTCTTTAATTTAATTCTTTACTCCTGAGAATGAAATCCACTTTAAAGAGTCTCTGAATTAAAAAAAACAACAAGGAGTCATGTGGGGTTTTTTTGTTTTTGTTTATGGTGCAACTTATGAAATGACTGAAATCACATTTTGACAGTTATTGAACTATCTCACTTCAATGGATAAACAACACTATCCACCGGCCAGAGAAAAAAAAAGCAGTTTTCTAACTGAACCAGTAGACTTCAAATAAAATAAATAAAACAATAATGTTTTGTTTTGTCGTTGAATCTTTTCATTGTGTCCCACATGTCATAACATCCCAACCCGGACATCCCCTTGACATGGGAATTGTAAAGTGCATTCCAACCCACTTTCCCCATGAAAGTCTTCTCAAAAACAAAGGCAGACGTCAACCCATTTGGCAATATGCAGAGAGAGAGATATATTCTGACCAGACATCAAGTCCTACATCTCACATTGCGACATTGACCTCAAGTCCATCACATTGAAACCACCATCAACATTGATGATTGATGACTTTAAAATCAGGGGTCAAATACAAAAGAAAGGAAAAATAAATAAAGCTTGGTCAGTTATTGGAATTTTTCACCTTGGCACAAGTGCAATGTGACAACAAAGGTCCGTTTAAACAACAGAGTGGTGGATGATAGATGTCACCACAAAACACGTATCCAACTGTCACTTAACCCGGACTCCCTTCTTTCATTTGATCTGAATCACATTACAGTTTAAAGACAATCGCACTGTTTCCAACGCGAACACGTTTACTCAGTGTGCACGACACTCTTCAACCCTACCGACGACATTCCTCTCGTGTGATCTGACACCGAATGCAACGTCTATACAGACTAAATCAACACATCACGGTGATCAGTCCAGCCAACTCAACCACGTCGCGTGGACGACTTAAATCCGCTTTGACTCCGTGGAGCGCTTTGGCGAGGGAACCCAAAAACCAGCGGCATCCGGCTGCTCAGAAGACGCAAGGAGCGCGCGTGTCCAAAGCATTTGGGGCGCTTTCGCTTGATTCCATCCATCAGCGCGTCTGCATTTCACCAGAATGGGAGGGGGGGTTATTTTTGTATAGTATCAAGTTCTTGTCCATTTCTCTCCCGGCTTCACCCACACGCCCCCGGTTGGGTTGTCCATCACGTACACCAGCCCACCCCCGGTGTCACAGCGGCCCTGGGTCCGGCTCAGCGCCCCCGGGGAAGAGTGGAGATTGGTCACCTTCTTCTGAATGCGGACCACGGAGGCCGGAGAACAGCGTTCGTCTCTCTCGCACGCGTCCGATGCACCGGCGCGCTGGAAGATCACCCGCGCGTCAACGGCGGGTTTGGAGCCTTGCTGTCCCATGTTGTGACTTCTACCACTAAATAATCAAGCAGAATAGTGTAATTCCTGCTTGTGTCTGTGGAGTTTGTTCTGGCGACTTTTCTTTCTCGTTTTCCCGTGCGCACCTGTGGCCCTTTATAGAATATGGCGACGGGTTCCCGTTAAGCGTGACGCACTGGACTTTATGAGATAGACGCCTGGATGTTACAACACGGGTCTTTGGTATTTGGATCAGTCCACGGCCGAGCTATTCTGAGTGTGTCCAGTTGGTGAAGACCATCACTGAACTGGCATCATCGAGTGTTTACGAGCTGTCTGGGCCTCTCCGGAAGGGGCGCACAGGGTGGGGGGGTCGGGTTGCACGCCAAGGCGCACAGTCACGGTCTGTATGGGAAGCTATTTGTGGTCCCACTAAAACGCATCCAGGAAACACGCAGCAGACGTCATGTGTTTTCTCCCTGTTCTCACCACCTCATTATTGGGCTAACGTGGAGGAAGTTAGTGTCACAAGGACACAATTTCTTCTAATTCCTGCAGCGATGATACAAAATATTAGTCATTATCTCGGTTGTGCCCGTGAAACAGCTGCTTGAACTGACGCTCAATAAAACATTTGTATGATAAAGTTGTGAAAGCAATTAAATGAAACTGAAATAAAACAGTTGTTTTGTGGGAGATGAAGTGTTCTGCACAGGTCATGGAATTAATGTAATGCTAGAATACGAATGAAAATGCATTCAACATCAAAGAGTTAGTTTATTACTGATAGTTTACATACAGATTATTCTCACGCTGAATTTTCTTTTTACATACAGCATCAGTTCAACAGGTATGAACTGCCTCTTAAAAAAAAAAAGTGAGTGGTAATTTACATAAAGTGAACAATATATTAGATATCATACTGATTTGGAAAAATTTAACCGACAGACCCAAACACTTAACAAATAAATAAGGCATTCGGTAAACTGCTAAATAATAAAGGCGTCTTTCAATTTAACGCAAAGGTCATTGAACAAACTGTGGTGCAACGCATTGCAACATGGAACCACATCAAATAAAAGTTTCACAGGTTGCTGTTGTATTGCTGCAGGAGCATATCATAAGTTAGTCGCATTCCGCTTGCACAGTTCACAATGTGTCCGCTTTTAGTCCTTTTCTGAGGCGTGTGTGTGATTGCAGGGAGTCGGGGGGGGGGGGGCATGCCCCTCACGTTTCGTGCGCTTCCCAGGTCAAAAGCAGGCACCGGTGTCCCTGTTAACATTGTTCATGAACTAAGCGGAAGAACATGCTGATACAGATGGTCTAAAACAACTTTAGTGGAACACTTTAGTTCCATAAAAGTGAATAACCAATAGGTGATGGTGAGGTACTATATCCAGTTCTACAGACGTAACGCTCTTGCATTTCTGAGGATGGACAGAATTCACATTGGCTGATAATTCATCGTTCCTAATAATTCTGTGTCTGTTTGCATGCGTTGAAGTAATACTCCACCAAGAATCTCTCTTCTGGGAATCATTAACAGTCTGCAAGTGAAAAGCGGAAGTAAAATGTTTTGCATTTTTACAGCCTTCAATGACGAAAGCGGCATCAACTACCCTCGACTCCTTCATTGGTTCAACTTCCTATTTCAGTTTACCGGTTGGCCACCGCAAACACTTCCTCACTTACACACATGGATTCATTTTGTCTTTGTCCAAATATAAACAATTAATACATTTAAGAAAGTTGTTACAGGTATAAATTGATTTTTCAAATCTACATTAAAGTCCCTTAAAAATGCTAAGTAAAAATGTGTATTACTAATTCTGTTTACTCACATGATTATTACTAAATGGAATGACATTACTAATAATAGCTTTTATGTCATTTACTATCCTAATTGCTCAGGTCTCCTGCTCAAACATTTACAATTCCCATTTCGGTTTTAACGTAAACACAGTTCATTGTAATAGATTTGCAAGCACCATGAATGTTTAACCAAATCAAACCCAGGGAGAAGTAGCGGGACCTGTGATTGGTCAAAATCCTGTTTGAAGCTGAATGCAGCCGGAGGATGAAACTAAGAGCTACTCTCCGTTCTGCAGGTGGTGAGTATTTGACCCTGAAGAGTTAGATTTTAGGCGCAGCATCACTTCAAGTTAAAAAAAAACAAAAAAAAAACAGTATAGATTTCGCTGTCTTTTTGTATTTGACGACATTTTCCAGGCCATGTGACAGACGCATACATTAATCAAGAGCATCATCAAAATGCAGCAAGCAGGGAGGGGTAATCGCCAATGCTTGTTAGTAGCTTCCTGGTTGCAGAGTATTTCTTAGGTAGGCACTAGTTGAAGCCTTCTTTGAGGATGCTTCACCATATATATGCATGTGCAGCAAACTATAGTCATTCAATCACAGTCTAATGTGTGCTGGTAAAGAGAAAGAGACTGCCGTCTATCTCCACTGTTTTATACAATTTGATGCATTTATCATTAATTGAACAGATGGTTAAGAGAAGTGTGTATTGTGTTAATGCCCTTGTGTCAATCCAAAACCACCATACACGCAAAGTCAAACATTGCCTTGTTATCTTTATGCGTGTGTCCACACGTGCGTTTGGTTCTCAGTGTCCAAACTTAAACTTCCTCCAGTCGTCACGCCTCACATCACACCCGCTTCTCCACTCAAAATATGTGGAAGGTCATTCATCCTCCCCAATCTTTACCCTGACCTACTCCCCCGCCTTACTGCTCCCCCCAGCTCCACTTTTGAACTTCACCACCATGACGGTGATGTTGTCGGGGCAGCCGCGGTAGAAGGACTGCAGGACGATGCTCTTGGCGCCGAAGTGAGGCTCGTCCAGACGCTCGCGGACGAACCGAACGGCCTCCTCGTTGCTGAAAGCGTCCCACAGGCCATCTGATGCCAGGATCATGAACTCCGGCTGCAGCTTGTCCATGTCAAAGGTCATGATATCGGGGTCGGGGATGACTACGTTGAGGTTTTTAAGTGGGTAGTCCCCCAGAGAGCGAGACATAGCCAGGATCCCCTGGACTCTCCAGGACCCGTTAAAACTGATGAAACCTCCTGGAAGTGAAGAGAAAAAAAAAAAAACGTTGAAGCACATGTCCTTGGTAAACGAGATCGCTCATGAAAATCTTTTAATCACACAGCAGGGCGTATATTTTAACAATAGACCAGCAGATGGCATCAACAGGCCTTACATGCAGTGCAGGTGCAGTCAGTAGGTGTTTTTATGTCCCTACCTGCCCTCTTGATCCTCTTGCGCTCCTTCAGCTGGTACGGCTTGTGGTCGTGTGACAGTGCGACGGCGTTGCCGTCTTTGTCACACAACACGCCGCGAGAGTCTCCAACGTTGGCCACAATCAGTTCTCTGTCTGACAGCAGGGCGACGAGGCACGTCGTTCCTGCGTGGGGGGACGGGATGAGCCAAAATAAGAGGAGACGGTCCAGAGAGGACCCATGTTCCAACGACTCGGAAGGAAATCTGGTTGCATTTGTATTTCAAACAGTAGGAGTAAGAGAAGTTTGAGAAGCTAAAACATTGCATTAAATGGTTTTACACATCTTTTGCGATTACACTGCACCCTTTTTGCAAGTGAAAACAAACCAAATATGGATAAATACACTTTGTGCCAGATTTCCTGTATTATTCATTATTGCTTGTTTGCTGTTCAAAGCAAATAAGGAAAGCAGAGGTAATATTTGGTTTATGTGACATTAGATAATAATCGGTCTGACAACATTTTCGGGCAAAAACGTCATTAGATATATCTGTAAATGTCAAGAGATCTCTGGTATGATAATATCTACCACTACTATATTTTCAGTAAAATTACAGTCTAGAATAAATACAGTGCTTTGTAAAGATTAGACCATTAGACCACCTGATCCCTGAAGGCTAAAGGCATGAGCAAATGTTTGACCTTAAAAAGTTGTGATCTACAAATGAATGGAGGAAAAATATGTATTAGAGAAATGCTGCAAAATGCAATAGTTAGATAAGTTGCTGAGGCAAAAACAACAGTTCATTGGAGTATATGTATCAAATAAAATCAACTGATCAATACAGCTCTGACGGGTATAAACTACAGTAATGCAGCACTGCGTGTGTGCAGACTTTATGTAAAAGTGGTTGGATGTTAGTAGAAAATCGCTGTGGTTTAAAATCACAGATGGAGCTCTACAAAAAAAAGCCATATTTCATTCTCTTTTTTCTCATTTCACTACATACAGCCTTTATAAAGTGTTGTTGCATGCAGTATGCATTCAATCGGGACATAATACTTAGAGAGAGTCAAGAGTCAAGATATTGTGAATGGTGTTTTGTGGTCATATGGTCGTGACTGAAACATGGGGTTATTTCTACTGCGGCGGGATATCAGATTTAAAAGTAGGGCGAGCCCCTCATGGAGCAGTTCATCAGGACGGGAGACATTAGCAATATCTGAAAAGAAATACCATGAAGCTGAAGTACAGAGGTCTGTGCGTGTTGCTCTGCTTTCTTCCTGTTCTCTGTTGACCCGTAAACTGTCACACACACACACACACACACACACACACACACACACACACACACACACACACACACACACACACACACACACACGCACACACACACACACACACATACACACACACCGTCACTTTTGTACACTCCCCTGCGGACCTCCTGACCTGCTACATCGCTGTGGCAGAGAGAGTTTCCGGAATCTCGCGATCCCCATTCAAGATGCGCTGCTCGAGGATGCTGCCGTAAGAGGGAGGGGCTTTTTTTTTTTTTTTCTCAAAAGGCCCCCCCCCGCTCCTTCGGGGTTTTTGGCGGGGGGTTTTTCCATTTGTCCACCAAACCCTGGAAAAAAAGGAGGGGGTGGGGGGGGGGGGGGGGGGGGGTCAGGAGGGAGGGGACGAAACGGCAAAGGTTAGAAAAGGGAAGAAGAAGAAGAAGTTAAATATTTACTTTATGCCTGAACTCATACTGGAGTGTTCAGCCAGTGTTCTGCGTAAAGCTTAAAGCTCCACTAATCAATATTCTTCACACTGGAATAAATTACATTGTGTGAATAATTGAATAACTTCTCCGCCCCCCCCGAGCAACCCACCCCTCCGCATAGTCATCTGCTTCTTCATTTGTTTTTGATTTCCATTATTTCAACGGTGTTAAATCAAGCTGATAAATATGATGCCGATTAATCCGTCAAAAGGCAGCCAAAAATCATGTGGTGCAAGAGGATTTATTTAAAACTCCACATTTGATTCCATTGCAGCGAAAACGGAAAAGCACAAAACTGGAAAGGTCTGTCGTTCAAGAAATGGCTTCGGGAGTCGACCACAGCAGGCCATTTCCCAAAAGCTTTCAAAACTGCAGTTATTAAACCTCTCCTGAAAAAGCGGAGCCTACATGCCTCTATTATCAACAACTACAGACCAATTTCAAATCTACCTTTCATAGGTAAAATAATTGAGAAAGTTGTCCTACAACAACTTAATCACTTCCTGGCTTCAACTGGCTGCCACGACAACTTCCAGTCAGGATTTCGACCTCTTCATAGCACCGAGACGGCCCTTATTAAAGTTGTAAATGACATCCGTCTTAAGACAGACTCTGGCAAAACTTCAATATTAATGCTATTAGACCTCAGTGCTGCATTTGATACTGTCGACCACTCAATACTTTGACAGGAAAACTGGGTGGGGCTCTCAGGCACAGTCTTAAGCTGGTTCAGGTCATATCTACAAGACAGGAACTATTTTGTTTCCATTGGTGACTTCGTATCAGAAACAACCGACGTAACGTGTGGAGTCCCCCAAGGTTCGATCTTAGGGCCGACTTTATTTAACATCTACATGCTCCCACTAGGACAAATCATGCAAAGAAATAAAATTGACCACCATTGCTACGCTGATGACACCCAAATCTATGCAGCGCTATCACCAAACGACTATCGCCCCATAGATCTTCTGTGCCAGTGCATCGAGCAAATCAAAGACTGGATGTGTCAAAATTTCCTACAACTAAATGAAGACAAAACTGAGATCATTGTATTTGGTGCTAAAAAAGAAAGGTTTAAAGTAACCCAACACCTTCACTCTCTGTCCCTGAAAACATCAAATAAAGCCAGAAATCTGGGGGTTATTATGGATTCAGATTTACACATGGAGAGAATTTTATTTGCTGGTTTTAATTGTCTTTTAATTCCTGCATTTTATTTCACTTTATTGTATGAAATGTTATAATGTGAAGCACTTTGAGTCTGCCTTGTGTATGAAAAGTGCTATACAAATAAAATTGCCTTGCCTTGCCTAAACCCCTCTGCTGGACAAATGAACTCATTCATTCAGCAAAGAGAGAGAGAGAGAGAGGCTCAGTGTGCCACAAAATCAATTCCCATTCCTCGTGAACAGTTAAAAGAAACCGAGGGCTGCAGTTACAGACTTGAGAAATCACTCAAATATTTCATTCTCTGAGGATATAATGAGAGAATGTCCATTACTGGGCATTACGTATCAGTGAAAGCCTTTAAAGTTTTAAACTATTCAAAGATCAGCAGTTGGTCGGTGTGTGTTTTTTAAAGGACGGGCAGCAGCAGCAGCTCGTCATAACTCGCCACCTTGATAAACTAGAAAAGTGATTTGAGAAATTTCCTTCATTTCTTCAGAGCCAAAACACACTGGCACTGCAGATAGCCTGTTGCATCGGCCCGTATTTGGTTTGCCAGCGTCACTTTTAATACCATTGATTTTCGTGCGACTGCGTGTTTGTTTTTAACACTTGTGTTTTTACAAACTACATGAAAAATGCACAGCAAGTGTGCATGTGTGTGGACACCCGCACATGTTGTGAGATTTTTCTCCCACAAGATGAACGCAGCTTTTCCCTCAACTTTGGACTCATTATATTACTATCTGCATTTACAGTTTGAGCTTAGTTTTTAGCGACTACTGAAACAGGAAGTATAAAAGATTTGGACAAACGAATACAGACCTGCACATTAAGGCAACTAAAAGGGAAGGACACTCAGCGGATGAAAGAGCCAAAAAAATGAGGGAGGAGTACAAGATGTCCAGACAGACCGGAAAGACAAGTATGCGTTAACGGGACAGCAGCGGAGAGGTATCGAGGACACCTTTTGACTTTCCTGATTGAATACAACAAAGCCACATTTAATGCAGCCAATCTTTTGACGAGCAAACGGGGAGTTCTGTTATTTTTCGGTGATCAAATGAAACTTTTCTACAGCAGATCAGACACATTCATGAATGTTCTGGTGTGACTGGACATTAAACGTCTTTGGGTTGGGGATCGCTCTTAAATCAGCACATCTTTCAGTGAAACCTGACGTGGAACATCTGGGAGGGGGGGGTGGCGCTGTGACAGATGGCGTCTGGGGCGTGTTGGGCTGAAAGGAGCCATGAGAAACCACTGACCCTTGGCGACATGGGGAGGGGACAGGGGGGGATGGGACAAGGGACAAAACCGTCACACACAGAACTAACCCCCAAGGGCAAACGTTTTTGTGATGCATCCAAAGTCAACCGCCTGATGTTCACACGGAATAATGTAATAAAAAAAGGGAAAGTCGTGTCATGTGTGAGGCTTTTGTTCCCATAGAAACCAGGCGTGTTCTCACCTTCATAATGCCACCTCCCAGAATGATATACACCAGGTAACAGCCCGCACATTTCAATAGGTTTAATGCCCCACAAACAACACATTGAGCTAGACTGTACGATTTATTTCCCCAAAACCACCTGAACTGAACCCAAAAGGCGTGGATGAGTGCAAACTAACGCACGGTGACGTCACTGGGCTGTTTAACCTCTACCTGCCCCCAAAGGCCAGCATGTACCTCTCCGCCGTGACCGTCGAATATCCCGAATATGGACGGGTGGCTCTTGTTGGCGATGTCGGTGAGCACCTCGAAGCGGTCCTCCATGTGATCCCGCCTGCCCTGTATGGAGTACACGGCCACGTTGTTGTTCTTGAAGTCCCAGGTTTTGGAGAACTCCGCGTCCAGGACGCTGAGGCCTCCCAGCCGGTCGTTCTGCATCATCTCCGCCACTTTCCCCTTCACCATCTTCACGGCGTCCCGGCTGGACTTGACGATGGTTTTCACCTCGTCCGTGTGGAAGAAGTAGCTCCACAGCGCCAGACTTATGCAAAGCAGGAACAACGTCTCCGGCCTGAGGAGAAAATAACGCATGATCCGACCCAGAAGAGACAAGAGCGTCATCGTGTCTCCTATCATCACACGCGACCGAACTGCGCGCCGGGCCCCCTTTCTGCACCACTCACTCCATCGCGCTCGGCGGAACGAGGAAGAAAGCGACTCGCGACCGCGGCGGTTGACAAAGACTCAGTTTCGACATTTATTTTTTTTTAAAAGGTGGGGGGAGGCCTGTTTTTTTTTTTTTTTTTTCGGTCTTCGTTCTACTCCAGCCGCCAATGCGCACCGTGCGCGGCACGCTGCCAGACACCGGGCCGAGAAGCGCAGGACCACAGCGGACAGGCCACCGTCACCGACTCGGTCCGATGTCTCGGTCCTATCTTCGGCTGCGGGAGGATTCTCCGAGTGGAGCCGATCGCGCACGGCCCATTGTAGGGTGACTGAGACGCCGGGCTAGACCCACCCCGCCGAGCGACATGTCAATACGGGGGTAAAAGCAGAGAGAGAGGGGGGGGGGGGGGGGGCGAGATTCGACGATACCACTGGCGGGTGCACCACTCCTCTTCCGCCCCCGTGTCTTCGTCTCAACTAAGCGCTGTCTCCGTCGTTGAGTTTGCGTCAAACCACCGCCGGTAGCGTGCTGTGGATGTCCCAATAAAGCGGAACATAAACCGAAGGCGACTGCGGGGGAGCACAGAGGATCGAATTTCATTTGGGGTTTTATTTTGAAACTACATGGCGGAAGTAGATCTTTCGACACTGGCATCCTCTATGACGTCAATTGCGCAGCTGCAAACTCATACTGCGGAATGGAATGATGATATCATCTACTATAATATGATATGATCTACTGTAATATGATACCAGACTGATACCAAATTAGGATAAAAGTCCACATTGTAGGACCACGCTGACTTTGGATTTCAACGTACACGCACTACATGTACACGCACACACACACACACACACAGTGGCTATACGTGCAATACAATTTCATTTTAGATAAAGGGCTATGATGCAACAATCATTCATTTAACATTACAATACTTGTGTGACACGAAGCTTTTGTTCAGATGTCGTTGCAACATGCATCTACCCAGCACTGTCACCTGGTGGCTTCCTGCAGTAATATTACTCTGACACACCAGTGATCATAATCCATACTCTCACACACACAAACAGACACAAATGGACACATCTAACTGAAACAGTTACACATTTAATTGAAGGTACAGGGTAGCATTCAGATGGGTCTACTAGCAGACATTGAATATAAAATGATGAAACAAACCGTAATTCTCCTCCTCGCTCGGCACACAGCTCGAGTGTCTGTTGCAATCTGAAACCTCACCGATAGAAGATGCAACATCAGCACACTGGGACTTTTAATCAGAAGAGTGAGGGGATCTAACTTCCGTTTGTTTCGCAATACTACGGTATAATGTTGGAAACCGGTCTTTTCCAGTTCAGAGACGGTGTTGCCATTGGGCAATTCACTGCAGAAATCCAGGATTCATCAATATCTTTGGACCTCGGTTTGTTCTTGCACTCTGAACAGATGTGGAAGTGGCTCAAACTGTGTATCAATGTATCTCACATTAAGATCACATGCATTAAAAGTGGGTTTAACAGGCATCAAGATAAGATTGGTCATTCAAATAGATGTTGTCAAGGTCATGAAGCTTTGAGCTATTTGGTGAATCCCAAACACAGAAATCAAGTGAATCCAGGAGAAAATATTAACTTGATGTCATCACTTGGATGTTAAATAATTGCAGGGAATCCTTCAGTGGTCCTCGTCCTCTTTCCTTGTTTTTCATCTGATTTAGGACACAACATTCATCAAAGGTGCCTTTCCAAAAATGCCCATATAGTTTAGGTAGTTGTGTTTCTTGTGTTATCTTCTCGAGAAACGGGTGCGAGTCAAAAGGCAAAAGCCTGTCAATTTTGAATTATTCTTATACAACATACTAAGTGAGATACGCACTTTAGTAACAATTATACACCCGAGGATGCTTAACTGATGCTTTTTCTCTTGTATGTCATTCTTTTTACAGCACTGATTATAATATATTACTGGTCATATTAGAACGGGAGCATAAAGCAAAGCAGTTTATGCTGTCACCTTTTTCTGGAATTATTCTTAATCCTAGGCAATTGTAGACGTTCATGTTAAACTTTTCCTCTTTTCTCTTTTAAGGGGTTTATTTACCATTTTGCCACGTACAGTGTCATAAAACACAAGTTTGGTTGCCAGGGCAACCGACGAGGAAAGGGATGCAGCGAGAAGAAATTCAGGCAACATTTATAATTGTGTGGTACAATGTGGCATTTCACCATCCCGTGCAGTCACCGAGTGGTTTGCAGCCCATCCCAGAATGGTGTCACTTTACCTCCCACCTTACTCTCCATTCCTCAACCCCATAGAGGAATTATTTTCTTCATGGAGGTGGAAGGTTCATGACCACCATCCACATCCTGGACAGAAGATTGCCAGGGATGGATCAGGCATGTCAGAAGGCTCCTTCCTAGGTGTATTGCCCTAGATGACATAAGATGTGATGTGGATGAGAACCTGTGGCCAAATAGAGAAGACCGAGTAGATTAGCATTACTATTGTATCTGTATCAGTGGATGGTGTGTATACAAATTCTTGTATTTTGGAATTACTTAAATAAATATATAAATACCTAAAAATAAAAAAAAAGGAATAAAGGGCATGAAATATATTGAAGCATTCTGCATCATGTGTGATTAATTCCAGTAACATATATTACAGTGAATTATAAACAGAGATGTGTCCTTGTTTTACACAAGAAAACATTGTATAATGCTATTGTTTTATGGGTGACAATGTGTGTTTGCTAGCTGTCAACCTTTGTGTTCTGGAAGAAGGAGTTGATTTGAGACATGAATGAAGTGTTTTGGTAGTTTTAGTGCATTTTGAATGTGATATGAACTTCTGTGGCGAGCTGAAAGTTGGTTCGGAGAACTGTGTGAAGAGTTTTGAAAAAGTGACCTAAGTATTGAGAAATGTGTCCTAGCGACTGTGAAAGACTGTAATGTCAGAGGTCTGACTACATCTAACACAGATTGTCCATGAGGTTCAATAGGTTTACAGGGCTCTCTGGGCTGGTTTGATCAAGGATCAAGGAGGTGAACGGTTGGATCAATGTCTGTTTTGGGACATTGATCCCTCTCCCACTGGCTGCATGGTGATCCACTTTCTGCTTTGAGGTGCTGCCAATTGGTAGGATTGTTACAAGGTGTTGCACCCAGTAACTCTCACATGATGTGCTATTCATTACCAACAGCGTTTGAGTGTGTGTGTGTGTGTGTGTGTGTGTGTGTGTGTGTGTGTATGTGTGTATCGCATGCCTATACACATGTTCTCCGGATGTGTGTCGTTGTGTGTAACCTTATATCTCTGCTGTTTGTGTACAAAGCAAGCATGTGTGTGAACAACATTTAAGCAGTGTGTGTGCACTCACAGGCCCTGGAATAATATCCCACATCACAAAGAATAAAGTCTTGCCTTCTATACAACCTGCTTTATTTCACATCCCACAGGAGTCATGTAATCTGCTCTTGCCAGCCCACCTACCTCCTAATAACCCCGGTGTTCCGTCCCTTGTTCTCTGTCTCGGGGCAGTATAAGGAAGGAGGCAGCCGGCATCAATCAGGAGATGGAACGGATGGAGTGAAGAGTCAACACCACTTACATCAACAGGTGAGATTCCCTTATTCCTCCACATCGTTGCACACTGTGATGCAATACAAAGAAGTGCTGCATCCTTTAAACTTCCCCTCTTCTCTCCTACAGCTCATTGCTTCAAGCACTCGGTATGCCTTCCGTTCGCCTAGTCTTCCTGACCACGCTGCTCCTGGTACAGATGGCCACGCTGGCCTCCAGCACCAGAACCACACGCTGGCCCAGACCTCAGACCACCAAGAAGCCCCCTCGAGCTGGTAGCAGCGGCGGTGGTGGTTTTGGACGAACCACCACCACCACCCCATCTCCTTCTAGCAGCCTGCAGATGGACGAGACAACTGAGGTTACAATGGACACTTTCTCGGTGTCCCCTACAGACAGCACCACCTACAGCGACACTTTCTCCACCGAGTTCCCCACCGATGCCATAGTGCCTCCCGGGGACCCCGTTGGAAACTACACTCTTAACTACAATGAATGCTTCTTAAACGTCTGTGAGTGCTGTCCGCCAGGGATAGGCCCCGCAGGGCCCATGGGAGACAGCGGCCCACCGGGGCCACAAGGAGAGAGGGGCCCTTTAGGTAAAATTTTCTGAATAATTACCTTTTGAAAAGTCAAATTTTGTCCTTCTTTAAACTCATCTGTTTTTTTGAGGGTTACCAGGAGAGAGGGGAGAAACAGGGCCCAGAGGAGTCCCAGGACCAGCAGGACTACCTGGTGCCAACGGGCTTAATGGCGACACAGGTACTAAGGGCAATAACAGCAGGAGAGTGTTTGAATGTCTCTCCGTTTCTCTCTATCCCCTTTCTTGTAAAACGCCGTCCAGTACGAGTATTTGGCCAATTTCATTTTCTACGCTTTCTTTATCAAAACTACCACAGGTGAAAAAGGTGATCTAGGACCGATGGGTCTTCCTGGTGCCCCTGGCATCTCAGGAAAACCAGGAGAGAGAGGTGGGTAATGTCCGGCACATTAGATAAGATTTACGTGTGTATAAATGTACGCTTATAAATGCCCATAACTGTTAGAAGTAAAAAAGTAACCTAATCAAAACCATGTCTTCCTATGTGAATATAAACTTTTATAGGTGATCCGGGCCCCAGAGGAGAGAAAGGTGAACGTGGTTTCGGCGGTCTGAAAGGTGACCCGGGAGAAAGAGGAGAGCCTGGCCTGAACGGGACTCAGGGCGACACTGGACGAGAGGGGCCTATAGGTCCCCCTGGGGTAGCTGGGACAAAGGGTCAGAAAGGTGAACAAGGACTTAGCGGCGAGTGTTCACCGAGCGAGAAAAGTAATGCGGGTGCGCGTGGGCCCCCTGGTCTGAGAGGTGAGATGGGCCCCCCGGGAGTGAATGGAACTGATGGCGCAAAGGGAGAGAGAGGCCAGCCAGGGCCTCCGGGCGGGAAGGGCGATACCGGTACCAGAGGGCCCCCGGGACCTCCAGGAGGACGGGGCGTCGCAGGGCTGAGGGGGGAGAAGGGAGCCAAGGGCGGGCGTGGGCCCCGGGGCCTAAAAGGCCCACCAGGTGAGAGTGCGGAACAGATTCGCTCCGCCTTCAGTGTGGGCTTGTTTCCCAGCAGGTCCTTCCCTCCGCCCGGCCTTCCCGTGAAGTTTGACAAGGTCTTTTATAACGGGGAGGGTCACTGGGACCCAACCATCAACAAGTTCAACGCCACCTACCCGGGGGTCTACCTATTCAGCTACCACATCACCGTGCGCAACAGGCCGGTGCGTGCCGCCCTCGTGGTTAATGGGATAAAGAAGCTGCGAACCCGGGATTCCCTCTACGGCCAGGACATTGATCAGGCGTCCAACCTAGCACTGATGCAGCTGAATGAAGGCGACCAGGTGTGGCTGGAGACGCTGAGGGACTGGAACGGAGTTTACTCCAGCAGCGAGGACGACAGCACTTTCTCTGGCTTCCTGCTTTACCCGGACCCCAAGGACAAGCCTGCTGACATGTAGAACGTGTTACTGCAGCCCTTTGACCTTCGAATGAGCCCTGATTGTAACGTCTCTTAGACCCTGCACAACCTTCAGCCTATTGACTCTCTGTCAAATGAATGTGATTCAGCTAAATGCTGCTGCTTCGGTATCTGCTCGCTGCTGTCCTGCTAATCAAACCAAAAAGCTTTGCTTGCCTCGCTGAATTTGCAGATGGATGAGGCTTGATTAAATGCTGTATGCAATCCTTCAGTTCTTTTTAACAATGCATTAAAAATGACTATGCTTGAAATGAACAACCCTTTGGTTTTATTTATTTAGAACCAGAACTAGAAGCTAATTCATAGGCCATTAGTCTCTGCAATGCTAGTAGATAAGCTCTGTGTCCATGAGGCCTATACAAATTTGCTAACAATTGAAGTGAATAATCCCTGATTGCATTTAGTACCCACTAGAGGGTGTAAGGTGTCCAAGTTCTGTACAGAGGGCAGGATCATTATATGCCAAATGAGTACAGAGAAAGTAATGCAAATCCATTGTCCCAAACCATAACAAATAAAACATTTTTAATTCAGTAGAAGATATTATTAAAACTCCACACATTCGGGTCCACTTACTGACATGAGATCAATACTTACGGGTGATGTAGATTCCATTCATTTGGACTGTCATCCTTCACTACGGCTCTATTGAATTCAGTGAATTTGGTCTGCTAAATGGGAGTTCATTGCATTACTGAAACAATGACATCCTTGTCTAAACACAGAGGATAACGCTCTGCAGCAGAGAGACGGGTGAACACAGCGTGAATTACGCTCTAGTGTACCAACACTGTACCATTACAAAAATGATCTTTAACAAAGGCTTTATTATGCAAACTGCATTACTGCAAACGAACAACAATAAAAATTCCTTTTCGTGTCCATAACAGCATACAGCAGGAAGATAAAAAATTGAATTTAGTAGTTTATTCATCTAAGAGCATACTGATAAATTTATATGTTGTGATGTATTTCTTTAAGAAACTGCATTAAGGAGTTCTAAAGTATTGTCTTTTTTGTTACAATAATTATTTTCAGAAAGAAATCTGTCAAACTTTGCCAGAAATATAAAATCTATATATTATTGTATATATATTAAGTAAACAAACATTTTCAGAGGGATATATTTCAAATTGGATAATGTTCATGTGTAGACATTTTAATGCAACAATGTGTCCTGATATTCCGGTTTTGCTTCCAGGTCAGGTGTGTATTAGGCTGCTTTTTTTCCGCACAAACACGCTCAAGACGGTATTGTGATGACAGATAATCTGAGTGAGTACATCTATAATGCTAGTTCACATTCATGTGTGTTTTGCATTGATGTGAATAGGATATGTCCTTTATTTCAATTTCCGTCCAAAGTGTAGTATAAAACTAACATCAGCCCATCATAATGAGTAACAGTTGCATCAGAAGGAAGTGCATTCCTGAAACAATGAGAGACCTCCTGCGTACCGAAATACATCACGCTTCAGTCTGTCTGACCTCGTCAGGTAGAATTTTCTTTTTGCAATCAATTACTGTGTATCGTCTCAATCTTTCTTAATGTCAACCATTGATTGTTGTATTTACAATAATGCAAATCATGACCCCATGTCCAGGAATATATTATCAATTTATCCACACAATTCACTTAGCTGTGTCTTTTTCATTTTCTATCAAAATTTGACGCAACACCATTTTTTTTTCTTGAAGGAGACACATTCTAGAGCGGTGCACTTACCCAAGATTGTAGCCAGTGGCAAAGAAGATAAAAATTACTCCGACATTAAATATTGTGTATTGTATTAACATAGACAACAGGAAATTATATTTTAATTAGGTCAAAATAAATATGGTCAAACAATACCTGTAGTTTTGTAAATTTGTGTCCTTAATGAAGGATTGATTAAAAGCAGGACATACTTTTTGAGTCAAATCTGAGTGTGGGTCAAAAGTCAAAAGAATATGTATCATCCAAGCTTGTGAAGGTAATACAATGTGACATTGAATTTTGCATTATTGAAAGTGTCATTTTGGAACGACCGTGACTAGAGGAGATCAATTTGGCATCTGATTTAATCATTTTTGCATGACTCATAACAGGAAGGATTTAATTTTTCAGCTGTTTTTAGGTCTTTAAAGATAAAAGTTTCTCTAAATTGTGCATATGTAATTAATTGTGGAAGATTCCCGGGAAATTCAATATTTACTTTAATTAAGAAAATGTTACGAAACACTTGTAACTGAAACATACCTCATGGTAAAGCTGTTAAAGAGGAAAGCCTTTGGATTCCCCATCTTCTGGTAAAGGACATACATTTACCTGAAATTTCCATCATATTTATGTTGATATTGGTTATGGCAGTGTGTGTGTGTGTGTGTGTGTGTGTGTGTTAAAATGTTATTGTGCTTGTTTGTTTATAGGCCTATCTGTGCATGTGTATTTGTGTGTGCATTTATGTATTTTCTACTGCTCTGTGTGAAAATATAAATAACTACCTTGGCGGTGTGTGCAGTGTAATCTGCTCCCAGCAGGCTGGATTCCCACTGTGAGAAAGACAGTATATTGTTCCTGCAGCACCACAGATAACAACTCATTAGCATACTGAATCATTTGGCTGCAAGAGCCACTCTGCCACCCATCTGCACTGAGCTGATAAACACACACACACACACACACATAAATGTGCCCGCTCACTCTCTCTTGCACACACACATACACACTGATCTATGTAGAGCAAGCACACACACACACACACACACACAGGCCTCTCATCCCATTCCTTTCAATCCCCCATATACACTCCCTGTATCCCTCTCTTTTTTGTGGGTGTGTGCGTGTTTGTGGAGAGTCAGGAACACTGAAGCAGGTAAATGTTTGGCAGGCATCAACCACGAGGGCCTCTCAGTGGAGTCCCGGCACAGCCGGAGCCGAGCACCGGAAGGGTCCCCAAACACCTGGATGTCTCTGATGCTCCCTGGAAGCAATTTTGTTTTTTTTTAAAGAAATGTCTAAGAGCTGATTCTGTTGCAGTGTTGGCAAAGTCTGCTGTGAGGAGCTGTGTAATAGAGGGACATGTAAACGTTTTAGAAAACTAGAATTTATTTGACGAAAAAACGAGCCCTCTGCTAATTTCTTGTTAATGAACACCGGTTGGTGAGCAGAACTTTTTGATTACGTAAGTGAATAACTTTCAGGCGCAGCGTCTGCCACTGTGGCGGTTTCACAACGTGCACGACGACACAACAGCGTCCAAACGAGTGCAGCGAGGGCTGTCAAAACCACTTTCACAATGGCAGGATATCCTGCAGGTCACCGAGCTATGTTAACCTCCACAGGAAGTTGTCACTTGTTGGGTGGAAGTGAGGATTCCAGAGTTTCGTGAGGAGGTTGTGGTTTCACCTCTGCAATCTGTGCAGACAAGGTGTGAAACAGCTGTGTGGCATGTTATGTCATTGCTGGCATTGCCATTTTAAATATTAGGCACTGCGATAATGAGTCAGTGTGTAAAACGTATAGTCATGTACTGTATATATAAATGTGGCAAACAAGTTTTATGTGTTCAGTTTATTCAAGTATAAGGAATTGAATTGCCTTTAACTGGATTTAACCGAATTATATTGAACTGATCAGGGTATAAATCAATCAACTGAATTGAAGAGAACTGGATTGAGTTGCGTTGAATCACAGTAATCCACACATTGCTTGAGAGAGATCAACTACAAGGCTTTTCCTCAGCATGTTTTATTCAGGGGTTTTGTATAAAATTCAGCAATTTAACATTGGATATATTTATAGATACAGCTATCATACACCAAATACTGTATATCATTACCAAACATACAATGTCCCTTTACTGCAATTCATAAAATACCATAGTTACCAAAGGTACCAATATAGGCTACTAGGTCCCGCTGAAAAAGCAGAATAACCAACAACAGTGAGCAAACCTTAACTGTATTAATCAGAAAACTGCTGGTGTTGTTATGATATTAACACTGCATGTGTGTGCGTGTCTCTGTGCACGTGTATAAGTATGCGGCAATGAAGGGATTTATTTGTGTACCTTACTAAACTACAACTGCATTACAGTTTAAAAAAAACACTGAAACATTCATATCAAAATGACTGCATGAGTCACTTCATAATATCATATGACCCATATTTTGTACACTTTAAAAAACACTGCATGTCTTGTACCTCCGCAAAATCGATAATAGATATTTTCTTTCCCGGCAGTGAAAATGTTTAACTGTCTGTCGCTGTATTTGGTGTCTTTTTCTCATCACCAAAGTGTAACAGAAGTCAATGGTACCACATTTGATGTACTGCGTTCAGTTGTTTCTTTACTTTTTAAGCTCTCTGCCTTCCGTCTCTCTTCCTTTTTGTTTCATGCCTCCCAAAGGACCGTTTTGCTAGTAAACCAATTGACAAACACACTATAGTACATCTTAAACCACATGACTTGAACTCGAGTCACTGTTGTTACATAGTGCCATGGAAATATAATGCTATTTACAATACATACATTTCTGCATGGGTACAATAGAGTCCGCTCGGTTCATTTACGGCCTCCAACTAAGCCAAACTTACTCTTGTGTCTTTATTCTTATAACATTTGTTGGACCTAAATCTCCAGGGTTGGCCGTGTTATATTCTACTCGATGGTATTCTATTAAAGCATTGGTCCAAACTTTCGTATTACATATCGAAATCGAGTGTCTCTGGATTGATCATTTGTTGATTTGGTTTAGTTTGCTTTAGTTCTTTATTTCCTTTTCCTTTCTTTCTTTATTAGTTTAGAATATCCTGCCATTGGACTAACTTGGGACAGTTATAAACCGCATGCAGAAAGAGTCTTTTGTTGGATCAAATTTAAACATTCACCAATCATATGGTGAGTGCTCCCTCAGGTGTATACTGCGGAGACAGGAAGGTACACCACTATCTCATTAGATGCAGCTTGATTCTCTTTCCTACATTTACAGCTCAAAGCTAACAGGTCCTGAGCACAGACACAGCTTTTCCAGTCCCTCGCATTTCAGTCTCAGGCGTTGCGACCGTGGTCCGTTGGCATCGACATCATCGGCGACTGGAGCCATCTAAAGGGCGGCCATTGCGCCTAAGATCTCTAGCAGCTAAATGCAGCGCGGGCCCACGTGAAGCCGTTAGAGTCCTCGGAGCTGGAGGAGAGTCCTGGTCCTCCATAAAGCTCTCGGGACTGCCCTCGGCGTCACCGTCAGGCAGGCTGCCACAGCTTGAGCCTGGCGACATGGTCTCCAGAAGATCGTCCCTGGCCAAGCCGACCACCGTGTCCTGATGTGGACCACCCTGAGGGCCGCCCTCGTGGGCCCCGACTCCAACCAGCAGCGCCGTTTCCCCATCGGTTGTGGTGCCACCATTCCTCCCGCCGTCCTGGTCCTCCAGGAGATTGGAGAGGAAGCTGATGTACTTCATGGCGAGCCGCAGGATCTCATTTTTGCTCAGCTTCTTGTCTGGGGGATGAGTGGGGATGAGTTTGCGAAGCTCGGCAAACGCCCCGTTTACGTTCTGCTGCCGCCAGCGTTCCCGACTGTTTGTGAAGATACGACGTACAATCTTTGGTTGGCCAGCTAGCGAGGAAAAAGGAGAAGAGACAAACACACAGAGTAAGAACAAGAGGCACTGACGGGATAACACAAATAACACGAGGTGCATGAAGCCGAAACAGATGATAGGGTCGGTTCAAGGGTATCGCCAGTGCAATGATAAAAATGGAAGAAATAGGTGTAAAGAAAAAAGGAAAAGCGTGTAGGGATTGAGCTCCCTACTCTATTTTTGATGTACTTTTTATTTATTTAGGTAAGATAAAATAGCTCACTCCAGTCACATCCTCCCGCCCTCAACAATTGTGTCTTGTCGCCCTTGGAACACACCCAGTCTATCTTAATCCTTCAGCCCACTCTGCAGTAAAACCTTGGCATGGAAGCAGCAGCACCCCCATCCTCCACCCCAGTATATGGCAGTGAGTAGGCAGCAGTGGATAAACCCCAAATCTATCAATGTATAGCTCACTTTAATGGCATGCAGGTGCGTATTTCACAATAAGTTATGCCGAGAATTATGAGGTATTTATTCTTCTGTGTTTTTTAAAGCATCTTCTGCAACACTCATATTGGTACACTACAGATGGATGAATGACAATGGAGATGAAGGAGGCACGTTTCGGCGACTATATTGGCAGAAGGAGGACACAGCAGTGCGACTCACCATACTTATAAAGATATAAATTGCGCCTACCCTCGTCGAGTTCAACCTCATAAGGCGCCGGGCGGCGCTTTACCCTGTTGCTGGGGTACATGCTGTACTGCTCCGACTCCCCTCCGAGACTACAGCAACAGAAAGTGGACGAAAGGTACACAGATATAAGAAAAACACAACTTTAGATCATTTAACCCTCAGCAACCCGCACTCATTGCAGCACACAAGTACACGTGCACACACACACACACACGTATTGATATGATAATAATCTATTCCAACATGCTCAGAGTGTCGACGAATTAAATACACAAGCATCTTTTTTCACTTTAGAAGCATACTCCTGTCGGACCATATTATGGCTGCTAAGCAAACCCCAAAAATGGCGAACGCCTTATAGAAGATCAATTAAAAACGTGCATTTATTAAACTTCATGATATTTCTTCTTCTCTCTCCACCTTTACCTGTTGATGGCGGCGAGAGGCTGCGCCAGGTTGTAGAGCATGGCCCGGGCCGGGACAGGAAACGCGTTTGGGCTCAGTTGGACCATTCGAGCGTCGTCTCGTTGCGGCGGCGGTAGCGGCAGCGGTGGAGGTCTGCGAAGTTCCGTGATCGGCACCAAATGGCTCTCAGTCCTCTGCTCCACCGCTTTTATAGCGTCCCTCCTGGAGAGCTCGATCACCGGCACTTCCCTTTTCAGGTCAAGGGCGTTGTGAGAGGCAGTTTCCTTGGCAACGCCGTTGATGATGATGCTGATGCTGGTCCCGTTGCTCGAGTTCTGCAGAGGAGCGTCATCCCTCTCCTCAACCCCCCTGAAGCTCCCTCCCCTCCCCTTCTCCCCCGCCTCCCTCCTCGGCTCCTCTTCTTCCTTGCATCCGTTCAGTCGGGAGACGACGGAAGAGTCCTCCCGCTTTCCAGGACCGGACTCTTCACCAGGACTTCCAGGGCGAAACTCCGGCTGCCGTTTTTCCATCATTTTTATACCGTCACCGTTCGCTCGAGCCCACTACGTCCTAAACATGATTTTCCTCCATTAATGTATTGCTCAAGAAAAAATGTGTGACAGTCTCAAGCTGCCAGATGAATTACCAAGCGTTCGTTTAGCGGGGGACCAATGGAATTTAGCAATCCATTATCATTGATATTATTTTACTTTACTGTAGTATTTTAATTATGATGAAATATTCACATATTATAGATGTGATATTAGTATCAATTTTAAACGGAACGTTTCGAACAAAACAAATAGTAAAAGAACAGTGAAATATAGTGGCTTGTTAGCTAGATTCGTCCTCCTTCCTACTGCATTTTTCACAAAAGTTTTTTAAAACTCGAATGCAGACAATTTGGTCACACGGGTCTATTATGCAAATTAATTCATGGGATTTAATTTTTGAGGATTACGACATTTTTGTGGTCTGTTGGAGAAGCTTTTCTGTAAATGAAACCTGATGGAATCTGATTAATTCCTTTGGAGCTAATTACACAAATTTTAATCAAGTTAAACACCTATTTTCTTAAACTTGGAGCCAGGGATATGTTTGTAATCTTCTCTTGTTATTTATAAAAAGCCTTGTCGTGTGGTTTCGGCATTGCGTGCTTGCGTGTTGCGCATGTTTAAAACACGTCCCTGTACAACGCCTGCTTGGTCAAAACGTTCAGCTGAAGTCATCCTCCAAGATATTAGAATTATTAAGCTCATGTCGGCTGCTGTTGATTTAGGGGCGAAACGATCGTTTTTCGTGGCAGCATCACAAAGAGAGCCCGCTTTCCGTTCCACGACGCAATAAAACGCCTCGTTTCTCTCCGTCTCCACTTAATACAGAAAAACAACTCCCCGAAAACAACTTGACGTGCTCCTTTCCTCCTTTTCTCCGGCATGTCAGAGGCGGCGAGGTTCCCGTTCCGAGGTGGTTTATAGGCCACTGTGCGGACCGTCGGAGCCGATCGTCGAAGGAACGCGCAGAACACACATTGCACACTAGCGTTTGGGATTCAGTGCACTGATCGCGATTCATGTCACACGGATATTAATATTAACGAACGAAATAACACCAATGAACAACAACAACCAAAAAAAAAAAAAAACCGCAATTTTATTTCTGGGAATTCTACGACGGGCCTCGCATCCGTTATTACATCCCGTACAGTCCGAACCATCCGATCGGACAATAGCGGAACATATAGGCCGAATCAAATGCGCATTTCACCGATCACATCCGCACAAGAGCAATGCGCGTACAACCTTTAGGAACAACGAACACGCGGGTTTAAATGAAGAGGTGTATTTCGCATGCACTCACCGTTCCAGTCGTGTTGTTGATGTTACTGTGTAAGTGGAGCCATTTTGTGAGTGGGTCATCCATGTCTGAGTTTTTTTTTTCCTTTTTTTTCTGCCAGTTGTGGAGCAGTGTGTGTGTGTGTGTGTGTGTGTGTGTGTGTGTGTGTAGCTGAGTTATTCCTCACTGCATCCACTGCGCTGCCTCAGTACGGGGAGCGGAACACAGGCCGCAATGTGGCCGAGTGAGATAAGCGCACGGCAGCGGCCTCTTCATTCCCGATAAGCCCCTAAACCCATTATTTATGAAATGATTCATTATTATTTGGCTGTCGTGGGCTATACAGGCGTGTGGAGGGCAAAGCATTAAAAAAAAAAGCGCAAACAGGCATAGCGCAACGGCCTGTAACAGCGCGGGGTACAACTGTACACGCAACTATGGGAAGGTGTTTTCATTTTTTCTTTTTTTGATGAAAGAAACAAAAGCTCAGGTTAAGCTGTTGACCTATTTGTAATTTCGACAAAGGTTTTTTTTTTTTTGCTAAGCCAATTTATTCTGCAATACGATAACGCTGATGATAGCGGCGGGTCGTCTCTTTTTTTTATCCTCGTTTTACCCTAAAAGGAGAATGTCCATTAATCCATATCCATTTCTGCACCCGACGGCAGGATTTGCTACCGACACAATAGATTTCTCAAATGAAGGGAGAGAGTGAGAGTAATTAGATAAAGATGCTGTGCTCGAACGGGACACGGTTCTTTATCAATTCACCTATCAATAACTGGAAAAATGAATATGTGCTGTTGCGTGTCAGTGTTTGGCGTTGTGGGCTTCGGACGGCGGTTCCCCGGGGCCCGTGGGGGACTCGTGGCCGGGACAGATAAAAGTGTATCAGCTCCTGCTCGCATCAGATAAAAGAGCAGCGCGATATCAGACCACGTTCAGGACAAGCGGAGGGGTGGCAGGTACATCCTAATAACGGATTTTCCGCACCCTTTCTTTTCCTCTCTTTTAGCATTTAAATAACCGCTATGCGTTTAGTCCCCTGAAGTCTTAACCGGGCCCAACAGTGCGCGTCATTAGACGGACCCACGTCGGGAGAAGCCCAGTGTTCAAAGAACAGCGACCCCTCCATCAGTCACGACCTTTACACAGACCTGTTGACGCAGCAGTCACGACCGTCATCCTGCATCCTGCTCAGCCTCCCTTCAGCCGGAGCCCAGATGTGCACGGATGGGGAGCACTGGCACTGCTTTGCTTTTGTATTAATTATCAAACATGTGGGGGAAATCAACGGGCCTAATTGACTTAATTAACAATGATTAGGGGGTTTATCTATTAAATTAAGAAGACAGCTCACGTTTCTGTTTCATACGTTTGAAATATGCTCGTGCATCCAAGTGACTGAATTCAATGTGATACGATGAGTTTTTTGTGAATAATTCATGAGTTAATAAAACATTTTTATTTCAAAGAAAAACGAGTCAGTTTGCTGAAGCAGTGGGCGATACAGCACAGGTAAAATGCAGGAAGACATCCTGCACAGCCCCCAGGGAAATAGAATATGATCCATCGAGAAACAAAGAGAGAGGATTAATTGCTTTTATGTCTAAATGTAATTTGCGATCCGGTTCAGTCAATAAATAGCTCTTTAGTTTGCGGGTCTGCTGGGCCAACATTACATTTCTGGCACATCTTTGGATCAGTCAATCATCGGAAATAATCAATTAGATTAATGGGAACATTTAAAATGCAACAAAATATGTCAAAATAAATCAGAATTTAAAGGTGAGGCTGAGGCTGTTTTTGTAATGGTCTCAAAAACTTAAGTAAAATTAAATGCTGTAATCCCATTTCTCTTTATTTTTTGCAAATGGTTTTAAGATTTGATTAAAATTCAGATACGTTTGGAATTAAAGGATGCAAATTCAACTAAATGTGACCAAAAAAACATGGCCAGAAACAAGTTGGGCAGAATTTGAAACAGTATTTCAAGTCTTAACCATTTTATCAGTATTACAAAATATATTCTCTTAATTAGTACTACATTTGGTTATTTGATTGATTCTTCCTTGTAATCCAAATCCCTTGCTGTGTCATATTGTTTAATAAAAACAGGAAATCAACCTCTAACCCTGTAATCTCACGTAGCCCTTCTCAGATGTAAAACTGCTCTGAAACACACGCTGGCTATGCGCCAAACCATAGTCAGTACGGTTTGGCAGTCTACAATTATAATCCAGGGGCTGCTGGAGAAGTGGCTCCGTGCCAGGTCCGTCTCCTCGTTCAGCGCTGGCTGCGCCGGGCCGGAATGATCCGGAGAGAAGCGGTGCTTTCCCGGGTCATGAGCCGCGTCACGTGGTCCAGGCTGAGTCCGGCCACTGCCTCTCCGTTCACCTGCAGGATTTCATCGCCGACGCCGAGTAGACCGAGGTAAGGCCCTTCCCCACCGCCGTCGCCCACTTTCTCTACGTACACACCTGGGACGAAGACAGTAAGGCACGCGGGCACGTTCAGGTGAAGCAGTGGTTTGATTGTGGGGGAACAGAGGGGCAAGTATAGAATTTGAATAGAGGGAAGAAAAAAAAAGGTGGAAGTGGAAAAAAGAACTAGAGGATGCCTTTGTGTTTACTGAACCGGAGAAAATGTCTAAGCCTGTACACAATATCGTAATAAATAATATGAACCAGCTTTACTACTAGTAAAAGCATTGTCTTGGATGACGTTTGATTTTTGATTCAACATTAGGAGCTGATTAATATCTAAATTATAAATTGTATTCTATTTGTGGCTATTTTTCAATAAGGACCACCAAAGCAAGCTTGCGGTTGGCAAAGGAAATAAAGTAACTTCTGTGGCAGTACACCGAAAATGTTACACAGGTGACTACCTGTGTCCGGTCGACCTTTGCCCCTTGAGATGACAAAACCAAAGGGACCATTCTGGGGTCTAACGAGCTCCAGGACGAGGGTCCCGTCAGGGAAAGCCTGGGTGACCCGACCCACTGGACGCGCAATTCTGGAGGTAAGAGCATCTTCGACACTGAGGGCCCCGTGAAGCTCCAGCTGAGGGCTATCAGGGCTGTAAATGTAGAGATTCACATCCATTAGAACACTATTTATAGTTTGTTTTTGTTATTCATCGGTCTGTTTCTTATTACTTTGCCACTTACCTCGGTGCCAGGCCGTACGGTATCTGCACCTCTCCCAGTATCGTTGAACGCTCCGTTCTTCTCTCTAAACTCTGCACTGACGAGGCTTTGCGCAGTTGAGCCAGTGGCAGCACCTGGTGGCGGATAAATGGCACCGTCACGAATTGGGTTTCCTCACCCCCAGATTAGCTTTTGGAAGAGTAACTTTTTGCCACCTCTAAAGCTAAAAAGTGTGTATGTTGGGCAACTCACACACAAAATGCAAATACAGGCTGTGATTGGCCCTAACAGAAAGTTCTGCTTAGTCTATTCTAACAGCTGCCAAAAGGATGAACCACAGAAAGTGCAGGGAAACGTTGAAAACCTGGAATGCATCCCCCACCTATACAGGCTGAAAGGTCCGTGACACTGAAAAGTCGTGGTTGGGTCCACTGTTAAAAGTTTAAAGACAGGTAAACAAGACACGTTTCTCCTGCATTGATTTTGACGTGGTGTCAGTCCTCAGTCCTGAAGAAAAGCTTTCTCCCCTCGCTCACCGTGTTGAGGGTTTGCAGCGAGGGCGTCCTCTGCATGCGGATGATGGGCTGCGGTCTGCGCGTGGGGCTCGGGGAGGCGGAGCTGACCCGCGGGGCGGTGGGTAAACTGAGGTGCTCCATGCTGCTGGAGCGGCCTCCTTTCACCAGTCGGCCAACACTGTTGAGACCGATGGAGGAAAAGAAGCGACGCAGGAAGAGCTTTGGCCGCCCATCCAGCTTCCTGTGAGAGGTAAGTTATACATTGTTTGTCTTTTGTTTATGGAGACTCAAATATTATATAACAACATCCACAACTCAACCAACTATCAACAAGCATGGGAAAAAACTTTTTTTTTATGATTGGTTGTTACATGTAAAGCTATTTCTTTCCAGAAGAGGGCGGTGTTGTCTTGACGTTCACACAACGGTTTTATAACGACACCCTGTGGTAGGTCAGTTTTAATCTTCTAACTGCCACCAATCTGGCACCCTGAAGCTGTTTTGGGAACAGCGTGAAGGGGGGAAGGATTTAATGTCTAAGCTACAACAAGCGTGTGCATCTTGGCTTACCTGGACCCGTCGGAGTTTTCCTCCCATATGGCCTCAGCTCTCAGATGTTCTGCTCTCAGCAGCTCGGCCCGGAGGTCCTCAGCCCGGGACACGGCGATGCCGCGTAGAGCAGGACGACAATCAGGACCAGAACCAGGTTCAGCGTGACCTGACAGAAAAGCACATACGGGGTGGATATCAAAACTACTTCTAAAATAGATATATTACTATACTCTTTTCTGGTCTGTTTGTTGTTTTTTTTGGTCAATTATGCCACATTTTAAATGAGAATTCAATAAAGACATTTTTGTCTTTGTTAGGGATTTAAACCAGAAGTGCACCCCTAGTGGTGGAATTTATAGTACGTGTAATAATGTTTAGTGTTAGAATTGTAGTTTGTGATGTTAGATATTAGATATTAGATATTAGACTTAAACTATGCGTGCTTTGTTATATTCACTCATTGAGGCATAAAGCCAAATGTATCTACATTGAGTGCATTGGAATGTGAGGGACAGATAGGACAGAGAGGTTTCAGGTTACAGCTGCAGCTTCACACCTCGATGTGAAGGGGACAGTCCAGGAGGGGACACTTTGAAGGAGAAGCCAATGACATTCAAATGCACCCAAGAAGACACACCTCAAGAGTTTTCAAAGGACCAAAGCGGGGAAAAGACTGTTAGAATTTTCCTGCAGCCGCTTTGATAAGTCACTTTAGACTTGCTCAGAGAATTCTCTATTTCGCGAAATATTTTACTGTTCGCTTTGTATTTCACTTTGTAATTGTATTCCTTATAACGTTGTTTAGTTATTAAATACTTTTTGATTTTTGAATTTAAGCAAGCTGACTCTTTTGATTCATCGTTTCCGGCCGGGACGAGAACAAAGGAGTGAGGCCTCGAGGGCTTTCCGAACCCTAACATCTTCTATTCTATTATGTTTTGTTATGTTCCGTTACTTTCCATACTGTTTCTTTTCTATTCTATGATTGTGTTCTATTGATTTTTTTCTGTTCTGCAGATTTTGGTTTGTAATTCCTGTACATTCTCATTCTCAGGGCGACAAACGCTAATGCTGTAAAATTATTCCGGGAGTGCGATGACTTGGATTAGAGGAGCAGTATATGACGATTAGAGCATTAATGAAGCAGAAAACAACCATTATTTATGTAAATATATGGCCGGCTGTGCATGCTTCACAGCAGTTACACCTGGCATGCTGCAGAAGGGTGGGCTTCAGTTTCCCCTCAGGTAAAGCCTGTTTGTTGTCAGCGCATTGGCGCTATTAGCACCGTTAGCTACGAGTTTGGGTTCATGTTTTACCAAGTCCGTGGTTTTGCAGTCTCAACTCAAAAGAGTCTATTCCCAGCAATGACCACGTGTTTGGGTTTGTGATATCCAAATATCCAAAGTAATCAAGTACATTACATCATGAAAATAACATATACCATATGTACAGTATGTTCATTGGGAATTACAATACAAATACATGATATGTCTGATAAGTCTATTTTGTGTGACCATTAATCCTATTTTCACACTGCACATTTTGATAATAATTCATTTAAAGCAGGGCCGTTTACTTTACAAATAGTAAACCCTCCCGTAAGACAGAACGTTCTACTTGCAATATAAATGGCAGAGACACTGAACCCTCTACCAGACCCTGCTAATCCCTGCTAATGACCACTCACCTGCTCCATCTGGTGTGGCATCCCAGAGTTCAGCAGCTTGTAGGTCGGCGGTGAGCCGGGCTGGGGAGTACCTCAGGGTGGAGGGCCGGATGCAGGGAACTGGGATGCTTGTTGCAAGGCCCCCTTGGGTGGAAGCCACTGCACCCTCCCTTCTTGCCTCTGGAGAGTCCAGGAGGCCAGAATGCTGGGACCCTCCCTCTCCTCCCTGACTGGAGGCGGTCTGGAACTGAACCGTGGGCTGAGCTGCAGCAGCGCGATTCCTTGAACTTGACTTCAGGGCGGACTTTATAGGCAGCGATGGGGGAGGGCATTCTCTCAATCCATGGGAGGCCTCCAGCAAATGAGGATCCAGCGCCACGGGGCTATCCGGGGCAAAGGAAACCGCTCTGCTCAAGTTGACCCGGTTCCTTGGATTCGAGTTACGCCGCTGAGCCCAAGACGGGCCGTAAGGGCCGTGGTCAGACTCCATCCGACTTTCTCCCTTCCTGCTCCTCCTCCTGAGCTTCCCAAACCCGGATGCTTTCCATCCCGTGTGGCTCTCCTTGCTTTCTCCCAGCACATACGCCCCTGCAAACGTGACAGTCAGAGGAGCTTTGGGACGAGTGCTTGCCTCTGGCTTGTTATGGGGCACAGAGGGATTAGCCGCTTTTTCCCGAGGGTCCTCAGACTGCTGTGGCTCGGTGTTCTTTGGCTTTGACGGTGATGAGACTGGCTGAGGCTCCTTGACCACAGAGCCACACGCCTCACATTTCTTCACCAGCACTATTATCTCTTTAATCACTGTGGTGGGCTCACCACTGACACCCACGCCATCTTTCTTCTGCGAAGGGGGCATGGCGACACTTTGACTGCTTCTGCTCCTGTCTGAACCGCTACTGCTGGAATCCGTATTACTTTCTTTGCTTTTGGACTTGGGCGTCGCAGACCTGCTACGTTGTCTCAGTCTGTCCAAGTATCGAGACTCTGCTTCTTTCTCCGATTCGTCCTCAAAGCGCACCCGTGTGGGTGAACAGCCGTACCTCCTAGATCGAACACCTTGGTCACCCTGAGGGGGGTCTTGGTTTGGGATAAGAAGGGGGCCAGATACAGTTTGAGCTGCAAGATCTTCTTTGGCTGGAACAGCTTTCTGCACACGCGTCGGAATTGGGGAATCAATTTGCGGCTTCTTTCTGCAGAATGACACAGAAGTGCGTATAAGGAAAGCTACATTTCTGTTGAACTCATTTTTAAGGTGATATCTTATGAAAGTAAAGCAAAACTGGAGGGTGAGCCATCTCACTCCAGCTTCCTGGGTAGATAACATTCTCTAAAATTAGAGTTCTTTGGTTAATAATTAAAAGCAATGGCACAGTACATTGGAATTAGGGATCAATTACATCTAGTGGCTACAAATAGTGTCAAATTCATGAGCCATTGTAAATGCTCCGAATTCTCCTACAGATCCCTACAGATACAGATGTCAGCTCTGTGTTTTGAAAACACCCAAGTTCCAACGCATTACTCATTTTCAGTTAGCACACACCAGCCAAATTTTTCTGTTTAAAGACACACACACACAAACAGCACAAACACAACGGGGCATTCAGAGTCTACAACAGGCTACTTGTGAAGACGGCACAGAGTTCACAGTCCACGTAAGTAGATGTAGCCAACTCACACGGTGGGCCTCTGATCAGAATGCGAGCGTCTGCCGGGCCGATCGCCTTTCGTGTGATTGGAGCGAGCCTTCAGTCTCGCTCTCTCCAGGAGAAGCTTGGCCTGCTCATGTCTGGAGCTCAGAGGATGCTCGTCACTGATTACAAGAAGAGACCTGGCGATAAGACGAAAGATGCTAATTTGAAAATGAATGAATCGTTTGGAGGGATGTAAGTCAGCGAGGGAGAGGATGGAGTAAACAAGGTTAAAGTTGTTTTTGTGTGTGTTGTGACACATCAGGTGACATCATATTCCCTGCGGATTGACCTAATGTAGAGTTAGTGAATCAAGCTGCATCCTCCTATAAGCTGTTTTACGTAACATCAGATGGCCCTGGCGGTTGGCATCAGAGAGAAACGTCATCCTTCCATCTACCCTCATGGCCCGCAGATAAGCTGCTGTGCATCGGGCTTCATCTGTACTTGTCTTTATCCGCTGGCCCAGTGACAAAGATAGCATTGATACAGCAGCCATGTGGATTAGCCTCGTAACGGACTGAGCATGATTCATTCTTTCCTGGTGTCGGGAGGAGAACATATTGGGTTTTAATAGATCCAACACAGGATAAATAGCAGTCGGTTTGGTCTGTTTCAGCTGTTTCATTATGCGGTTAATAAGATTAATGACCAGAACGCACGCTATAAAATTAAATTGCGGTTTATTGCTTGGTTACAAAAATGTGTTCACTGTAAGTATCTATTTATTATAGTTCCCTTTTTTTTAATATCTCTTGAAATAAAATGATGGAAGAAGCGGTACAAGTGTGCGGTTCTCGCTGTCAGACACGCTGACACAACTCAACCGGAAGCTGAATAGCGGTGTGGAATATCAATGAACCCCTTTTGAGGGAAGGAGGGATTGTGGCAAAAGGGTTTGTTGTGTATGAATATCAAATATTTTTTTACAGCTGCTTCGAAAAGATTTGGAAACACAAGAAAACATTTAAAGTGGGACAGCTTTTTTCTGTCTCAACTACAGTGTTTTAAGACTTCACCTCTTTTTTTAAATATCAAAGTTTACAAATATCAGCTTCATTTTAAAGTGTATTTTCAAATGTCAGCTTCATCACTACACTCTATTTGTTGTACTTTTTTATTTAAAAAATTAATTTCAATCTAGGAAAGACACAGATCCCTATTTCCCTCAAGTGACGTAAGATTGTAATTTATGAAAGAAGATACAAAGATTGCAAAAAAGTTGTATATCTGCACCCCACGGCGAGCACATAAACAAGTTGGCCTTGCTCACCTCAAATAGGGTTCGAGTTCCTGAGCGAGGGTGGCTGATTCTGAGCTGTCCAAAACCCCACGAGCACCTGAGACGAGCAGAGGACGGAGAGGAAAATATCACAGAATAAAAGTGTCCACAAGTTTAATTCCCACAGAGAATAGATTTCCTGTCTTGGTTTCCCTGTTGGACAGGCGTATCATTCATAGGGTTCCCCTCTTATTAAGTGTATTATGTTGTGTTTGCTTGGGAAAAATACTACTATAAAATGAGGTCTTTGTATAGTTGTATCATTTTTGTAAACCTGCAGTAGATTCGATGACAGTATCCCTGACTGATCCTTAACGTCAGTAAAAAAATCACAGGTTATGCAACCACAGAGAGACGGATAAAGGCAGATGCCGGAGGGACAACAAGGAGGGGGGGACCCTCGTCATCGCATATTCACAGATATGAATTGCATTGAGTGTTTTAGTGTCGACAAACTCCTGCACACTCATTACAAATACATGGTATCACAAATAAAGCGTATAAGAAAATACATAATCTGTCATCTTACACGACTACAAAGGCATTCGTTAGCACACAGACAGATACACAAAAGCAGGGACACTTCCCCCCCACTGCTCTGACTGCTAATAATAGCAACGAACTCATGCACATCTGCACATCTAACATCTGTCCAATCCGCCTGGTTACATGCTGTGTTTCTATGCAACATTATCGGCAGAAAGACAAATGCTTGTGTCACGAATTGAACGGCTGTGAAAGGTGGAAAGTCCTCGAACCAGATGAACTGTTGACAATGTTTTTAAAAAGCTTCAGAATGCAAATGCGATTTCTGAAACACCAAGCTGAATTTTCTCTCTCCACTCGTAGTAGGAAGAAACGGGCCGTCTGACAATCTACAAACTACGGTGCACAAAGAAGTCAAGAAACTATGAATGAGTGGCTTGTTTAAACCAACACACCGGGATTCCTGTTTTTAATTGCATTCTTTACTTCTCATAACAGCAGACTATAATGTCTGAATTCAGAGGCCTTACAAGTCTATGTGATACCATCCTGTCATCAACAAGCTAAAAAATGAGTTGGTTTCTCCCTCCCTTTTCTTTTTATTTGTCAGCTTGAACCAATTGGCTATTTTCCTCCACAGACGTACCTTTACAATCGCCTCTGTAAGTCGTGTCCTCACCATATTCGGCACATTCCCCTCCGCTCTGCTCGCTCTCCTCCGTGCAGTTCGGGGATCTTTCCCTCAACTTCACATAAGCTCTCCGCTTCACCCTCAGCATCTCATCAGCAGAGAGGAGCCCGCTAGGTGAAGACATGCTCTCCGAGCTGTCAGAGCTGCACAGTCCTTTGGCCACGTCCCCGGCGTTTAACTCCTTCTGCTCGCAGCGGTCCAGGTAGCACTCCACGCTGTCAGAGTCTCCGAACTCGTCCTCCACCACGCTTGCGGCATCGCTCCTGCTGCCCGTTTCGGCGGCTTTAGAACACCTCCGGGGCCCAGACGGTGCTTCGGCCTCCGCGCGGTCCTTCAATGGTAGAGCGGAGGGCGTCTTGTTGGGGCTCACGCCATTTAGGAGCAACGTCTCCGGGCGCACGACTCTCCAGAAGCCCTTGGGCGGTGCCCAGTGTCTGGTTGACGTTGAAGAAGAGACGGAAGCGGTTGTGGGTGCAGAGGTGGTGGCCGGAGATGACGAGAGCACGGGCAGAGGAGGAGGAGGAAGAGGAAGAAGAGTAGCCGCAGGAGGAGATGGGTCGTCCTTACTGCTGCTTGAGTTGTCAGACAGAAGACTCTCGAGGCTGGTGCCCTCCCCGAGCCCGCAAGGCCGGCCTGTCAGAAGGCCGACCTGGTCCTCGTTCCTCTCCGACCTCTCGTCTTCGGTTTCCTCTAACTCCTGGAGGAGCCGCTCTCCTCGGGCTCCAGCTGGAGGGCTGTGGATCTCGAAACTGACCTGCACTTTTACCTCCTCCTCTTCATCGCTGCTGCTCAAGTTCTTCGCTACTCCTGACCGCCAGGAGGAGGATGTCAAAAAGACCTGACCCTTTCCTCTGGGCCTCTGTCGGAGGAGGACTTCGGTTGAAATCTTCCCGGCTGAACTGCTCCCTAAGACATCTGCATCCAACCTCTCTCTTTCCTTCTCTCGCTCCTTGCCTCGGGTCCTTCGCGGCGTGAGGGACTTCACCTTGTTTTGCAGGGCGTGAACAGCGGAACACGGAGGAGGAAGGGGAAGTCGGGTGCTCAAAGAAGGAGCTGTGAACACCGGCTCCGGGACGGGACCAGTGATGAGTCCCCAGTTGATGGGAATCCCAGTGGGTACAGGGGAACAGGATTTTAGTTGGATGTTATCAGCTACCTTTTCTTCCTCCATTGGCCGGTCAGTCACAGAAAAGTCCAGATAGATCCTGTTGATAATTGAAAAAAAAGAGAGACCGTTTTGTTGTATGTGCACGAAACCATACGTCTGTTCTACATCTCTGTCACCGGCCACTTTCTTATCTGCGTGGTGAGGAGATATGTCATGTGGATTTGGCCACGTTGACTTATCCACTGATTACTTTGCAGTGCACGGGATAATCCTTTAGATTGAGAATAAGCAACTGCTGCCTGCAACTGAGCCCCGTGCACAACATTATGAAGGTTTGTTGACAGGCGAAATCGACATAAGAAAAATAAGTACTCGTTATTCAAACCTTAGAAATTTCCTTAAAGATTCTGTGTCATACCACATAAATAACTCCCGCTCAATCCAACCAATATTACATTATTGACAAAGTAAGCTTTAGTGGGGGAAAGCAACACATTCCCTGAGGCCATGTGAAGTTATATAACCATGACACACAAGGGATCTCGTCCCGGGATATTACCCAAAGATCGTGTCCGTTAAAACAATAGTTCCAGCGTTGAAAGTTACCATAGATTCTGGTGCAAAAACCATAAACCATCGAACACAAGCGAGAAGACAAAACAACTTTAATCTCCGGATAGAATAAAAAAGAGGAACCCAAATACCATCTCTCAATGTTTCTGCAGATCCTGGCGATGCGCTCCCGCTCACTGTCTACATGCTCCTGGTCCAGGCGGTTCCAGGCGAGCCAGCAGCCTCTCACTCATGATTGGTGCTGTAATCCCTCCAGAAATCAGTAGGATTAAACAAAAATGGAATAAAATGCGTGCTTTAAATGTAGTCCTTTCCTCGCAAACCCGCTGGAGGGGGGGGGGAGCTCTATGTTGCGTAAGTGCAGTGCACTGACACCGACTCCCTTTACACAGTAATAAGCCACCGCAAAAATACCAAAACAGAATTAAAACGTCGTCATGGGCCTCAGCCCAAAGGAGATAAATGGATGTCTTGTCATCGCTTTAATATTTTGACGGTCCATACAAAAATATAAAGGCTGATGTTTTGTGTGGCGTCATTAATGATGCATCTCTCAAAGAACCGACGGCTCGTCCCGGATCCCTCCATCCGTCCGTCTCACCGGCGCGTGCACGCGCACGCGCTCGTGCACAGACCGCCTAATTGGGACAGCGTCCTGCTTGCCAGTCACCACAATCCCCAGATGTGATAAAGATTCGCAGGCCAACTCTGCTGTATTTAATGTAGCGGCTGCGCTTGCGGCCTGCTGTCAGCAGAGGGCGCCATCAGCGGAGATACACCCAAGCTAGCTGTAACCGGCTAGCGAGGCTGTTGTCGAGTTGACACCCTCCCCAAACCTCGGCAGCAGCTAAGCTGCACAGTCGACATGGCAAGAAAATATCGCAACAATTTCCTAAAGAAAGATGAAAATCTTCCAAGTCTTTTGGAATGAGTGAGTAGCATTGATGTTCGTTAACCGTTTCTCCCGGAGGAATGTGTAGGTAGAAGCTGCATGTTGGGTTTTAGTCACATTTATGACGCATAGCTGTGGTTGAGCGTTGGGTGTTGCTAACACGACTGGTAGCTAGCTAAAGAGCTAACTGCTACTCGAGGGAGGAGTGCGGTTTGTTCACCCGCCTGTTAGCCTGTGCTCAGTCGAGAACAGAGGATGGTATTTGTGTCAGCCATAGCTGCTTCTCAAAATGTAATTAAAACCCAACCCTAGTGCATTTGGGATCTCCATTACATACGGGTGTCCGGCGAAATTAAATACACGGTGAATACGGTTGTGTTGCTGGGTAATTTCGGTTGCTAGCGTTACATAATCTCGCTGTTGCAATTCAAATGGCTTCTCTTTCCAGTGCCACTGTTCCCTTGCTATCGTTTCCTTGACCAAAACGCGACATGGCAGCTGATGTTAATCATCTATCGATAGATTGTGCAACGTTAATGGATTCATAACCAACGCTACTTTCTGAATAAATACCACCACGAACAACCAATCATATATTCAATATAAATTTGTTTTAATGTCTACATTTTAAGGACGACGTTTGCCAGCTAGCCGACCCAGCAAACTAGCCACCCATAGCGTAGCCCGCTAGCAGTGAGCTAATGCTAGCGTTCCCTACAATTAGCTCGCTACCGTGCTGCCTCATTTCAGAGCAAACCCTCATTTGTGTGCGATCAAACGTAAAAATGGTAACGGTCACTGCAGCGTGGTCGTTGTCTGAAACCAGATCTTGTAGCGCACGGTTTCCAAACTCGATTAGCAAACATTAGCCTCGGGACTTGGTTGTTAGCCTCTTCGGGACCCTTTGTCCATAGTCATAGTGGTTACCAGCTCCTCTGAGTAGGCCACACAGCCGTTGTTTTGATCCTTCTGCGTCGCTTGTTTCATCGGTATTTCAAAAAAATAAGGACCGTGTCACCTCGTTTGTTTTTGTTCATGTTTGTAAAACGACTAAGCATCGCTGACCGTTGCGAAATCAAAGCAAAACGGGCATTTATTTGTTGAACGTTGTAATGTATGGGAGGTCCACCGATGGTCCTAACGTTACTTTGTCATCCCACTGCCTTCGATGCATTTTGTAATTGGGGATTCGCGTATTCATAGTACACAACCGTGTTTTGTTAATGCACATTGATACTTTTGCAACAAAAAATTATCATAATCCTAATTGGGAAAATTATGAAAAGTTTTAATTCTTGAACGTTTGCACAATTGTAATCATCTTCTATCTTTCTGTTTTACAGTATTCATCATGAGATGTGATCCAAAATCCACAATGTGTGAGGACATTTAAGAACAATTGAGTTCGGAAGACAAATTCTTGATTCCAGTGGAATCTTCCATATATATATAATTATTAGATTTTTTTTCTCTGTGTTAAAGCTTACATACAATTACACACTCGTCCGATCATCATATAACCATGCCAGTGCAAGCACCACAATGGACAGAGTTCCTGCTGTGCCCGATCTGCACACAGACATTTGAAGAGACTGTTCGCCGGCCCATCAGCTTGGGCTGTGGACACACTGTCTGCAAGATGTGCCTCAACAAGTTGCACCGCAAGGCCTGTCCTTTTGACCAGACGGCCATCAGCACAGACATCGAGCAGCTACCTGTCAACACGGCCCTGTTGCAGCTTGTGGGAGGCCAGGTAAGAATCACGCATGTGTTGGTACGTTTGTTTTCGGCAATTCATTACCGAACATCTCGCGTTGACTAGATGAACAAGGAGCCTGTGTGGCTGCTGGTTTGGGATGAAGGATATCTGCTCACGGATGCGTTTGACTAATGCAACAGTTAAAAATAATAAGAATCCTATTGTGACTGTGATGTTTTCTTTAATTGCTTCTAAAGGATTATATTTGTTTTTTACTCATAGACTATTGCATGCTGCACACAGCTTGGAGATTCCCTTTGAGTCGCGCTTTAGTCATGAGCAATGACTTTAATACTGTTTGTTCACTGAGCGCTGGAATAATAAGGGAAGCTACGTTTCTCGAAAGCGGCGTTTGATCAGATGGGCGAGGCACAGTGTTTTGAATTTGGCCACGTTTCCAGATATAAACTGTATAAGAAAGGATCATGTCAGTGCATCAACTATGAGTGTGTTGTGAGTATGATATAGTCATGACTGGGATGTCCTGTCTCTTACCCGAGGGCCTTGTGTATCTGTGCTGCTCTGGATGTGCATGTCCCATCAAAAGAATATGCACTGATAAAAGTGGAAGTTATTATAATGGTTGTGTTCCTTCTTCACTCATGAAAATTACCTAATTCATAACAATGCCTCAGAGCTGCAGGTTGCTTTGGTCAGTATCAAAAGGTTTATTTAGACTTGATTACATTAGTTTGATACAAACTAAGCGTGTCACATAATTAGTTAAATTATTGTTAAAATGTGAAATATCCATTTTCCGGTTACATACCAAGAGGTGATTTGATTATAGATTCACAATGTTTGATGTATTGGCTAAAACCGCTAAATACGTCTGACAATTTCAGAATAATTGTGTGTGTTCCTCTACACACACCACTGTTGAGATAGTCTGCTAAACATTTCTAAAACACAGTTGTACTAAAAAGCGTCAACCGTGGCAATGGGTTCTTTTAATTGTGTCCCTTCGGTGTCCCGTTGAAGGTTCCTAAGGCTCAACCAGTTGCCTTGATTACCAGTCCAGAGGACTCGCAGCATTATGAGGAGGCCAGACAGTGTGTGGAGGAGCTGGCCCTCTACCTCAAACCCCTCAGCAACACCCGAGGTACAGAAAAAGCACTTGCTTGTTACTTTTAGTTTCTTTCTATTATGATCTGTTGACACTCTCGTGTTGCCTTTCATTGAGACTGTAGGTTGATATCCTGTCCCCAATATTCTTGGTTGTGTGTTTTTTTTTTTTTTTGAACGTGGCGTTGAACCCTACTCAAAAAAAGTGCAGGAAGTTGTTTTTGTCAGTTTCATTAAAGCGACTATAAAAGGCTAGAAAAAAAGTAATCTGTAATTTCAATAAAATCATTAACATTTTTCAGACAAGGTCATGTGATCGACTACTGATCTTCATCTTGTCTGAAAATCAGAATGAAAGAATATTTTCGTAGGCATCATTAACGTCACATCACAAATATAACACGCAATTAAAACGTTTGACTTTATCAACTTACATTTTGCCAGTTTTCTTTTAATCATCCAAACTATTTTTAAAACCAATAGTACAGAGATATCTCCCCAGGCTGCAGAAGTGATAATAATTGTGTTGGGGAGCCAGTTTGGACAAAATGTCATTGGATTGGATAACCCTAAACCTTTTATAATAATTGGCCTAATGTTAATGATTGAAAATGTTTGACCTTACAAAAGCATGTAACAAAATATGTTTCTAATTAAAATGGGCCCTTCTTAAATTCCATTTCACAGTGTAACTCAAGTAAAAAACAATCGGTGAGCACATATATGGCGTCTAGAGTCAGTTACACGCGTAGATCTTTCATGCAATCACATTTAGACAGCAGTTAGCTTATCAGATATACTGGAGATGTTATTGCGAGGGAGGAATCGTAAAATGGAAAGTTACTGCAGTAAACTTGTTCGATGTAGAGGTGCAACCGTGTCATTAAAATGATCAGAAAGGTAATCTGAAGGCTTTGTAAAACAAAAATGAAACCACATAACCTGCATTACGGTAATAATTATTACTGCAGCACTGTTTTAGTAGGTGGGTATTTGAAGATGGCCGTACCTGATACACTGGCCAATGAGGGTTTATGATATCAGAGTTCATATTCCCCCGGTTTACTACCTGTTCACTACCTGTCCTGTCCAATCGCTCACCAGGTGTGGGCCTGAGCAGCACGGCCCAGAGCATGCTAAGTCGACCCATGCAGAGGAAACTGGTGACACTGGTCCACTGCCAGCTGGTGGAAGAGGAGGGCCGCGTCCGAGCCATGAGGGCCGCCCGCTCTCTGGGCGAGCGAACCGTCACTGAACTCATCTTACAGCACCAGAATCCACAGCAGCTCTCCTCCAACCTGTGGGCCGCTGTGCGCGCACGGGGATGCCAGTTTCTAGGCCCAGGTAACAAGCTCGTATCCGCTTTTTGAGAGGAAGCTAATATCCTATGTAAGTGTCGGCAAACCCCCCCTTTACTCCTGTATTTTCCCTCTCCTAGCCATGCAGGAGGAAGCTCTGAAGTTGGTTCTTCTCGCTCTGGAGGATGGCTCCGCGCTGTCCAGGAAGGTGTTGGTTCTGTTTGTGGTTCAGAGGCTTGAGCCGCGCTTCCCACAGGCCTCGAAGACCAGCATTGGCCATGTGGTGCAGCTGCTCTACAGAGCCTCCTGCTTCAAGGTACGACACTGACAGAGAAGCAGAAGAATACTGTTGCTGCTACATCTAAAAAATGTATTATCGTAAAATACAGTGTAGATATTAATTTGCCCAAATTGATCTTTAATGATCAGCAATTCGTATCAAAGGCAAAACAACCTTACTATGGAACTACTGCATTTGTTCCCTTTTGTGCTGATCCATGACTCCGATCAGTCATACGATCTGTAACGTCTACGATCAGTGGGATAAATCCATCCCAAAGTCCTAAGCCCTCTTTTCTTCTTCCATTGTGTCTCCTTAGGTGACCAAACGGGATGAAGATTCGTCCCTGATGCAGCTGAAAGAGGAATTCCGCACCTACGAGGCTCTGCGGCGCGAGCATGACTCTCAGATAGTTCAGATAGCCATGGAGGGTGGACTGCGCATCGCACCCGACCAGTGGTCCTCTCTGTTATATGGAGATCAATCTCACAAGTCACATATGCAGTCTATCATAGATAAGGTATGTGAGAAGTAAATGTGCGTGTGATTTGTATTGTTTCCATAAAGGCACGTTTCAAAGATTATTTATGCTTAAATGATGCAGTTTTTTTTTTTTGCCACAGCACGTTTCTGCAACACAAAACCAATTCTCTTTTTTCGGTTCTGCTTTCGAACATAGCTGCAGACTCCGGCGTCTTTTGCTCAGAGTGTCCAGGAGCTGACGATTGCGTTGCAGAGGACCGGAGACCCAGCCAACCTAAACCGGCTGCGGCCCCACCTGGAGCTGCTGGCCAACATTGATCCCAGTCCTGGTAAGAAACTAGTCATTTAATTTCACCAGCTTACCAACTTTCATTTTACGCTGCGCTGCAGCTGTAAGCCACAGGGGACGACTCGCCAGCTCCAGTAGTTTGCATGAACAGCGCCATAAGGCGGAACCGCGAGGAAGTCGCACACCCGACCAATACCCATACACATGTTGTGAAACCCAAGTCGTAATGTGTTTGGTCACAAACTGTTTAACTGATGCTCAGACTTATTTTTGTTGCATTTATTAAATCTATTCGGGGGGGGATTCCCCACAAAACACTACGGTATTTATGTCATGAGTCAAACAATTACCTGCAGTTAATGAGATCTAAACGTTTCCCGTGTTCCGTTTCCCCAGACGCTCCTCCTCCCACGTGGGAGCAGCTGGAGAAGGGGCTGGTAGCAGTGAAAACAGTGGTGCACGGGCTGGTGGACTTCATCCAAAACCACAGCAAGAAAGGAGCCGACCCTCAACAGGTGGGTCTATCCATCGAAACGGGAAACGAGCAGGTTCCCGTCCCCCGTATATATAGATTAGTTCACACAGGCTATATTCATAGGCGATCATTATCATTAGAACATCAAACGTGAAGAGTGTTGTTCATCAAATGTAAAAAAATACACCTGACAATCCTTACAATCACCTGTGTAGTTTTCTTTTTGTTTTGTTCTTTGATTTCATTGAATCAAACATTCATTTTGAAATTGATTTAACCTGTTTCAATTTCATTTGAAATACCACCACTATTGTGGTAGTGTTCAGTTCCGTTTGTCGTTCTGCCCGACAACATACTTGATGACACAAAGGCCGCGCACGCCGTCTTATCTTTTCATAACACTTGACTTCTCCTCTCAGCCTCCTCAGCACAGCAAGTACAAGACGTACATGTGTCGGGACATGAAGCAGAAGGGAGGCTGTCCTCGTGGAGCCAGCTGCACGTTTGCGCATTCTCAGGAAGAACTGGAGAAGTGAGTCTGATGAGTATCACCATTTAGCACTTCAGTCAGGATTGAACCGTTTTCACCGGCGTGTCTCATCCATTTCACCTTCTTCAGGTATCGTAAAATGAATAAGCGCTTGGCAGCCCGCCTCCCCGGCTCTGGGGGTCTCATGTCGGATGATGGTCTTCCTCTTGACGTCGGAGTGACCCGCAAGCCCTCGCCGCTCACCAACGGTAGCGGCGGGTCCTCCTTGCCCCAGCTTATTGCCCGCGGCACTGACACGATCCCGTATGAACTGTTGCGTAAGCCCATGAAGATGGATGGAGGGAGTCCCAGCGCGCCGGGATCCCCACCCGATGGGTGAGTGTTCTCTCTGTATGAGTGCAGAACACCGCCTGGTGGCTTTGTGAAATGAGATACTTCCTGAAGTTGATTTGCATAGATATTTTAGATATTGCTGTTGAAAGCATTCCCGTAAACCAACTAAAATTTGAATACTTAAAAATAGATATGGTGTTCATCCAAATAAAAATATGTAAAACATACACGTGCCACACTATTTTGTTTGTAAGTGGCGGCATCTCTTAACTGTGATTACCGGTATCTGTAATATGTAAGACGGAAATAGGAATGTCCATTTTTAAGTGATCAATCCTCCATATATTTGTGGATGTATAAGCAGTTGATGTGTTAATTCAGTTTTCTTCAATAGAGAGGGTTCATATTATTGGATGTATACAATAATCTCTAGTTTACTCGGTAAGTTGTTAACTGACACGTATTTAACTCGATGACTGTAATGTTTTCTCTAAACCCGAACACGTGTCCTCGTAGGATGGACTCTGTGCTGCCCAAGCCTGGTATGCCACCTCATGCCATGGCCCATTCCAGGATGCCAGTGGACCACCTCTCTGGGGTGAAGCACATGCCCGTGGTAGCCAGAGGTTCCCCCGTCTACCCTCAGGCACCGCACCCTGAGATGTGCTATGACTCTCGCCCGCCCCCTTCTGCTTCTCAGTATGACCCCCCCCAGTACCCCACAGGTAGGGGCCAACGCAATGATGCACAATCGGCGTCTTCTCTGTGTGCGACTGACAACATCTTTTAATATTAATAATTGTCCACTTTGTATTTCTCAGGCTACCCTTACCAACAGCCACCGCAGTACGTCCCCCGGGACTACATGCGCAACCCGCCCCCACCCAGCGAGTCAGGACCCCCTTACCAGGACCCCTATCCTGGGTATGGCCCTCCAGAGCGCTCGTACCAGGGGCCTCACTCTGGGCCGCCTTTCTCTTACCCTCACCCTTCACACCATGACCGAGGTCGCCACGGGAACTACAATGGCCCGCCGCCTCCCCCGCAGGCGTACCCGTCACAGAGGGAAGGACTGGTCCGGATGAGTCCCGCTCCTCTTGACATGCCCCCGCCGTCAGTTGGGACAGGCGAACTCCCTTTACCACCAGGAGCCCAGTTCACGTGATCGATACCCTCCAGATGGCTACTATACGCAGGGGGCCCAGCCTCCACCTATGAGGGGTTATGTCAGGGTGAGTTTGTCTGGATCGCTCTTCTTCTGGTTGCCCATTACACTTTGCGGTGCCAGCCTAGTTTTAAAATACAAGTAGTTATGTAGCAATCTTTGTGTGTGTGTTTGTGTCTTAGGGGCCGTCGTATAGTGGTTCACAGCCCAGCCTCGACTACCTGCACCGACGCCGGCAGGAGCTGTTATCACAGCTGGAGGAAAGGAAGGTCATATCTCCTCCACCATTCGCTGCCTCGCCCACTCTCCCTCACACCTTTCCCAGCGACTATCCTCCAGAGGTCAGCATACGCCTCCGCGACTGGTTCGGGGGATACACAAGCGTTTTATGATTTCATACATTGAAAGATTCAAGAACCGTATCAGTGACCGGACGCTCTCGGTGTGTTCTGTGTCTCCAGTATGGCGAGGAGAACCCAAAAACCATGGTTAAGTGCAGAGAGCCCGACTACGCAGGGCAGTACTCTCCCTGGTCTTGTGAGACCATTGGCTCCTACATTGGTACAAAGGATGCCAAACCCAAAGATGTTATGGGACCTGGTAGCATGGACATGATGGTGAGTTCAGATGGATGACTCGTTAGAGATCAGTATTCGGGGTGGGGAAATGATGCATTATGGATCTTGATACACGTGTCTTAGCAGAATGCAGAGGCTAAGAGTCTGAGGGAACAATCACTGGAGGCTCCTCGGAGGGGCACAGATGTGAAGGACGATGACCCCATCATCCCATTTGGCCCCCAGCCCACCGTGTCCCGCTTCGGTGCCATCTCCCGGACGTCCAAGACAGGCTACCAGACCACAGGCCCCGGGCAGGCAATGGCCTCCCCTCCTCAGAACCAGAGCTCTAAACATATGTCTGGTAAGAAACCAACATATTAATATATAGGCCTTTTGCAGGAACAGTGGTGCTAAGATTTTCCACCTCTCCTACAGCTGAGTACGCATATGGAAGCCATGGAGGATGGGGTGGAGCCTCGTACCCCTCACACCAGACCGCCTCGTCCGCTCAGGGACACTTCAGTGAGCGGTGAGGCCTGTGCTGGATTTCCTGTCACCTCTTTGTTATTCATATGATGATAATGACACTTGATTGTAAAGCAGTTAGCTGTAAATGTCTTTCTTTACTTCCCTGTCTTAGGAAATGAGACAGGGGAAAAAGTTAATGTTATTAATAGGGATGCACCGATCCACATTTTTTCACTTCCGATCCCGATACCTAAATTTGGATATCGGCCGATACAGATAATATTCCCATACCAGAGCTGTGTTTGAAAAACAGGAAATCCTGTTAACAGAAAAAAATCTGAAAAGAGATTTGAAACTAAGGGTTTCAGATCGATTGTCATATTTTCAATATTTATTTAATTTCATGAATGTCAAATGTCAAAGACTTATTTTTAATAAGTCTTAAAATGTGTGACACAAAAAAGTGCACACACACATACACTTGACACACAGTCTCACTCACTCGTTCACAAAAATAACAGCACAAATCAAGTAAACTGACTCTTGTATCATGAACAACATGTCAAATATCTGAAGAAAAGTGCAATAAAATAACTGTAAACATCTTACACACTTGACACACAGTCTCACTCACTCACTCATTCACACACGCAATCACACTTTCTCTCACTCACTCACTCACTCACACACAATAAGTTTTAAAACAGTGTGCATCAGAACAGCACTTAAGATGACCTGGAATAAACTAAACACCAGAGTCTAACTATTCTTTAAAAGAAAACAAAAATGGGATGTCTCAAAGTTGACTCTGAGGAAGTGATGTAGTGTTCAACAAATCTTACATCGGCAGGTTCTTGTTGAGGAATATGAGCATTTCTGCTCTCTGCAGTTAGACGATGCCTTTTTTCATCCACGGTATTGGCTGCCGTGCTGAACAATCTAGCCTCAGTGCTATCCTGCTAGTCTGCTAGCCGGCTGCAAACTGTGGAATGGATTCCTGAACGGAGGCGCGGCTCAATGAGACAGTTATGAGACACGCTCAGGAAATCCATTCCGCAGTTTGCAGCCAGCTAGCAGACTAGCGGGCGGGGATCACTTTTGGAGTCATTTCAGCAGACGACGTTAAAGCGCAGACATGGCTCATTGATATCGGAAATCTCCAAAGGTTGTATCGGAAAATCCGATACCCAAATTTCTCTGGTATCGGGTCCCGATACCGATACTGGATCGGCCCCATCCCTAGTTATTAACTATTTTTAAATATTCTTGCCTTATGTTTCGATGTTTTTTGTTTTTGTTTTTTTTAAGCACTTTGAATTGCGTTGTTGTTGAAATGTGCTGTACAAATAAAATGTCCTTGCCTGTCACAGTATGCCTATGGCAGCTCCAGACCGAGAGCAGTTAAAGATTGAGCTGCAGCAGGTCAACCAGCAGATCAACCAACAGACGCAGATGCGAAGCATGGAGGTGTGTATGCTCTCTCACCACCAATTACTGCACCCTTTTGAAATGTTTAGATAAGTCTCAAACTGTTTTAAATTGCTGAGAGCATTACTTCATATTTTCTGTATTTATATCCCTGTTATAACATAATCATCACCTGTAAGCAGTTGGCCATCCATGTCCCTAACCCTTAAACAGTCATCACTGTATTTGGGTTCCTCCTGCCAGAAATCCCCAAATTGCACACACTCGTCGTCCTATTCACTTCCTGTTTTTCTTTCCCAGGCTGCCAGTAACTCCTTGCTGCTGCAGAGGGAGGGCAGCGCGATGGCAGGCCAGGCTGTGCAGGCCGGCCAGGCAGCCGCTCAACAGCAGGCCAAGTGGCCAGCAGTGGGAGCCAACAGCACCACAGTCTCCAGCGAACAGCTGAGCCTGGAGCTCCACCAGGTGGAGAGAGAGATCGGCAAAAGGATGGCTTTGGTAAGGGGGGGGGGCACCTGTTAACTAGTAACAAGGGGTGAGACTTGTCGACTTTACACCATTTTTTTTTACCGCCAACAAACCTACACTAACCGGTGTATCTAGGCCGTGGCTGAAGTCTTACGGCCGGCGCATGCTTCTGCGTTTGCGTCGTTGCGCCGACGCACTCGTTTCAATTCATGGGTCTGTGTGTGTTGCAGAGCAATTCACCTCCAGAACAACTGGCGGAGTGACGTGTTTTTGTTAAAGACGACCTAGAGAGTCACGTCTATTTATTTATTTGTTTGTTTATTTATCATAGACTTTATTGCCCCGTGCATCGCCACTGCTGCTTTTCATCGCGGACACATTTGTCCCGTATTTTCCTCCACAACTTGCACCTCTCGACCGGCGTTTGCGGCGACCTCCCTCCGTGAATCAAACCCGCTTCTACAACCCGCCAATGACGGCTTGTATAAGCGCTCATATTTACGCATTTCTTCCGACAAAAGTTCTTCAATCTGATCCGTTCTCTCGTAAACATTCTTCGTTTTAATAAAGGGGGTCTTGCGTCTGCGTCGCTCTGAAAACGCAGAAGCATAAACTAGGCTTTAGACGATCAACATTCTGTTATATGTGATTGGGTGTCTTTCTAGCAACTAAGCATGTTTTGTCCGTGTCAAAATCAGGAAAACCAAGTCCCCCATGATGTTCAGCAGTATAAGATTAAACCTGCAGAGAATGGACAACCAGAGCATAAAACTCAGCTAGAAGAGATCTCCCTGGCTCTTGGGTGGGTAAACACGTACTCTACTGTAAAACCGTTCATATTCCTGTGCTCCTTCAGTATCCACAGTTCACACTGGTTTCTTTTCTCCGTCTTCAATTCAGCGAGGTGTCGAACGGATCCAACAGTCTCCAAGAAAGTGCAGTGGGCGGGTCCATGCTGTCACTGACCAATAAGACGTCTGCTATGGGCTTGTGCTCTGATTCCGGCGCCACTGGTTCAGAAATGCAGAAGAATGGCGTCCATTCCTGCTCATAGGCGCAGTACACACTCGCACACACACAACCACACATGCACACACTCAAGATGCTCAATTGAAAAGCATGCACAGGCACCCATTCTATTTAGAAGATGAGCAGTATCTGCCGTGATATGAATTTTCTTTCTTTTTTGTTCTGTGAATGAGCTTTTTTTTAATGACTTTCCTTGCCTGGAAACCAGAGCATATGATAACATTTCTCGTGTGTGCATTTTTCTTTCGTCTATTTTTTTTTTTTTTTACCGGAGTTAAACATAAACAAAGCTCATCATAGATATATCAGGAAGAGAAAATGGTGGTGATGTTGACAGTGGTATTGTAATTTCATTCAAAAAAAGGTTAGGCCTATTCCATTCTTAATAAACAGTCATGTATTTAATCGATCCTCCCCAGGTAGGATTTGTGTTCAGCTGAAGCAGCAAACCGTGCAGAGGAGCAGGTCCCACACACTCGGAAGAGAATTATCTGGCGATCTGTGAAGGTATTGTAGGAATCGGCGGAAACGCGTCACTTGGTACTCAACCCCAGAATCGTAAAAAAAAAAAAAAAAAATTTTTAAAAAAGTTGTGTTTGCTCGGATGGAGACGATCTGAGGAGGGAAAAGCAGAACAATATTCCACCAGTATTCAGCTGAAACGAAGAAGCGCTGTGGTACAGAAATCACTTTTTGCGGCACACGCGCGTCTTCGCCTGCCACCAGAAGTATGATTTTTATGAATGCGTTTTATGAACACATCATGTATGTTTCATACTTGATAGCAGTATATTCTATATTTAATTGAGGCATTCTGTTTTAAAGAGTGCAGCGAGTCTTTTTGATAATGAGCTTTCCACTTTTTTTCTATATAAGGGAACCTGCTATGTGCTTCTCTCGGCTGCGGTGTGACCCTGATGTGGTTTGGTTTGTGACGGCTCTCCGCTGCATTCAGTCCTTGCTGATTACGCTGCGGGACCCTTCACAGCGTGCCCCAAATGACTTCTTTTGGGGGGCGACTGGAGAGACCACCTCTCTGCATCGGGAGTCGGTCGGCTCAGTGTCTTTATGAATTGGGCAAATTGAGCAGTTCCCTCCTCAGAGCATCTCGTCGAGCCACACCAAAGGCCTCCCCATTGGGATTATCTTGTCGTTTGTTGTCCTAACTTCTATGAAGTTGCCTTCCCTTGTGTTCTTTCGTTCGGTTCGTTTTTTAATTTTTTCATGCTTTGCTTTGTTACGATTCGAGGGGGGGGGGCGTGGCTTAATGCCGTCCGTTGTGAAATAGTTGAACTCCAAGCAAAACCTAAACTCGCCGTTTGCACTCCTGGTAGCGGTCGTAGCGTTTTAGGCTACGCAATACATAAAAAAAAAACCTGTTTACAGTCAACGATACTGATAACCAAACGTGCTCCAGCATCGCATTGAGTACATTTAAGCATTTCTATCGGCGAGTATTACAATATCATATCTACCTTCTCCCACCTGGGTCATCATCACCACCATCACCACTATTATTGCTCTGTATCCACCATGCAGATTGTTTACTGCTGATGCTCGCGTGTCGAGCTCTTTGCCTTCTGTAAACAACGAGCGTGATTGGCTCCGGCCCCACAGCCGGGTAGAGAAGACTCTCTGGGTCGAGTTGTTTTGGGTTGAACTTTGACCCCTGCTTTTGGTCCTCGGGGAAAAAAAAACGTTGTGACAAATCCCTCACGAGTGAGTTGAAAACCCGATGTCGTGTGTCCCTGGCGTGGGCCGTTTGATAGGAATCTCTTCCAATATGTCAGCGCCATGATGCTAGATGTTTTTGTTTTGTTATTTTTTATTTTCCTCCCCCACTTCAATCATCTGGCTGCTCCTTGCTACATTTATTGTTTAGGTACACAGCTCACTTATACATATGAGTATGTATACATACATTAATATACTAAAGCACTATTAATGTGCCACCTCTTATTTTACTCGCTCAGCATTTATATTAAATGATCTCTATTTAGAATCAGCAAAATGTTTTTGTTTCGTCGTTTGATTTGTTTTCTGTCCATTGGTTGCCAACACAGACTTTATCCTTTCCCAGACGAAGGACTTCTGTGCGCGTTCACTTAATCTTTTGTGTTCAAACAAAGATGTTCTCTATAGACTATGCTTCCGAAGAAGACGACAAAATTCTGTAACTTTGGAACATTTGTGGAGAAGTTTTGTGTGTGCTAAGTTGTATTGTAGAAAATGTACCCGACGTTTTGGTTTTTTCTCCCACAAGGTGTGCTGTACTGGGTAATAGTTTTGAGGTATTAGAAAAGTGTTGGGGGTCCCCCCCCCCCCCACGCATGTCCCTTAGAGGATATTCAGGAAGTCTCTGAGGAGAGGTTGGCCTTAAATCCTCTTTGCAATGTCCCTTTACCTTGTCGGCTTTCGGAGCACGAGGTCATTTCTAAAATAGTAAAACACACTGAATTGGACTCTAGTAGAGGCCCCCTCACTTTTTGAAAATTTGAATGCAGAACAGCGACATGCAAATAATGAAAATCTCAAGATTTGACTGACAGCAAAATTTACTCTTTTTCTTTTAAGGAAATGTTGATCTAGTTCGGTTTGTAGTCCTTTTCTCTTTTGTTTTTTTTGTTCTGTTCCTGCAATAGTTGAGTGAATTTACTGACCCTGCAAGTCTTACAGTCTTTAATGCATCATCTGACCTGATGTGTAGTCAGCAGCTAAGAGAATCTGAGTGACATTCACACAATAGCTTTGTTCCCCTTACACGCATATCTACGAGAAATTGTCCCACCAGCTTTAATTCTGCTGTTGAAATGCCGCAAACTGACAACAGGTTGGTGTCGATTGATTATGACGTTCCTCCACCTCTCGAAGTACAAGTCTACCAAAACGAATGAGGCTGAACCACCTTTAGCTGAGGAGGAGCCACCGCCGTGACTGGTGGGCTGGTTTACTGGAGAGTAAACGGCAAAGATGTTCATTGCAATCTCCTGTGTGTTTTTGTATCTGAGTGGAACTGCTGCCCCCCCCCTCCTCATTTACAGAACAAGTTAAGCCCTCCACCCCCCCCCCCCCCCCCCCCCTCTTGACCACTGAACTCTGTTACTGCTGTTTGAGGCTCACATTTTATTCCCTGACTTTCTGGGGAAATTCGCAAATGGCTATTTTATATGATTACTCCCTTGTAAAATATCTCTTAAATTAAGGTACAGGTTTGATTTCAGCAAGAAAAACGTTTTTATATGTATATTATACTCCATTAAGGAATGTCTAGAAATATCTTCCTCCAATGTGGATGTAGCCATTATTACGCCATTTTATGACTTTGTAAGAGAATTCACTGTGTGAAAATTGGTTTGCATTTTTGTATAATACAATCTGCTTTTTTTTTCGTTTGATACGAGAGGGAGGTCAAACAGGAAGTTTGAAGAGAGAAAAAAAAAATGAACCTGTGAAATTGAGAAAACAAAGTAACTTATGTACAACAGTGATTCTACGCTGAGGGGAAATGATTAAATGATATTGCTAACTGATTGTTTGTCATGGTTTTTTGGGGGGCATTTATTTTTTTACTGTGACCCAACATTTAAGTGCGTTTGGTCCGGTCAAATAACTGATCTAATCATGATACAATATATTCTATGACCTGTTCATAAAACATAATTCCAGTCGAGTCTTGGTTTGGCCTCAGTTGTGATAATTCAGTTGCAGGACATTTAAATTTCCACAAAGACACACTGATGCTACGGCCTCGGACCCAGTGGCACAAGACCTTCCCCCAATAAACCTGCAAGAAGACATGTTCACTTTGAATTTTATAACTTTTAATGTACTTTTACAGACCAGACATTGGTACAACCAAAATGTAACTTGACATCTTATATTGGGACATTTAATGTAAGTAGACTCCTTTAAAATCTCATTTCAACATTTTCGTGACATAGTATGCTATGACTGAGCACCACAAAAGAGATTTCTTATGTGGCCATTGAAATGTAAAACATTTAAGCTCTTAAACAGTTCTATATCATATCCATCTACTGCTGGTGTCTCGTCAGGTTTCAGCCTTCACTTCAACACAATAGTTCCTATATTATATATCGCTTTATTAAGTATGGTAGGCTCCCATATGTGGCCCAGGTACTCTATAAGAATCATATGAACATGTCCCCAAATCGGTATAATGTCAGGACAAGTACAATCTATGACCTAATATTACAAATAACTGCGTTAGCTGTAACCTCCGTCAAGGGGTGATACGCTGCTAATCAAGGGGTAATTTTGCTAATTCAAATCCTATTGACGTCTTAAGGCCGTCTGTGTTCGTCTCGGGAGGAGGTCAGTGACAATCTTGAGTTTGTTACTTTACTTTGGTCGGATCCCAACTCACATGTCTTCCATCATCCAAGCTCCCTAAAGCGGCCATGTCCGACTTCTCCAGCTGGAAGCCAAACACCTGAGTTTGGGGAGGAAAGAGGTGGAGGAGGTGAGAGGGTGATGAGCGGCTTCCACAGTAGAGGTTACGATGCAAGTAACAGTTGTTCACTACCTGTTTGCATGCCAAGAACCAACTAATGTTTATGGTCGCTAAATTTAACCCCCCCAAATATATTTTTAGTCAATACTTAAATAAAAAATGTCACATTTTTTATGAAGTTTCTCACTAATATTAAAATGATTTTGGAAGTTAGGCCCTGCTGTATTTCTCATTCTAACGCTACATTTGTGTAGATTTGCTTGATCCGTTCATCAAAACATAACGAATTCTTTAACATTCTATATTCAACACTTTTTTTTTTGTTGATACAATCAAGCACAAAAAACTCATTTTTGTCTCACTTGGCAGTTTTCTTGAATCCTTTTCTTGTTGATGGATTTAGGGATTGTGACAACTCCATTCTGAGGCAGAGGGTTAGGGTTAGCGGCAGAGAATAAGCACAGCATTGCAGGAATTTTTATTTTATTTTTTAGGCCAATCAAACTTATGGCAGGAAATATCTGAACCTGAATACTCCAGCGGATGCAGATCTGAGCCGGCGTGCGTCCGTATTTTTGTGCAATCCGAAGAACGGCCGGGTCGTCGAGGACTTGACCTTTGGCCAGAGGACTGTAACCTTCAAATACAATCCCCTCCTGACGGCAGTACTCCATCAGGTGCTTGGGCTGCTGGAAAGGGTGGTACTCCACCTGGTGGGGGTCATATCATTGTCACGGGTACATCCTAGGAAGGTTTTTTGTTTAAGGCAGCTGAACATGTACTTGTATACTCCAACACTGCTGAATTCATGTTTAGAACCATCTCATATTGGAGAACACATGTGGAAATGTAGATTACTGTACATTAAGTTATTTTATGCAACAAAAATGCACATTTCATTTAATTGAAGGTTGTCTGGATAAATAAACCTACCTGGTTAACATGGGGCACGACACTGCAGTCTTCCTTCAACTCTTCCAGGTGATGGACCAAAAAGTTGCTCACTCCAATAGCAGAGCACAGCCCTGCGGTGACAAAGAGGAACGCCTCGTGCTCGCTACTATGTCCCCTCTTCTATCCTTATTAACCGTTGTCCAACATTCCCTTCCATGATATGTACCTTCTTCATGCAGTTCCTCTAGAGCTCTCCAGGTCTCGGCTCTCATCTCCCTGTTGGAGCGTCCAGGTTGCGTTGCCTCTGGCCAGTGCATCAGGTACAAATCTGAAAAATAGAGCAGGTGAGGATCTAAATGAAGACCACAAAACATAGAGGGACAACAAGTTGCAGGTAGTTTATGCGTCTCCCGTCAGAAGTTTAAAAAAAAGCTGGTACTGCAAACACACGTCCTAATGAACCTTCCTACCAAAGTATTTTAACCCCATCAGGGAGCAGGAGTCCAGGCAGGCTTGCTTTGCAGCTTGGTATCCATAGTCCCCGGGCCACAGTTTGTTGGTGACCCACAGGTCACTCCGTGGAATCCCACTCTCTCTGATGGCGTCGCCCAGTTTCTGCTCGCAGCCGTAGCGCTTTGCTGTGTCAATGTGGCGCACGCCACACTCTTTGAGCGCGTACACGACGGCATCGTGGGAGTATCCGCCATCATGCGAGGTGCCTGTAGCGTACGCAACAAAGTAACAAAATATAAGCCGGTAAAAGTTCAGTTCAATATTTTTCTTTTCTTGGATATTCCTAAACAGCATTACCAGGATGTTGACATATCTTTACAGAATATTCATAAGAAAGATTAAGAAGGAAAATATAGACGTGGATGCAATGTATTAGTTTAAATATCTAACTGCCAGAGCCAATTAAACGTGTTTAAACATTTATTTTTCTAGGACAAACGTTGACTGTCTCATTTAGCCTTTGGCACAAAAATGATGATGGTGCAAAACCCTTTTGGGTCCATTTTGGATTCTATCCTGAAAGGGTTATTAAAAAGATTAAAAAACATTATTGTCTTCTTTTTTGACCAAGGGGGTCTAGGAATAACAGTTAAAAACCATACACTGTGACCATTTGTTGATGCTTTTGTTTTACCAGTGTTTTGAGAAACTTACCTAATCCGAATATTGGAATCCGCAGGCCATTGGAAAGTGACACTGTTGGACAACTCTGGTTTGGTGCCAAGAGCATGTTCCTCTGGTCAATGCTGAGCAATCAGAATAACAACTGTGCTACGCTTTGCTCAAAGATACTACCTTTTACTACCTACTTAATAGTCTATACAAAAAATGAATACATGACATAAACGGGATACTGACAACCCGAGCGCTAACGACACGTGTGCACCATGAACGCGCAATGAAAACTAAAAACAAAAACAAAAACAAGCAAAGTTGAATTTAATGGGATTACCATAGCCTGGAACAACTGCAAGGTTAACCTTAGAAATGAGTTTCTCTTTTCCTCACCAATAGCGTTACCGTCTCTGTGGGCGGAGCTGTGCCTCCACGGGGAAACAAATCAAACGCCAGTCAGGCAGCTCAACAAAGATGGCGTCGGTGTCCAAAAACCACGGAATGTGCGCAAATGAGTGAAAAATCAAATCAAATCAAATACTAAAACATAGCGAATGTAGACATACAGAACAAAATCTCGTTTTTCCGGGTGAGGGTGCTTGGACGTTTTCCCTGCCCCCCACCAACAATTTAGCAGACGCCCACTTCGGTTGGAGCTAACGGTAGTTTGCCGGACATATTTTCTTTCAGGCTCTTTGGTGTAAAGTCAGCCATGATGGCGACAACGTAAAGCGAGCGGGCCGCGTGCAGCGTCATCGCGGTGCCGTGTGCAGCGTCAACGCGATGAGGTGAGTTCAGACATATAGCATCACTTCTAACGTTAAGTATGCTAAGTAACAGCGACGGTATGGATTTATGTATTTGCCCTACTTATTGATTACATGCATGGTTGGTCATCTTAAACACAACGTAATGTTACATTCCCAACTCTTTTCCAATGACAACATCCAAAAAACATCCAGCTCAAAAAGTTGCTGAAACTTCCGCGACGTCGGCTCGCACTATAAACACAGTAAATATAACTGTTATAGTAGGACTCTGTCTATTTTAAGTTAATTATTTGAGTTGGCAGCGTGTTAAAGACTCGGCCACGCGCCGTGAGGACACGAGCATAAACCGTCCCGTGTGCCCTTCGCGGGCTGCAGGTCCCCCCGATGCTTCTCGGGGCTCAGGCGAGCCCACCTCCTGTGGCCGATCCTGCTGCTGCTCCTGGTCGGCGCAGCCCTCACGGCTCTGCTGCCCCCTGCCGAGGAGGACCACGCAGGCATCGATGTCGTGGGAGTGCTGAGCAGGACGAGGTCCCAGAGGGACCATCCCGCCCGAGGCCCCCTCGGTGGTGGTGGCGGCGTCACGGAGGACGAGCAGCAGAGGTTCACCATCGTCATCCAAACGTACAACCGCACGGACGTCTTGCTCAAGCTCCTGAACCATTACCAGGCGGTGCCTCGCCTTCACCGGATCGTCATCGTGTGGAACAACATCGGGACGCGGACGCCGCTGGAGTTGTGGAACTCTCTGCAGCCTCATCCGGTCCCCGTGATCTTCAAGGAGCAGACGAGCAATCTGATGCGCAACAGACTCCAACCCTTCCCTGAGATCGGTACTGATGGTCAGTGCGTATTTTCACCTTCCAGTTGAGTCAGCGCTCTTACGGACGGACCTTCTTTGTTGGGCCCGTTTTAACTTTTTCCAGTTGCGTTTGTTTTTTTTGTTTGTCCCTTTGATCCGCTAGCTGTGCTGATGCTGGACGACGACACGCTGGTCAGTGTTCCTGACATCAGTTTTGCCTTCTCTGTCTGGAAGGTAATGCGAGAATGTAAAGGCCGGTGATTTAAACTGCGTCACATTTTATCGATCTAAATTTTTGACGCGAGCTCCCTCTCCGTCTTTGGCCCCACAGCAATTTTCCGACCAAATTGTTGGGTTCGTACCACGTAAACATGTCTCGACACCAGGAGGAGTGTACAGTTATGGCAGCTTTGAACTTCAGGACCCAGAAACATCTGGAGGCGACAAGTAAGACCGTTTCCTCCCAAAATGCATCTTATTGGCCTCTTGCGTGGTTTGTTCTTACTTTGAGGCCAACGGCACTTTTGTTTCGTTTTCTTCCTGTGCGTTCCATCTCGGTCCACTCGCTGCAGATACTCCATGGTCTTGATCGGTGCCGCCTTCTTCCACCGCCGCTACCTCCAGCTGTTCCGGGACCAGCCTCGGGCCGTCCACGCGCTGGTGGACGAGACCCAGAATTGCGACGACATCGCCGTTAACTTCGCCGTGGCGCTGTATTTGAGGGAGCACTCCGCCGGCAGCGTCGCCAAGCCCTCCGGGGTCTTCGTCAAACCCGTGGACCTCCGCAACCTGGAGAAGGACGCCAGCAGCGGGTACCAGGGTATGTGGCACCGGCCTGAACACCTGCTGCAGAGATCCTACTGCCTGAACAGGCTGGCGCAGATCTACGGCTTCATGCCGCTCTGCTTCTCCAACCTGATGGTCTCCCAGTTCGGCTTCCCGAGCTACGCCAACCACAAGGGTCGAGCTTGAGGAGCGATTCGGATTGAAAGGCGGCGGGACTCGAGGGACAGTCTGGTAGGTCTGCGTTTGAATAACAACACATGTCCGGGTTGACTGTCGGTCCCAGCATGTGTAGGAAGCTCGATTTAAAATTTCACAGGCCAATTCTTTTCATGTTTTGATGACAAAAAGGCAGTGATGTTGCAGTGTTTGAGCACAAATTGAAATGTTTTTTTACATCAATAATTTGTCTGCATAAAGTCGTTTTTTTTGTATTTTAGTACTGTGCATCTACAGGACAATCACTGACAATCAATCTGATGAAACGTGAAGGTCATCAGTGTATTCTTACCAAAGCTGCCTTATCATAACTAGCAACCTTTCCTAGTCAGTAGGTGTTAGTCTGAGATCTGCTTTGACAGTTTTTATTCGATTCACAGCGTTGAAACGGTTTCCAGTTGTTTAAGGAGAGGTTTGCCTCTGAGCTTGAACACCTACACATTAAGGCTAATTGTTGAAGATGTTGGTATTTCGCCACCAAATGATTGCAGGGTTATTGTACACAGTCCGACAGTCTTAATGTCAGACAATCATTGTTTTTTTATGTGTTAACATATATCAACCTTGTAAGACGATCCTGTGACTGTTAAATAAAGCCGAGACATTTTTGCTCTGAACAGAAATTGTGGTTGAATTCCTAATTATAATACCAGTGAATGTTAAGCCTGGAAACAGGTGATCGGAGGTCCAGATCCTGAGAATCAGACTTTTCCTACTGGATAGAAATGAGTTAAGTTAAAGGTAAATACCAAATTAACTCATTGTTAAAACTCCAGATTTAATGGCAACATAAGACGAGCCCACAGGACTGTGTATCACGTTGAATCACTGAACTGGTTTGTCCGTGCCGGCCTGTGCAGATGTTTTCCATAACGTGGACGTTGGTAAAAATCCAACATGAAGGCTGAAGGTTAAACATTGACAGATTATTCAGACCTGTATGGCACCAGGCGTTATCAGTCCTCGCATTAAACATCTGGATTGAGAGACCTGACCTATTTTTTAAACTTCAGGTCAGCGGTGCCCCAATCACCTTGAATGAAAAGCCGTATTTATCAATAAACAATAACACCAGAGTAACTCTTGGTGTCCCTGCGTGATCTGGGGTAACGTCGTTCTCCAGTTCCTCCACGAAGGATTCAAGGAACCTCGCAGAGTCTCGTTGCGATCCGGGTCCACCACCATCAACCGCCGGGCCTCGATCCACCGGCCGCTGGAGAACGCATGTCATGCCACCGCTTCACCAGGGGCTCCCTCTTCCTCCAAATCAGCTTGTGACCATAGGACACGTACCATCTGTAGGACCACGGGGACGTTCAAATGTACTGACCGCAGATACTACAATATTGCATAATATTGCAAGCCATTTGAAAGGATTCATGCCGTTGTAGGTGGCATAAAGCTGAAGTTCCAGCAATATGTTAAAAAACATTCAATAAAACAGTTGAGTGTGAATAACGGAGAAAGAATGTAAGATTACTTCTTACAATTTAGACTGAACACAAACTTGTGTCTCCTAACTGCCTCTGTTGGACTTGGAGAATAATAATTAGGGACATTCCATTCTTCAATATTAAAAAAACAACAACTAACAAAACGTGTTTATCTTTGGTCGTTTACGATGTCGAAGGCGCATCGGCCACTCACATTCCAAAGAGGGCGCCGCCGAGGTGAGCTGCGTGGTCAAACAGCCGCCATCCCAGTATGAGCCCTGCTGTATCTATGGCAACGAGAGCTTTAAGCACCTAAAGGAAGAAAAGGGACAGGAACCTGGAGTTACACCAAAAGTGCTGGCCTAAATACACACACACACACACACACACACACAAAATGGACTTTAACATGGGAGCCATAACGTATTAAATGTATAAATTAACACTCATATTCACGTTACACTTCAGAGATGGTAGCTACATAACAAGAGGACTTTTTTTTTGTAAAGCACACATCACACACTTCCATTCCCTTACATTTCCTGCAGTGAAAGTGATCATGGGGAGGAAGATTATGCCCAGTTTAGCCTCTGGCATTTTTGCACACACTGCGGCCAGCACGGCCATGACGGCACCCGACTGAAGATCAAACAAAGGAGACAACATTGAGACTGCTGCACGTCTGTTGAGCTGTCGAAAGATTTGACCAGAAGCCTTACTGCTCCCAAGGACGGATGGAGACGTCCAGAGGCTGCTTTACAAATGTAGCTCAGCATAGTGGAAATCACACCTGAAAACACACGATATGATCAATCAATACAATTTCATTCCGACTGGTTCCAAATGTGTTTAATACAAAGACTAATGATGCAATTCAGGACATAGAAAATACATCATGTTTACAGTAATAGATGCATCCAATTCAATGTTATTTATAATGTGTATTGCTTTAAACATTACACGCTGAAACTAAATAGATAAATTGATGATGATGATAAATTTGATGCTGTTTGAAGGCTGGATTCATAATCAATAACACACAGTACGGACCTTATTCTTTATTTAACTCACCGGCAGACAGGTAGACTGCAAGAAACTGTTCCCTGCCTAAGAGAGAGACAATTCCTGACGAGAACGTCCACAGGACATACATGTTGGCCACCATGTGGAAGACGGAGTAGTGGCTGAATGAGGACAGGATCATGGGAAGGCACCGTGTTTCTGGAGCGACAAACAAACAAACAGAAGCAGACTAAATGGATCACCGTCACTGGATCCAGCCAACAATGGTCTTTTCTTTTTTTTTAGCCATGCATCCCTTCATGTCTTTGTCAAAGTACCTCGATGTATTTACTCAATATAAATAAAAGACTAGTACTCACTGGAGGCTGGGTTGGACGTGAAGTACTTGATCATGGTTCTTTGCATGGATGGGATTCGCCAGCAACACAGGACTACAGCGTTTACAGCAATGATGCCTGGAAAACATGGACGCAGAAAGCTCAGGACGATGAAGACATGTGGGACTGTTTCAAACACATGGCCGTGCAATATTAAGGAACACAGTGACAGCATGTGTGTCTGTATGCAAAATAAGTCACCGGTAACGGTCCTCTGCCCCTCTGTGAGGCTGCTCCAGAAGTCGTCCACCATAGACAACAGGAGGAGAAGCTGCTGCTGGAAGCCCGACAACTGGTTCCACCAGTCGTGCCAGTACGCCATGTCCTGAGAGCCCTGCGGCACACGAAGGGGTTCGTCGAATCGTTCCTCGCGAATGAGCGCGTGTCATTAGAAGCTCACCTGCGAGAGCTTTTCTGACTCCTCTGCCTCTTTTGCATTCTGGACTCTGGACTTCAGCGTCTCGTACTGCAGGATGGCCGCTGCACCAAAGGAGAAACCTGTAAACTGACATGGAGTCAGATCGCAAAAACCAAACGACCATCCGAATGTCCCAAGAGTGAATCAATCCTCATCCCGGTGGAATAATTAAGAGGACCTACCCCAACTGTGAACATCAGCGGTTTGAAGAGCGGCGGCCGCGGGACCTTGATAGGCGGCGGGGGTCCCGGCGGCGTGCCAGCCTCAGAGGGGGTGGCCTTTGAGTCTCTGGTGACATTTCCTTTATTTGGATCCGGCCTTCTGGCCTCGCGACGGAAACCACACGTCTGTTGGTCACGTGCGTTCAGTCTGCCGGTGAACAGTATTACGTCATAGATCAACAGAGGCGAACTATACGCAGTGGAAAAGCTTGTAAACTTATTGTTTGTAAAGCTGGAACCTATTCTTATTAAAAACATTGACTACGGTTTGGTTTTTCAAAGTTATAAGTTGTGACATTGTTGTTCAGTTCCCTCTAAAACTGAAACCTATTCAGTTTACTCTCATCAAACCTCCATAACAGACGGAATATTTGGCATTTTTGTGAAGAACAACGATGACAAGAATCCCAATATAAACTAATTGGTTGTTTTTCGTATTATTTTGGACAGTGTTTCAGTCATTATGATCAACAACCCTCTTCATGTTTAGAATCACCCGTGGGAGTGATGTAACTTCAGCGTTTCCACGTCGTGCTAATGGCCACAAGTGGAAGCGCTTCCTTAAGAAGCCCCTCAGCGTGATGCACAACTCAGATCAGATATATATGCGTTTCTGCTGAAGACAAATACACATGCCGCGTTGTGTTCTTCCACTATAGACTATAAACAGATGAAATAAGTGACGTAAGTTAGCTTTGTGCTGCAGCCCCGTGGATGCCTTCGCAATGACAGTGGGAACGGTTAGCTAACCACACACACACACACACACACACACACAAACACGTCCTGCCAACGTTATTGTGGTTAACACAACCCCCCTGCGGACTAAACCTCTCACCTGGTTGCTCGTGGGGTGCTGTTGGTGGACCTGAGGAACTCTATTTTAGCCCATTTCATTACGCATCCTCTCCACGCCATGTTTGTGATGACCTCCTGCCTGAAGCCCCGCCCACTGATGCTGCGTTCATGGACTCTTCTGAAACCTCCGACGTCTGAGTTCCACTTGAGAGTTGTCGGTGTGGCAAAGATTAAGCAGGACTACCTTTTAGGGGACGTTATATTACCTGCAAATACAAATATGTTGTTATGTATTTATTTAATTAATTAGTTAATGCAACCTCAATGCACAATTACAAGCAGGTTATACCCAGTGTACATACATGTACCTGAACATCCTCCTATAGCTGTAGTAACTTCAATTTACTCATTATGGTCCAATGTTAGAGTAGAAATGTGTCTTACATATTATTTTTGTGATATATTTTACTAGTGTGTGTGTATCTCATGGCTTTTTTGGGTGCAATGCCCGCCTTACTGTTGATTTTTGGTATTGAACTCCCTCTTTTTCGTTGAGTTTAATGTATTTCAAAGGCCCATCTAAGGAGGGGCAGTGCAAATTAGCTTAGGCTATCAATGCTGTGGTACGTTGCATCGTTTTATCTGACAAACTTGTTCCTATGAAAAGATGGAAGCGAACACTTCACTTCCCTCTAGTGGCGCATCAAAATATTTCTTCAGACGCCAGTGAAATGGTTGGTGATAAGAAAATAAAATTTCAATTTTGTGCTATTTTAAACCTCAATTTGACTTTATTTCAGAGGGAAATCATAATTAAATAATTGTACTTATTTAATAGCTTGTGGCCATGCAGAACCTTTGACACATTTTAACACAATCTGAAACACATGAATAAATAGTAAAAGTAAAGCTCTGTGAATTCCATTTGATTGCTTCAGTTTAATGGTCAAGTTTAATGAAAAAGTTGTCTCAATGTAATGACTCGGGCATTGGAATGGGAGAGAAGCATCGTAAGTAACAACGGTGCCTTCATGCTATGAAACGTCACACATTTCTGTGTTTTAGGTTTAACTTACAGTCAAATTACACATTAATGCACCAATAATGTTTTCGAAATTAATGTAAAAGTGTTTAGCATAGAAAAATAACCAAGGAGAACACAAAATGTAAAAATACTAAAGTAAAATAAATGACTCTTCTTATTATCATTACTGTTAAAACCTTTGGTGGCCACACGAAAATGAGTTCTCATGAAAGCAAGGGGGGGCTGCAAACAAACAGTATTGATTGTACTGCTATTGGCATCGTTACAAGTTCCACAAACTCTTGACAAGCTTGCCAGTGGTGCCAGAAATAGGTGAAGACGGTAGACTTCACAGTGAGAAGGCTGCACTGCAGTGTCTGCAGAGTACAGGCCTCTGCTCCCGTACAATATCTGCACTGGACTTGCTCGGCTATTTAAGCTGCAGAACTCCTCAATAGATAATGAAACAAGCATAAGGGGGGGGAGGTAATTCATCTTAACTGAGCCGGACGATGCATCCAGTGGACACGTTATAATAAAATATCCCCTCTGCGAGACAATATGTAGTTATATAGAAAAGTGTGGGGTTTTCAGGGTAAAGATAACAGTATACAAAGACAGAAGAGGAACCCAAGGACACGCTGCCATGTGACGTGATATCCTATGGGTGCAAGGCCGGGGCAAGGGAGGACAGGGAGATTTAGGAAGGCAGGACGGGGAGCAGGTGGGAGGGTGAGAACAGAGAGGTGAAGGGAGGGATGACAGTGAAAGAAGTGAGTAATAGGTGTGGTCAGGTGTGGAGGCCAAAAAGACGACCAGAAAGGGAGGATGAGAATCCTAAACATTTGACTTCATAAGTTAATTCAGGGAAAAGCTGTCTGGATTTGGGATCAAAGAGCCCTGCGACGCAACAACACAACTCTCTCACAAACACACAACGTGTCTCTCTGAATCTGTAGAGGACTATAGGTTATTTTCTACCATTGCAGTGCATTTTTTTTCCCAACCAGAGGTGTCTTCTTTCAGGTCCCCCCATTGATTCGCTGTGAATTGACGCCAGCCAGGATTTGCCTGTGTCGGCAACAGGGTGTGGGTCATGTGACAGGAGTTATTTGGATTGAGAACGACTTGTCATTCATGTAGGACACTCATTTATCTTTCTGAAATTACAGTATGTCTATAAAGAGAGAATAATAAGGACACTATGCCGTTCCGCTGCCTCATTTGTGATTCGGATCCACAGGCAGACGCACGCTGCTGAGCGTCATTTGGCCTTGAGGCTTCTGTTTCAGCACAATGGATAGACGCATCTTATGTGAGCAGCACAGTCTTTTTATACCCCGAGAGGAAATTCTAGCTGTTATCATAGAGTCCCATCAGAATGCTGACGGTGAGCTTTCCATGATGCTGATCAATGGGCCGGTTGGATGACACCACACTGTGGCTTGTTTTCTGTTTTGTTCCTGCGTAGATGTTGAGACCTAGTGGTCTGTGATTGTGTTATTCTTTGCAAAAGTATTACAATGGAAGAGTCAGCTCATCCAGAATGCACAGTGCCTTGACTGTATATATGTTAGACTGCAGGTAACAGGCACAAGAAAAAGCAAGATATTCAGGACAGAAATATAAATTTCTGATTCGTTCATTAAATATTGATGTCCCTCAGCAAAATATCATCTACCTTTACAGGATGGTGAAGTAACTTTGCAAGGTCTGTGGGCAGCAGGTTTGTGAAGACTGGAAACTGTTTATTGTTCATTTTTCATTGTGGCAGGTGCAAACTGTAGCATGTTACAGATATTGAAATAGACCTGACACCCTATTGCTAAAAATGACAATAGTTGTGCCATTTTATAAACCTGTAAGTTTGCCAATTTGTTTTCAAAATCTTAGACCAGAGGGTGGGATGGACCATCCAATTATTGTGTTTTCTGTATCATTTTAAAGTGTTTTATGAGTGATTCGTGTGGTTTCTTTTTAAGACATTAACCTGAAATGTCTACCCAGCATTCTATTGCATTAATGTGTGGTGTCTTGAATGGCCCAATAACAAACATTATGAAAAATGCATTTGATAAACTGGAATAAAAACTAAAATATATTTTGAAAAAACCCAGCCTTGATCAGGCTTTATCTATGATAAAAATCTACAAGCTTGCTGGTTGAGGAAATGAAAAACTGGCATTGATTCAGCCCAACAGTGACAAAAACATCTAGGACTCCTGCATCAATGAACACCCCGCATCCACACACACACACACGCACACACACAGACACACACACACACATTCCCAGCCCTCCCCGCTTATTTACCTGAGCCCTCAGTCCACCTTACTCAGAAACTCTTGCGAACACGGAGGGCTCTGCGTCCAGCGTCGCTTTCGTGCCTCTGTTTTAGGGAGGACGGGTCCCAGAAGGAGCTCATCCTGCGAGCTCTTACTTGAAGCAAGCAACTTGCCTCCCCGCTGGCTCTGCCGTCCCGGCTGAAGAAGCGAGCGCGCACCTCCTCCAAGCGCAATTCCGGCTGCCCACGTCGGCAACACCGCCAACTTCTGCACCGCAAGGCGACATGGGGGATAAAAACGCCGGTAAGGAACTTGCCCGCGCTTGTGTATGAATAAGTTATGAGCTTGTCATCGTTGCCTTTTTTTGTGCCAGACTGCGGAACACAAAACAGCCTCAACTTTGTTGCTGTGTGTGTGTGTGCGCGCGCGCGCGCAGCAGCGCACCATATGGGACAGAGTTGTGCTGCACTTTCATACACGGTGTTATCGATCGCGCGCGCGCGCGGTGCAACGCGTATTGTCAGAATCACTACGGGATGTCGGACATGGTCCAGCATTCCTTTGGCAATAAATGATCCCGGTTCCTGATTCCTGACATCATCACCGTTAAACCGGCCACATCCGCACGTGTTCCGGTGCCGCAGCGCGGTGCTGCTGTGGCCCGGCTTCAGTAGCGAGGTCTAAACCGCGCTCTATCCTATTCAAAAAGACACGTTAAAACACGCTCATGATGTGTAACTCACGCAAACATTAGGCCCGCATTACGGAGTCCTCGCTCCCAGCCCCGCGCGAGGAAAACGTCTTACAGTTTCTCTGCTATCGGTGCTGTCAGCTGATTTGGGCCAAAACTGCTGACGCTACTGTTTTTTCTCGGCTATACAAATGGCGCTGCTCCCCGCGAGGCGGGGGCGTCTGTGCGGCCTCGGCGATCAGCATGCGTGCTGTTGACAAAGCTTTTCAGCTAAAAGGCTGTAGAGGCTGTTGTTTGGAGGGTGTAGAGTTTTCTGCAGGAACAGCTACGCCTCCCTATGTTTACGCATCCTAAACGTTGTTTGTGTTGTCAGTATGGTATAATGTTGCACTGGTTACAGCGTGAGTCAAGGATGTCACCCTTTTTACACAGTGGCCTCCTTTGAGCAGGGTAACCTCCTCCCTCCTGTTCACCCTGATCTATTTTACCCAGAGTTTGAAGTAAGAGCAGAAATGCTGCAGCATGATTTGGAAGTTTTGGGGGACTCACCTACGTCCGCTGTAAATCAACCCTTCTTCTATACTCTTTGGGAGAGTTTGAAGTTTTCACTGCATGCTTTGCTGTCTCGCACAACATGCTCTATTCCTGTATTCTCAACGCTTCACAACCATGTCCCCGTGTTTTATAAGAGCAACTTTAAATCTGTGTTATCCAAATGGACGTAGTCCGTCTTTTAGTCTCCGTTTGGCAAAACCTTTTCCATCCCAAATGCACTCAAACAATGGAAAAATAAATAAATACATGAATAAATCCAGGCCAATTATGACGATACAAATCAGGTGAATCAGGGTTGATATTCCCAATTAAAAACCAACAATGCTCACTGGATAAATTACATCTGCGTGACCTCGTATGTCTCTCCCAGTGTATCTGGTGTGATGGGCAAAAGGATACTAAGCCATTTATTTCCCATTTTCGGTTGTATTCATCCTGTTATAGTCGTGGTATGCTTAGAATATCTGTTTGTTTGGGTGTCAGTTGTGTTAGTATGTTTCCTGAAGGGTTCCCCTGCGTCAAAAGCTTGTTTTAACGACACAACACTGTATGCACATGGATAAAGCACATTTCTCACAGAGTTAGTGGTCTGATGTACGCGACGTCCTTCATGTGCACTTCACAAACACACAGCTGTTCAGTGCTGCTGATTCATTTCTACCTTTCCTCCGTTTCCTCACCTTTAAATCCCCTCTTTA